TATGGAAGGCTGTGCAAGTCACATGCAGGGAGGTGTGACTAGAGTCCATAAACAAAGGGATTTAACTCCTAAATGGCAGAGGATTGAGCAGTGAGGCTGCAGGGGCATGTTCTATACTCCAAAACGGCTTCATTAAGCTAAAGTTGTTCAGGTGACTATAGTGTCCCTTTAAGGTCAGGTAGACAATCTATAATTGCTTAAATTATACTTGTCTAACCCTTAATATTCACTAAATCGCAAAAACTGATAATTCACAAAATTCATATTAAAATTAGTTTAAAGGGTTACTCCAAGCACCACGATCACTTCAGTGTTTAAAGTGGTTAATGTACCTGGAATTCTCTATAAGATGTGGCACATACTGAGTTTAACCCCTTTTCCACTCCCGACAGCAACATTGGGTGTCATTAGCTAGCTGTTAACAAGAGTTATGGTATGGCTAATGTCAATTCTGTGCATATTTCCATGCACAGAATGTCAATCATTGACTGATGAATGTCATTCATTCACAGCAAACGAAACAATGGCTGCATCAACATTGGCTAGTTCGGCTCTGAAGAAGCCAGATGAGGTTTAGCTGCCATATTGGTCTGTTGACACTAAGTGGGACCGGGTAAGAGGGCAAATTGTTGTAGAACAGTTTGGTCCATTACTGATGAACGGCACCAGGGTACCTCTGGCATCACAACCACTACAGAGAGCTGAAGTGGTTATTATGGTTGGACTAGGTGGAAAAGGGAATACCTCATGAGCGTTTCCACAAGACAGAAATGGCACACACCTCGACACAACCTGAAAGTAAATAACATAGTCATAATCAAGGAAGATGTGTCGCCAAGATTCCAGTGGCAGTTAGGATGTGTGATTGAAACTACAATAGAAAAGGACGGTTTAGTTCATCGAGTCAAAGTGTTAGTAGGTGACCGAAGATGGACAGATAAGAAAGACCATGCATCAAAGATCTCAATAATTGAGCGTCCGAACCAGAAATTAGTAGTCCGTATAGAGAGTGAATAACTTATCAGTCTCAGTGAAACACTAGTATAAGACACATAACACAACACACAGTTACAGAGGTACCTATAATCTATTTTATTTACAACTTAAGTACATAGCGGTCCATTTGTTATGTTCTGTAAATTATTTATGACTCTTTACGTTTATATTCGTCATAACATAATTTGGTCGGCCTGTAAGTGTCCGCTAGTAATTTTAAATCGTTGTTCCGCACTGACATCATCAGAGACGTTGCCCCAGGAACTTGTACAGTCAAGTAATCCCTCCTTTCTCTAGATCCGGTGGCAAAAGCTCTCTGTGAGTTATTAACTTAAAGATATATTGTATATTGTTCAATGTTCATATATGAGGTACTGCAGCCCAAATCTTTGTACGTGTGAGTTGTATTCCATTAAGATGATTTGATGTAATTTCGCTGTGTCTTTGCAAGTAACTGAACTCCACTGTATAACTCTGTTTATAATCCTTTCAGTGAAATTTTGTAAGCAAATGTATTTTGTATTCCATGTTGTTTATAGTTTTCACGGTGCTAAAGATATTGACGTTGGTGGTTTTCAGAGCATTCCTGCACACTTCTTTGCAAAGAATAAAATATTGCGCCCATCAGAAGCTCTCTTCTCCCTTCTTCATTGATGCCAAAGGGCTGCTACAATTGTGATGGGTCATTGACATCAAGTGATGTCAATGGTTCCATTGACACAGTGTATATAGTAGAGTGCCCTCATATTCACAGCTTTGACATTCTGATCACTACACTATCACTGTATCCTTCCTTACTTGTAACTCATTGGCTATTTATTGTGAATTCATGGCACACTGACACTTAGATTCTAATTTCTGTTTAGCATGGGAGATAAACATACTAACTTACATGCGTAGGACCAGTGGCGTAACTACCATGGTCGCGACTGGACCCATCACTCTAGGTGGCTCATCTATCCTTTCGACCGCTGCGACCGATGGGCTGGTATAACTTTAGGGCTGGTGCACGGCCCCACCGGCTCTGTGCGCACCGTGGTCAGGTAACCAACAGCAGGGGAACAAAGGACAGTGCTCCCCTCCAGCCACATAGGACCCACCAATAATATAGGCCATATGGTATAACAAAAATCCCTATATCTATTTGATAAGATGGATAATTAAAACAACTTTATTATTTAGTGTGTGCACTCTTCCCTTTTATATTTTGCCTACATTTTAGCCTTTACAGCAGCACCACTGCTTAAAAAAAAAGCACATTCTGGGTGGTCCTTAATTTTCCTATTTTTCTTGGCATAGATCAGTTGTCATAAACCCATTCATTAATTAGGCTAGGTTCGCCAATAAACAGCAAATAGGTAATGGGTGAATGCGAGTATCCTCTCACAATCTCCCAACCCCAGGTGGCATCCATATAAACCAGAATGACACTACTACAATGATGACATTGCGCTAGAACAATGTGATGTGTCAAACGTGCCTCCTTGACCATCACCACTGTGCAATCTGCCATGCCATAGGATACTGCAAAGTTGTTTTTCAGGACCAGTGCAGCTTGAAATTTCCAGTTCAATGCAGAGAATTGCATCTCACCCTTTCTTGCAGTTAAAGAGTTAAATCTGTTTTTTGTTGTTGTTTTTATTAGTGCATATAGCGCATACAAGGAACAGTCAGAGCAAGATTAATGACCCAGCAGGGCTGAAGCTGAAAATATTGATTGCAGCCCTTTCCAGAGATACTGACCACCTAAATATGTCACGGAAACACTGCCGCACTAACGGTGCCGCAGAACATATTAATAGATTAAAGTGGACACAAATAATCAGCACAATTTTCATACATCAGATACGTGGGAAGACTAACATTTTCTACATTAAACATTTGAGAGCCAGAACAAAACTGAAAATTATTCTGGGCTTCCCATGAGCCTTCTGTAGCTTGGCTGGTCTCCCAGTGTCTTGCAGCCTCATATCCAGGACATTTACTATAATTTATTCATAAAGCACTAACATATCGTGCAGGGCGATACGGGGGGAAAGTATATATACGAACCTTTTGCAATACAGGGATACTGTAAATATAAAAGACATACAGCCCTTTAGAGGGGTAAAAAAGACATTGCAGTGATCCGGAAGTAAAATATGCACAGATATCATATCACTAGAAAGATATTAGTGTAAATAGCAAGCATACAGAATACCTTTGAGTCATTTATAACACTATACAGAGACATAGGGGGTTATTCACTCAGAAAACCTTTGAGCATAGCCCTGAACACCCTCTGGTCCTGTGCGTCCAGCTCATCTTGATGCAAATACTTGTCTGTTAGTCCACGCTACTAAATTAATAATAATAATAAAAAAGAATTAAGGTAAACTGAAAACCTAATAAAAAAAATAGATAAAATATAGTAATTGGATAGTAGTTTATTTTCTGGTAACTAGCAAAATGGAGGAAATAATGAAAAATATTTTAAATGCAAGTTGACAATAGGATACAGTGGAAACATAGACTGTAGATAGATATACAATACAATGTAAACTTTCCAAATGAGGTGTATCTCCAAGCTTCAAAAATATATCTCCATAAATAGGCTTTTACGAAGATTCAATGTGCCACTCACTCCTTGGGATAAAAATAAACTAAAACTTGCCCTCAAGACTTGCATAACTTGTTTTTAAGAAGAGATGCTTGTAACATTCTAGTACGGAAAGCTCTATACTCGGATATGGTGGGTCTGTTCTTTATGTTGTCACCCTGAGATTGAATTAACAATAGGGCAGGTGACAGAGCCCTCTGTGTACCCTGCAAGATGGATAATGGCACAATAAAATGGCCTTTGATGTTGCTCCTCTTTTCCTGCTGTGTATGGCTGAGTGAAATATGGCAACATATCTTTTTGTCTAAAAAAGGACATCATGCCAACTGGTTCCTGAAGAAGGAACATGTTTCCTTGGTGCTTAAATTATATGTATTCTGTCTGAGTCTTCCTGTCATGCACGTCTGAAAAAAAAAAATCACAAGTACCTTCTTCTGACGAATGAACCCCATGGTAGCACTGTTACCTCTTCCTAAAGAATGAACCCCATGTTAGGACTGTTACCTCTTCCTGTTGAATGAACTCCATGTTACCACTGTTACCTCTTCCTGAAGATGGATCCCATGTTAGTACTGTTACCTTTTCCTGAAGATGGATCCCATGTTACTACTGTTACCTCTTCCTGAAGATGGATCCCTTGTTAGTTCTGTTACCTCTTCCTGATGAATGAACCCCATGTAAGCAGTGCTACCTCTTCCTGAACACTAAATCCTGTTGAAGCAGTGTTACCTCTTCCTAAAGAATAAACCCCATGTTAGCATTGTTACCTCTTCCTAAAGAATGAACCCCATGTTAGCACTGTTACCTCTTCCTGAAGATGGATCCCTTGTTAATTCTGTTACCTCTTCCTGATTAATGAACCCCATGTAAGCAGTGCTACCTCTTCCTGAACACTAAATCCTGTTTAAGCAGTGTTACCTCTTCCTAAAGAATAAACCCCATGTTAGCACTGTTACCTCTTCCTAAAGAATGAACCCCATGTTAGCACTGTTACCTCTTCCTAAAAAATGAACCCCATGTTAGCACCGTTACCTCTTCCTAAAGAATGAACCACATGTTAGCACTGTTACCTCTTCCTGTTGAATGAACCACATGTTACCACTGTTACCTATTCCTGAAGATGGATCCCATGTTAGTACTGTTACATCTTCCTGATGAATGAACCCCATGTAAGCAGTGCTACCTCTTCCTTCAGAATGTACCCCATGTAAGCAGTGTTACCTCTTCCTGAACACTAAACCCTGTTTAAGCAGTGTTACCTCTTCCTGAAGAATGAACCCTGTGTAAGCAGTGTTACCACTTCCTAAAGAGTAAACCCTGTGTAAGCAGTCTTACCTCTTCCTAAATATTAAACCCCATATAAGTAGTGTTACCACTTCCTGAAGATGAACTCCATGTTAGCAGTGTTAGCACTTCCTGAAGATGAACTCCATGTAAGCAGTGTTACCTCTTCCTGTTGAATGAACCACATGTTACCACTGTTACCTATTCCTGAAGATGGATCCCATGTTAGTACTGTTACATCTTCCTGATGAATGAACCCCATGTAAGTAGTGCTACCTCTTCCTTCAGAATGTACCCCATGTAAGCAGTGTTACCTCTTCCTGAACACTAAACCCTGTTTAAGCACTGTTACCTCTTCCTGAAGATGAATCCCATGTTAGCACTGTTACCTTTTCCTGAAGAATGAACCCTGTGTAAGCAGTGTTACCACTTCTTAAAGAGTAAACCCTGTGTAAGCAGTCTTACCTCTTCCTAAATATTAAACCCCATATAAGTAGTGTTACCACTTCCTGAAGATGAACTCCATGTTAGCAGTGTTAGCACTTCCTGAAGATGAACTCCATGTAAGCAGTGTTACCTCTTCCTAAAGAATAAACCTCATGTAAGCACTGTTACCTCTTCCTGAAGAATGAAACCTGTGTGAGCAGTGTTACCTCTTCCTAAAGAGAAAACCCTATATAAGCAGTGTTACCTCTTCATGAAGAGTAAACCCCATGTCAGCAGTGTTACCTCCTCCTGAAAATTATACCCATTTAGGCAGTGTTACCTCTTCCTGAAGAATTAACCCTGTGTAAGCAGTGTTACCACTTCCTAAAGAGAAAACCTTGTGTAAGCAGTGTTACCACTTCCTAAAGAGAAAACCCTGTGTAAGCAGTGCTATCTCTTCCTGAAGAATGAACCCCATGTAAGCAGTGTTACCTCTTACTAAAGAGTAAACCCCATGTAAGCACTGTTACCACTTCCTGAAGATGAACTCCATGTTACCACTGTTACCTCTTCCTGAAAATGAACCCCATATTACCACTGTTACCTCTTCATGACGAATGAACTGAAAACCTAAGCAGTGCTACCTTTAAGAATAAACCCCATTTAAGCATTGTTACCTATTCCTTAAGAATGAACCCCATGTAAGCACTGTTACCTCTTCCTGAAGAATGAACCATGTGTAAGCAGTGTTACCTCTTCCTAAGGAGTAAAACCTATATAAGCAGTGTTACCTCTTCATGACGAATGAACCCCATCATGTAAGCAGTGCTATCTCTTCCTGAAGAATGAACCCCATGTAAGCAGTGTTACCTCTTACTAAAGAGTAAACCCCATGTAAGCACTGTTACCACTTCCTGAAGATGAACTCCATGTTACCACTGTTACCTCTTCCTGAAAATGAACCCCATATTACCACTGTTACCTCTTCATGACGAATGAACTGAAAACCTAAGCAGTGCTACCTTTAAGAATAAACCCCATTTAAGCATTGTTACCTATTCCTTAAGAATGAACCCCATGTAAGCACTGTTACCTCTTCCTGAAGAATGAACCATGTGTAAGCAGTGTTACCTCTTCCTAAGGAGTAAAACCTATATAAGCAGTGTTACCTCTTCATGACGAATGAACCCCGTCATGTAAGCAGTGCTATCTCTTCCTGAAGAATGAACCCCATGTAAGCAGTGTTACCTTTTCCTAAAAAGTAAACCCCATGTAAGCAGTACTATCTCTTCCTGAAGAGTAAACCCTATGTAAGCAGTCTTACCTCTTCCTTAAGAATGAACCCCATGTAAGCAGTGTTACCTCCTTCTGAAGAATCCACCACACACACACACTCACACACACACTGCACCACTCACACAGACACACTGCGCCCCTCACACACAATGCACCCCTTACACACACTACACCACTCACACACACACTGCACCCTACACAGTGCACCCCTCAAACACAATGCACCCCTCACATACACACAACACACACCTTACACACAATGCACCCCTCACACATCACAGACCCTGTACATACACCTTACACACACAATTTCATCCCCCTCTCATACAACCAGCATCTCTCTCACACACTGCTCCCTTCATACACTACATCCCCTTTAGTCACTACCTACCAATTTTTACATGGGATGCCAGCACAGTCTTGGTTCATTATCTCCAAAGTGACAATTCCTCTTTAAATAGATTTTATCTTATATGGCTGGTACATCTATACAAGCAGACTTAATAACTACTAAGGTATGACATAATAAGGTAGCATGTAACTAACTTATAACTTTGCATTCGGCCCTCAGATAAATTTTGTTTTTTAATGCGGCCCTCGGATTACCTCAGGTTGGAAAACCCTGTTCTAGATTAATGACAAGCAATGTCCACATACTTACACAAAAGTTGTCTTGTTAATCAACTCAAGCAACTAAATGACAAATAAGCATTGTAATAACTTAACAAATCCCATAGCACAACATATATGCATATCAATGATGATTTGGAGGTCAGCCATTTAAATGTAAATGTCACCTATTATCATCACCTCTCCACTATAAAAAAAAGGGTCAAAGAGGCAGATCAGATCTTTACAAGATGGGTCTGTGTTTTATTTGCAAATCTCAGCATATTTTTCTCAATATCATGTGATTAACAATGACTGAAGTTAACGTTTCAGGAGTCAATAACGATTTTTAACGTCTGAGGATTACGGTCATAAAATGGTGTGACATTTTTGTATTGGAATTACATTGAAAACGCACACTCAGTTCTGACTGAAGTTCATAAAACATTCCTCAGTCAGAAACCGGTGCTGAATTGTGATCAGCCCTTAGTGTTTAGAACTCTTTAGTAATTTAGAACTTGCAGATCCTTGCAGGGAGACTTGCTGGGGACAGGTATACCCAGTATTTATGAGAACTAGACTTGAGAGTCTCTGTTCTCTCCCTCCTAGAAGCAGGGAAAGAGGATTTACTGGAAAGTTGAGTTGTCTGCTTAATCATAAACCTCCTACCAGGATTTTTAGTAAGCTTTCCCAGCTTCGCTTTGTGTTCAAACATCTGGTAAAGGTGTTTTCTTGTACTGTTCAATCTTGCGTCTATCGGATTTTTTTTTTTGGTTGTTTTTTTCTGGTTTGTCTTTTGTGTTGTCCATAAGCGTTTGCTTGTCCATGTGTTTATGTTCTACTTTATATTATTGTTATTATTATTATTATTATTGGTGGCATTTATATAGCTCCAACTTATTCCGCAGCACTTTATAAGAGGGGGAGAATTTAACAATAAATGAGATAATTACAAAGCGAAATGTTACAGAAACAATAGAACGATGAGGACCCTGCTCAAACGAGCTTACAGTCTAGAGGAGGTGGGGTGTAAAAATACAATATGAAGGGCATCAGGTGGGATAGCAACCAAACAACAAGGTGGGGAAGTAGCAGAACTGGAGGTGAGAGTGAATTGTGGTCTTTTAAAAGAGACAGGTTTGTGATATAGAAGTTACTCTGGAAGGACATAAGCCTTTCTAAAGAGATGGGTTATGAGAGACTTCTTAAAAGATCGAATACATGGTGAGAGTTTGATTATTATCATATAGCTAGCTTCTACCCATTGTATAGTTTACACAACCACTTGCATGCCCAAGTCATACCCCCATTTGATCTACCTGGGGTCATACTTTTTGGAAGGTATCCTAAGTATGAATCAGTTACCTTTATCCAATTGACAATACGTATTTAGATTTTTTTACAGGATTAATCAGACCTATACTGAAAAAAAAAGACCACCCTGGTAGTTGTGTAGGTTACAAGACATGACCTTGCTGTGTTTTTTTGTAATGGCACACATTGTACAGGGTACATCTGTATAGCCCTTTAATCCTACCTAATCCACAAGGGTGACAGGAAAAGGGCTTCTTTATAAACTGCACTGCGATCATGCTGCACTCCTGTAGATATAAATAAATGTTGCTCAAACGATGCCCTCCAACATTATGAATTCATCCTTCGAACATCTTGATTTTTAATGGAAAGCCACACGGAGCACCTCTTTCCACTGTAGGGTTTTGTTAGATAGTGCTATAACTCACCAGTATAAGATTACTAAGGGTTTCCTTCCCTAAATAAAGCATTGTTTTTTAGACATTGCAAATGAGTGTGCCTTCACAGGATATGCTCTTTGTGGGGCATACAAAGGCTGTAAATAACAAGACACCACAAAACGGGGGTAGGGAGAATATGTTTCACAGCTAACAACAATACTCCTAGCCTGGATTCATTGTGTGCATGATTGGGGGTGTGAGGTTAGGGACAACCCAAAAGTGTGACTTTATTGCCATATTGCCCTGAAGATAGTATTGTAGCAATACGCTTATTTCCTCTGCTACACAGCTTCTCTCCTGTTATTATTTAAAATGACTTTCCTCTTCTCTATTGCTTAGTTATGAGCCAGTTTGACTCCACAGTAGGAATCTCTTTTATGGACACTGGTTAGAATATTTATCCATTACTTTTGGTTCTACTGTAGTTTTGACTCAACAGGAGTGGACTGAGATGCTTCCTGTTCTGTGGCTTTGTACAAAGAATAAGTCCAATAGTCCAGTAAGGTCTTATGGTCTTATTAGGATTAGAGGTAAATTTTTAATGGTTCTTTGTGCGTTTTTGGGACTCGCTGCAAAATATTGGCTAAAAATCAATACTATCAATACTACTTGAATTAGGGATCTGTTAGAAAATGTAAGCACAGCCAGCTATATTTATAAGTCAAAACTGCAGCATTCCAAGGTACTAATGCTAAATTTGGAACAATGTCTATCACAAACAATGGAATATGTCAGCTAATCGAAAAAAAAAAAGCAAAATACTTTTGTGAAGGAACATCTTAATACCATATGTTTTATTTGTTTTTGTTTCTTTTTTGCATTAATATAAATCCCTTTAAAATTGGGTTGCCCTGGTAAACAATGATATACAGACGCCCCTACTGAATGCACCCCAAACCCGTCTACTTATGGGGTTATTCACTAAAGTCATTGGCCCCTTCCTTGAATTAAATAATGGTCAATGCGTGGGGGCTAATATAACATCAGGGTGGAAACCTACTGCCCTCCTTGGCCCGCACTCACTGTTGGAGGCCCTAATAATAAGATTCAGGAGAAATGACCTAATGTCCTCCCCAAGGATCTTACCCATTGGAGTCAGGTGGGGGCAGCAATAATAATATTCAAACAAGCATATCCTTTCCCCCAGACTCACCTACTGGCGGCATGTTTGCACAGCCTGGTTGTGCATTGGTTCCTGATGGGTTCATGGCCCCAGGTGGCACTTTGAAAGGGGCAGAATTTCACCACCTCTGTACACATTAACTAGTCTGCTGTGCAAAGTCTGGGCCGCCTATACCCCCTATTTGCAACCATATATAAAAATAAAAATGAAATCTGGCACGCTGCCTAAATGTTTAATCCTAGAGTGATATAATAAATACCATGGTGCTGCTCAGTGCTGGATATGTAGAACTGAATGAATGAGAGCACTCGCTGGATTTTTCAAAAGTTTATTTAAGTCAAACAAAGGATCAACTTGACTTGAATCCACTTTTGAAAAATCCAGCGAGTGCTCTCATTGATTGATATATATATATATATATAAAAAGGATCAACGTTTCTGGTGGCACAGCATGCTTGTACAATGAAGAGGGGGTCTAGGAGTCTCATCTTCCACCTCCAGCAGCAGGTCTTTATCAAGACTGGTTGGTCAAAACATTGATATTGGGGGCGGGGCCTAACCATTGACCAAGCTGGTCGCACATGAAGAGAGCTCCGAGTAGGAAATCTGCAAAAAAGCGACATAACCAAGACAAAATGCACTAAAACCGTTATCCTGGTACAGCAGTGCATCAGTGATATCCCAAGACTCACCTGGGTGGTTTTCCACGCTCGGAGAAAAATCCTAAGTCCAGATAAAAAAGCGGCCTACCAGCGGTTGCAAACGCGGGAGAAGCGGCCGATCTCCCAGTGAGCAGCTATGCAAGACAGCACTGACCCCATCGAGACCCCCGTTCCCCCCCTTCAGCCGGTGGGGGTTATCCCGGCTCAAGCAAGCAGGCACTTCTCCGAGGCTAACTTAGGTCCCTGGTAACTCACCCGCCCCTGTGGCCTCCCTCCAGCCTTACCAAGATGGTGGCGGAGGACTCCGACACCGCAGCACGAGGCCCACCAACGACATTGGAAGAGCGGCTCGATGCGTTGCTCAGCGGCTTCTGACAGGGAGGCACAGGCAAGGAGGGAGCAAAGGAGAAAAAGCAAACACCCAAACAAGCCTCCGGACCCTCTTTCACCCCCAGCAGACAAACGTCGGATGCAGCACATGGCTCCTAGCTCAGCGAGGCGGGAGAAGTGAAACACCGACCCAGCCGACACCCGGCCGAATCCCAAGAGGTACAGAGCCCGCTACCACTTACCAAAACAGAGGACCCACAGAGGACAAAACATAGGGATCGACGCACACAAGCGGCAGTACAAACACCCTCTCAGAGAGAAACACAACGGCACCCGAGTCTCTGCCCGCAGCCGCAAACGTGACTGGAGCAGCAGGATACCAACATGGACTCCTGGAATGGCCTGGGGCCAGAGGGTCGAGCGACCACCGAACCACGAGTCTCTGACCATATACGGACATTAGTACCTGGACAGTACACATGTGGAAGCAGGGTGCCCAGTCAAGGTATCGGCTGACTCTCCAACTATGGGAGCTGGCTGTTAAGCAAGCTAAGTCTGACAGGGACTCTAAGCCAGGCTGTAACAGACCCAGCAGCACACAAGTGATGATCATCTTATTATTTGGTTTAATTTTGTCACTATAATACTACGTTTTTATTAGCATGTCTTACTCAAACTAATTACACATCCCTAGCAAGCTGCTTAGGATTTGCATAGCCTAGTATCACTCACTAAGCATAACTCACATCCTAGTCTCTCCCATCACTGCTCCATTTGGTGGCATTACCATCAATATTGTCAACATAATAATACTCGGGGACGCAGCGCCCTCACTTAGCATTACAATAAGCTTTCACCGCATCTGAGCTGCCTGTTGTGATGGATAGGCAGTCATATCCAATCTGCTCTACCATATCAGTGTCGTTTGCCAGCAGCTCCTACTGTTTTACCTAATTCACCCTGCAGGCCCAGATTACCTGTCTGACCTGCCGTTTTAAACGCAGTCTAACTACTGAGACATCATTACCTAGCCTTTATTACTCCTGTTTTAACACCATCGACTTAAATATAAAATTGTGCATGTATACTAGACTACCCCGTTGTTATGTGTGTTACAAATCTGCTTGAGGATTGCCGTTGGGGTACCTCACGCATGTATGTTATCCGTGAAATGCACTACAAAAATAAAGAATTAAAAAAAAAAATTGATATTTTGTTTTACTTGAATACACTTTTGAAAACGATATATATATATATGTTTTTTTATTATTTTTATTTTTTTTCTAGGATCATTACCCTTATATCTGTTGTTATGCCATCTTGGGAGATACCACAAAAGGTAGTTGAGTATGACAGAGCTAAGATTCCGTGGGACTTCATCCAGACAGACAAGCAAGTGCTAGCCAACCAACCAGACATCGTGGTGGTAGACAAGGAATGAAAGACAGCGGTCATGGTGGATGTGGCAATACCCTGGTAGGTGGACAAATACCAATGACTGAAAGAAAAACTAGAAAGGATGTGGAAAGTAAAGGCAGTAGTAGTCCCAGTTGTGATAAGAGCACTCTGGGCTGTGACTCCCAAGTTGGGGAAGTGGCTTCAACAGATTCCAGATGGGACAGCTAAGATCGCTGTCCAGAAGAGTGCAGTATTAGGAAAAGCTAAGATACTGCGCAGAACCCTCAAACTCCCAGGCCTTTGGTAGACGACACGAGAATGAGGAATAAACATACCACCCAGGAGGGGTACTGCAATACTCTGGTATTTTGGCATAATATATATATATATATTATAGAAGGGGCCAAGGAGTCTCATCTTCCACCTCCAGCAACAGATTCTCTCCTCTTGGGAACATTGAGAGCTTTTCCGTGGGTTGCCATGGCAATGCTCAGCGTGGCACACATTCCATACCAACCTGCAGCAACATTCTTGTGGTTCGCGAGAAGACAAGACCTGCTACTGGAGGTGGAAGATGAGACTCCTGGGCGCCCTCTTTATTATTAGGAATTAGGAATCTAGTGTTCCTTCCTGGCCACAGGTAAGAGGCAGGGAGGGGAGAATAAGCTCAATTAATTAAAACAAAAACAACTGATTACCTCCCAGCACTTATCCAACACCACACCCTACATGTACCCATCACAGACATTGCTTTAACTAAACAAACACTGACACTGTATCCACTACACACACTCAGTGCCACCATCAGGGGTGACAACCATGACGGTTGTCACGGGCCCGGCGATCCTGGGGGGCCCGGGCCCCGCCAGGATCGCCGGGGGCCCCCAGGATCGCCGGGCCCGTGACAACTGTAGTGGTGGATCAGGACTCTAAATAATCAAACAATAGGATGGGTGGACACAGCATTGTCTACCCCCCAAATAGTAGCATGTCCCTCCCCCTTCCAGTCCCTGGGTGGCTAGCGCTCCCCGATCCCCTATCCAGCCCTCATTAAAAATAAGTAACCCTACCTACTCTTCTCACTCTAATAATAGTGAGGGGGTAGGAATAAAAACTAATACTTAGAAAAAATATATAGATATACTTACCACCTGAAATCTTGTTCCCATACTATGCAATATGAGTAAGAGCGGTCTGATTGGTTGTCTTACAAGCCAACTAATCAGAGCGCTCTGACAGGCAGGTCTCGATAGAGGAGGTAGGGCATAGGGAGGTTACAAAGCTTCCTAACAGAAATATGGGGGTGTTATTGACAGCCATAGGGTTTTAGAAAAAATTTCACTTTTTGTGGCTGGTGGCTTGTTAGCAAGCACTGGCCAGTCGCCACGCAATTAAACCTCACATTGCAGAGGGTGTTTAAACCAGCAAGCAGATAGCACTTAAAATGATCAATTCACTTGCAAAAAAAGCAAGGGAACGATAATTTGCAAATGTGTAACCTGATGAATTCATTCAATTCTGAAGTTTAGTAAAACTATCGATTTGTGAATATTGTGAACAAAGTAAAGGATATGTGAACAAAGTATAGGATTCGGATGCGATTGCTGCAGATTGGCACGGGACGACTGAATTCCGACCATGTTTGGCTTTAGTAAATATGAGAATTGCTATTGTGATTGGAAATCCGGACAAAATCCGGTCTTTAACAAATAACCCTGTTAATGTGGGTCAGGACAGCCAACAAGACATGGGTCCCGTTATCAGAATTGTCTAACCAAACTGCAACTGTTGACAACAACGCAAAGGACGAATTCTAAATTCTAACTGCACAGATCATGTTATAAAACTGTAATTCAGGACATCAGTCAACAATCTAAGTACTTTGTATCCACCATAATGAGGATCCAGCCTCATACTTATCCTCTGATTACACTAGCACATTTTGTTTAGTGTACAAATGTAATATTACAGAAGCATTTGGGTTGATAAGTCTAGAAAACGACATAAATGTTTATTTTCAAGGGACCAGCTGTTGAAATCATGGAATGAAAATGATCACCAGTATGAAATAGAAGCCCTACGCTAACGAAATGTTAAATATAATAAGTATCTACATTCTGACAGTTTTTATTTAACCCTTGGAGAGAGCTGAAATCTCTTGGGTAAGGCAAACCTTATTGAGGAAATCTAAGCAGAGGTAGCAGAAAATCTGTTTTTTTTTCACTATAGGAAAGAAGCCATCTGTCCCCTGTTTGCCCATCATAAAATGCTCCCAATGGAAAGCCAGTGACTCAGTGACTACGAGATTCACATATTAGAAAACATGTGTCTAACTGGCTGATAAGACAGTGTGGGTGTTGGGTAGGCAGTGAGTGGGAGGATCAGTGGTCAGTCAAAAGTGTATATTAGTGTAGTTAACACCTTCTGCTACACTGAACACTTTCACTACAGAGTTCTTTTCATTTAATACACTGCGACTATTTAAAACAATAAATTATTTGGTATTGCTAGCACATTAAAAATACCACAAAACAGCAGTTCGAAAAATGTAAATTTGCCAATTTCTGTCATCACACAAAAAGATGTGTTGGGGGGGTGGAGTGGAGCGGGGGTAACATGTTTTAGAGATTATACTGTATCCATCTCTTATCATGCAATATTAGAAACAGACCTGCACCAGGCATCCGCGGTACCACACGCGGAGGAAGGGGGGGGAGGGGGTGTAATGTTTGGCAGATTTTACCCTTTTTCTGCAGAAATGGAAGAGGCCCATTTTCGCCCAAAAATGTAGGCAGCCGAAATTTTGGTGCATCCCTACTTTCAATGCTTTACTATGGGTATAGCATTGGATTGGCTAAGATCATGAAGCCACAGAGGCGGGATTAGCCACGGCGAGACCAGCACAGCGATGGTCTCGCCGTGGCTGGCAAAAATAAATTTAAACACCTTTTCATGCGCTTGGAAGGTAATAGATCCTTTAAGGTAATAGATTCAGAATATAAACACTGCAATTATAACTCAATTTATTTAAACTGAACAATTAACAGGTAATACATTACATTTTAAATATTAAGCCAAAAGTGAGTCCTGTTCAGTCCAAAAGAAAAATATATTCAGATATGTAAATATATTCACATACACACACACACACACATATATATATATATATATATATATATATATATCCATTAAAGTGGGGGAGAGATGACTGAGCAGTTTTAAGACACTTGTATGCATGAGTGTATAAAATGCTTTTAGAAATCCTCCTGGCATTTAAATTGACTAAGAGGGGTGTGGCCAGAAGCAGGGCTATTTTGAGAAATTTTAGGGGAATAACTAATCATTTATGTAACTAAACTTTCTTTTAAAAAAAGAACAATGTATCCCATTTACACAGATTGATTTCCAAATACATTTATTTATTTTAAAGGCACATTACTGTGAGTAGTATTGATATGGAGCTCTGTTATACACTCAGACACAAACAATATGGAGCTCATAGAAAAGAGGGACATTAGGTAGAAAAGAGGGACAGAGGGATTTTGGACCAAAATAGGGACTACTGTGAGGTATATTTAAGCCAGGTGTGATAATGAGTATAGCCTGGCTTTTATTCCAGAGATACTACCATGAAAAAAAATAGATAAAAAACAAAACAATAAACAAAATATAAATGTAGCCAGTGACAAGAGAAGGGCTTAGTAATGACCAGATTAATAATGTTGATAATGGATTTATAGACTGGGAGGTGAAGAAAACCTAGTCGACTCTAGTGGTGCAGCTTACAAATAAGGATTAACGGTTTAGCACAATACAAATAGTTAATGTAAAGGCTGAAGGACCTATCAATACTATCCTGGAAGATTATCTTGATTGCCCATCGTTATGATCCACCGTCCCCCAGCTGCAGTATTATGAGGACTGTATTCTGTTACCTAGAAATGTTTATTGATGGTACTGATCTCCACGTTGTTGTTTTTTTAAATTGGATATATGGAGGAATTTAGAGACTAAAAAAACATTATTAACATATATGCAAGGAACAATTTGTATAGTAACAACAGACATTTGAAATATGCATAAAAATATTTGCATGTTCTCCAAACGTGGTCACCTAAGCCAGTATGACTGCCACCCACTGTGAACTTTGACCCCTTTATTGCTTTTTTTGGCATTTATTATGTTCAAATTAAATAGTGCTATTTTTTTTCTCAATAAAGAGGCATTTTTATCTTCAGAAAGCTTTTGCATATTTTGCAAAAAAAGCACCTTAACATGATATACCTGGTCAATGTGTGGCAGCCATGAGATGAAGCTAAAGTTATACTTACCTAAATCGCTCCCTTGTGGGCGCTGCCATCTTGTTTTCTTCAGTTCCTGGCACTTTATGTGCCAGTTACCAGTGTCACTGCTCTACTGTCCAATATGCATGAAGGTTAGAGCATGGAGCGTGTGTATAGAGAATTCAGCAAAACGTGTGATGCTCGAGATGCATGTTTTACACAGTCAATGTTAGCATTCATGTATGCCTTTCTCACCATTTTTTTTCTGATTGATTGTAAATTTTTGTTGTAATACTTATCTGAGTATTTTTGTTTATGTGTTTGACCGATTTCTATTGTATTGTATGGAAGGTATTTTATACCTACATCTTACAATTTTATTTTCCAATTAATATTTTTAACTTCTTTTATGTGACTTCGCGCAGCAAAGATAACTTGGCGTATATCTATAATGAATCTCAGCTGCCAGTCCCGATATATCTAAATCATATTACAGATATCTATTTATGAATGATTAACACAATCTTGGTGTTTCAGTTGCTTTCATGGTTACATATCGATTGCTCCATGTTTTAAATATGTCTTTCCTATGTGATCTGCCCAGTGTCCTTGCACACAGACACCAGGGTTAAACACAGTGCCCACTGCTTTCACTCAAACATCTCAGTAGAAAGGCTCAAGTCATATGGCTCAAAGCAGAACTGATTTGATTAATTTAAAGAGGTGCTGAGAATTCAATGTGAATTTTACATTTATGGCACAAACACCTGAAATGGAAGCATACCCGACTTGGAAAATGTATCCAGTTCTGATATTATTACTTTGAATTTGATATTCACTTTAAATTCTCACTTTTGTGAATAACCCTGTAACAGAAGAAAGTGAACCTGCCACAACAGACAGGTCTTGGTTTGCCCTCCTTGCTGCCCCAAGGCCAGTTTACTCAATGCACCCCTCTCCATTACATATATTACACATACATGTATGCAAAAGTTTGGAGTATGCGTTTGTATGCGTTAATGCAAGGCTTGTCAAGATGTTGCTTTCGGGGTTGCGTGTGTGCTGTGACTGCTTTCATGTGTTACATGTTTGTGGGTAAGAGGTTTGTGCAGTTGCTTGTTTCTGAGGATACTGTTGGTGGAGTTGTTTGTGTGTGTGTGTTTGTGGGTATGAGGTTTGTGGAGTTGCTTGTTTCTGAGGATGCTGTTGGTGGAGTTGTTTGTGTGTGTGTGTGTTTGTGGGGATGCCGCTTGTGGGATTGTGTATTTGGAGTAAGCTGACTGTAGGGTTGCAGGTTTTGTCGGTGTGCGGGAGATGCTGCTTGTGTGGTTGCGGATTGTGTATGTGGATGGTGCTGTTTGCGATGTAGTATGGTTGTTGGCATGTCACGATGGTTTGTGGATAGTGGCTGTAATGTGTGTGTTAAGATGGATAGTGGCTGTAGTGTGTGTGTTGATTGATAGTGGCTTTAGTGGGTGTGTTTGGAATGGGAGGGCCTTTTCTTGTTTTAGTTGATGAGGATATCGGCTGTAGTTTGTGTTTTTGGAAAAAATGTGGCTATAGAGTATGTGGGGAAAGTGAGGTTGTAGGGAATGTAAGAGGGATCAGGTCTGTAGTGTATGTGTGCAGGGAATAGAGGCTATATTTTGCATTTTGGGGTGATAGTGACTCTTGTATGTGTTGAGAAAGACAGTGGCTGTTATGTGAGTATTAAGGGGGGGGAGGAGGGGCTATATCTGTGAAAAAAGGGGTACAGGTGCTGTAGTGAGGAGATAGTGGATTTAGTGGCGGACAGGGCAGTGGTGGGGTGACAAGGGCTGTGCTAGGAGCTACATGGGCCATGGTGGGGGGTTAGGGCCATTTTGAGAAGATAGAGAAAACATAGCATATAGCAAGAGGATAGGGGTGGTAGTGTGTGGGATAAGGGCTGTGGTGGCTGGATAGTGGCAGAGGTTGTGGAACAGTTACTGTTTTGAGGGTAGGGGCTCTGGTGGCTGGGTAGTGGCAGAGGTTGTGGAACAGTTACTGTTTTGAGGGTAGGGGCTCTGGTGGCTGGGTAGTGGAACTGGTTCGTAACAGATATTGCTTTCAAGGTAGGGGCTGTGGTGTGGGGGGTAGGGGCTGTGGTGGGGGGATAAGTGGCTATAGTGGCACCTGGTGGGTGCCATCAGATCATTCTGCCCGCTGCTGAGGGATTGTATCAGAGTGTTCCCGGGAAATGCTCTGATACAATAAAATGTACTTGAGCGCCATCAGACCTGCAGGAGATCTCCTTGTCAGTTTGGATGGGATATCAGCTACCCAGTACCGCTCCTTGCCTGCCTGCCACCCGGAGGCCGTGGTCTTGGTGGCCTTATGTCAAATCCAGCCCTGATAACAGCTTCACTTTAAAAGTTAACAGTTAATAAAGCAGTAATTAGTTATGTTATCTTATGGGTAAGTTATATTTGAATTACCGAAGAGATAACAGATGTATTGTTACTTACCTCCTCTACAGCTTCCCAGTGCCACCATGACAGAATGACCATTCATCCACCTTTGGAATGATTGGCCACATTAGGGAAAACCTCTCCAAGCAGAAATATTCTCCTCCGTAACGCTAACACAATGCCTTAATTGTCATTCCATTCCTATGCTCCTCTAGCAATGAGAGACACCTTTGTTGGGGGAGTAATCACAGCAATTACAGCGCATGTGCTGCAGTTGATGCTCCTGAGATGGACAGCAGGAAAAGCAGCAGTAGGAAGGTTCTCCTGCCGTCCCCTGTCACTCAATTTGTATCACACAAGTTATGCCAAAAATTGTTTGATAGGTGAGGGCAGTGATCACATTTTTAAATAAAATTGCAGGAAAATCTTTACATTTGTTAGAAATTGTGACAACATGACAGGTACATTTAAGAGTCTATTCCGCCACATTTCCCACTTTCATGTCTATGTATTACATTGTAACTTGCCAGAGGAGAGAGTGGAGTAAAATTCATATTTACCTTTTCTTTTCAGCCTGCAGAGTTAGGCAGCTATCTAAAATCTAAAGCTTTTGAATGGGACAGTTGGCTCAAAGTAATGTATGTCCCTTAAAAACAAAGAAAAATTGAATATTAGTGAGAAAGTAAACCAAAACAACCAGCATAACTAATTGGATATAAAATGACACATTGCACCAGTATGTGTGGGGACTGGAGTGTCTTTAAATATATTGGGCAATAATTTACCCTTTGATGTTGGTTTCTAAAACTGTTTTCTAATACCTTCAAAAACAGATTTACAAAAACACCACAGCAATTTTTGCTAGATTATTCTTTCTATGCCGGGAACAAACGCTACGTATAATATCAGAATTACCGTCATGTTGTAACAAAAAAAACAAAAAAAAAACAGTTTGACATTTACAAGCCATGAGTCAATCATTCCAGTAAACAGCAACTTAGTGACAACCAATCATTTTTGTTCTAACGATTCACTGACCTGAAACAGTGTATATCAGCTTACACTTGTAGGGGATTATACACTAAACAGTGATCTGGAATACCAGTTGCAAATTATTAACCATAGTTCCAGGAGTGAGGGAAATAAATCTGTTGAAAGCTATTTCCATGGATTATGTTGACTTTATGGAACACTCCAGGCATCATAACCTCTACAGCTCTCTGTAGTGGTTATGGTGCCAATAATACCCTGGCACCAACATTGTAACTAGTAAAACCATTTTAGAACTGTTTGACTTCTTAACTGTGTTCACCAGATGCTGCTCCTGTCTCCACTACTTCCTATGGAAAGTTCTGAAAAAGGCTTCTGTTAGCTCTCTTGAACTTGTCGTGCAATGCAGGCTTAGCTCATTGGCTAAAATGGTCTGGTAATTGCCCTCAGACAGATATGCATGACGTAGTCCAGATAGAGAACTTCCATTTTTCTATAGGAAGTGTTGGGGGCGGGCAGCAGTGTATAACAAACCCCAGGTGAGGTGCCATAAAAGCTGACAGAGTTGTAACTGCTGTAGTGGTTCTTTAATTTCATAGCTCACTTTTCAATATATTGCAAATCACTGTTTATTCCAAGGGACACTATATGCACCAAGACAACTTCATTTCATTAAAGTGGTCTGAGCGAAGTGTCCCTGTTCCCTTAACCCTGCAATGTTAAACATCGAGGCTTCAGAGAAACTACAATGTTTGCATTGCAGCATTAAAACTGTCTCTAGTGGTTGTGTTCCAGACAGTAACTAGAGGGGCTTCATGGATTCTAACTTTCCTATGGGGAAATTCTAACACGTGTGCCGAGAATGTACATTAGGTTCCTCCATTGCTGTAACGTCCCTGGAGGGGGAGACCGATCCAGCGCTCACCATATCTTACAGACTGTCAGGGTTATTCACTACATCACGAATAGTCAGGAATTGTTCATTTTGGGCCAGAATTGACTTCACAACCCTTAAAAGGTTTGTGCGTGTATTCACTATACATTGAGCAGTACTGAATTGATATCCATAATGCAAATTTCAGGCGAAAATAGCTGTGTGGCGACTATAGCTGGCTAGCAGAATTTTATTTTCTTAAAATCAGCTATTTTGACCCAAATTGTGCATTTCATTTTTTTTTAATTTAGTGAATAAACTCCATATTGAACAAACTTCTCTTCTGAAATAGCTGAGCTGAAAGACAGGCTAGTTATAGAAAATGCTTAGAATGACTATTCTGTCCTACAATTTGCAGTTCCCCAATTTGGTCATGAATAAACCCCAATAGGTTATACAAGGGGGGGGGGTCATATTTATTCAGAATTGTTGCGGGAGCTGGCCTCATATCTGCTCAACATGTCCTTTGCAACCCAGTCAATAAATAGCCATACAGACTCTATAATGCATGGCACCGCAGGCGACTGATCACATGAAAAAATGTGTGTTTTACACTATTCGTGTAAAGGGCAGCACAATGAGAGGCGAAGACAAAGGTTCAGCTTAGAGAATACACATGGCACTGATGGCAGATGCATGTGTCACACAGGGCAGACCCTATACAAGTCTCCCAGTGACACTCTGTGATACCAGCTGTTACTTTGTCATACACTTGTCTCAGGTCTCAGACTCCAGAGCCTAAGCCTACAGAGGGGAACTTGAAACTGCCAGAGCTTTTCGCTGATTGGTGAAGGGCCCTGTGTGACGCTTAACTCCCCCATTATCAGGAAGGAGACTGAGAACAGGATCCCAAGAGGACAGAACAACCCCCCCTCCTGCTGCTGCCTGTAACATTATATGACTTGTGTATACCCCCCCTGTGTTCACTCCACGTGTGGCTGTGCTAACAGTTCCTGCCCTAAAGAGCTTTCATTCTGTTCTGTGGTTATGTACCGGACATATAGCGTAACTCTTTCAGCGCCAGCAGGGGATGCATGTCACAATGGCTGGAAGGAGTGGGTTTTTAGGGTAGCGTGGCCAGATTAGACGTGATATAAAACACTATCCCCAAAATATTGCCCTTTTAAAATATCTGTGTGTCTAATAAAAAATATAATAATACATTGAAGCACTGCATTATTTTGTCTCTATCTATTATTGACATTTAAAAATAAATGAAATAATTACAAAATGTTACAAGAAAATAGGTTGATGAGGACACTGTTTAACCCCTTAAGGACCAAACTTCTGGAATAAAAGGGAATTATGACATGTCACACATGTAATGTGTCCTTAAGGGGTTAAATGAGCTTTCTATCTATCTATTTATGTATTACTGGTATCTATAAAGCGCCAACAGTTTCTGCAGCGCTGTACAATTAGTGGAGGACTTACAATATACACAGACAACTACAAAAGGTAGAGAGGGCCTTGCCCGTAAGCCGATATCTAGCCATTTTAGCTATTTTATACAAAGTGCTAAGCTAGATAGCCTGTGAGCTTACTATCTAAATGACACAGTAGGGATTTGAGACAAAAGGTAGCAGCATTTATTTCTATCTATCTATCTATCTATCTATCTATCTATCTATCTATCTATCTTTTTACTGTCTTCCCCTTTCCCTTCATAAAGAGAGAGGCTAGTTAGTGTATTTTTAGGGAGGTGTGCATTAATGTGTGAGAAATTGGGAGACTCCATCCTGGGATTCTGGAGAGCCATTGTACTGCTGTGAGAGATTTAACGCACCTTGGTATATAACGCCCAAAAGAATGATCCTCAATGTAGTGAAAGGTCTTCAGTACGCATATTGCACCAACATCATTGCTAGAGATACATTTAGAATGGCTCTTTGTGGAGAAAAACAAGATATGTGCACAAATATATTAACTATAAGAGAAAAAAACAAAACAACCCAAAACATTTATTTAAGATGGTGTGTCAATGTACGGTGGTGCTTTAAATATATTTTTATAGAATGAATTTAACAAAGACAGGCTTTGATTGGATGATTTTGGGGCAATTAAAAAGTAGAAGCTGGCTGGATGGGGTGACTTTGGGGCAATTATGCATACGGCCTGTTTTTTTGTCACTGTAGGAGCATCCTGCTCAATCAGAGACTGAAATAACCTTTTTACTAAAATGTGTTGCACACCCGTCACCCCTGGCAAGAAGAATTGCTGAGTTAGGCAATTTCTCTATTTGGGTTATTTTGTCCAGAAATTACCCTGGAATATGTCACAATTTCCAGCTTAGTAAATAAATTCATGCATTCTCATATGATGGAGCACAAAGAAAAAAAACCATTATAAAACACCCAGGTCAATAAAGGGATATTATCCCTTATTTATAATAAATCACCATCTTCCACTGAGATACAAAGGGATAAAACAGATACAGGATTAGGATCGCCAGATCCATTACATTTTCACGGACACATATCATTTATTGATAGGCACTGCTCTGCAGTTTGTAAAATTCATATTTTGTAGGTAGGAAAACAATCTTTAAAAGAGGAATCCTGCAGTATTTGAATGATAAATTCTAAAAGGCAGTACTTCTGATAAGCTGCCCATCAACAGGGGTGGATCCAGAAATTCAATTGAGGAGGGGAACTACTGGATTCTTACATAAAGCAGGCTATAGGCATTTGGTTGGGTGGTCTTGCATTCCGTCTCGAGAGCTCTATCCTGCACCCACCACTAACCATCAACATGAGCAAGTGATAAGTGTTCTGAAAAAATATGGTGCCTCTTATTAGGATTACTGCTGCAAATCTGTTCAAATATCTGTTGCACTTTTTTTGAAATTTTGGTACTTTGCTCTACGTCCCGTGATGGTCTGCCTGTCAGTATGCAGCCAATAAGAGTGAGGTATTAAAAGTTAACCAGCACAATTCTATGGAACATGTTTCGGACATAAAGAAAACCATTTGGTGTTCGTCAAGAAACCAAAAATTATGGAAAATTGATGAGACCATTTTAGTATGAAATACAATTTAAAAATTTTCCACAATTCTAGAGTAATCCTGAGAGGCTGATGCCTGTGAGCCATGGGTTTATGAAGGAGCTGCCTTTTTTTTAACTATAGGTACTTATGGTGCTTTCAGGGTAGGGGTATCTTGACTGTTAATTGGTGATGTGGTGGGCGCAGTGTTATTTCTGTGTCAGCTGGATCTAGGCTAACAGACTGAGGAGATGATCTATTGTGAAGGCAATTCCTCCTTGCCTGAGACACAAACTAGCAATGTGTGGTTGTGAACGTAAAAGGAGGTTACACACTGCCATCTGCTGGTAGTTTAAACACCGACACTATGGGATACCTTAGTTTCTTGACTAGTGATAAGTTAAAGGACCACTCTAGGCACCCAGACCACTTCAGCTTAATGAAGTGGTCTGGGTGCCAGGTCCTTCTAGGGTTAACCCATTTTTTCATAATTATAGCAGTTTCAGAGAAACTGCTATAATTATGAATGGGTTAAGCCTTCCCCCTAATTCTCTAGTGGCTGTCTCATTGACAGCCACTAGAGGCGCTTGCGTGCTCCTCACTGTGATTTTCACAGTGAGAGCACGCAAGCGTCCATAGGAAAGCATTGTAAATGCTTTCCTATGCGACGGGCTGAATGCGCGCGCAGCTCTTGCCGCGCGTGCGCATTCAGCCCAGGAGGAGGAATGGAGGAGGATCGGAGGCAGAGAGCTCCCCGCCCAGCGCTGGAAAAAGGTAAGTTTTTAACCCTTTCCCCCTTCCAGAGCTGGGCGGGAGGGGGTCCCTGAGGGTGGGGGCACCCTCAGGGCACTATAGTGCCAGGAAAACGAGTATGTTTTCCTGGCACTATAGTGGTCCTTTAAAGGGTTACGCCAAGCATTATAATCAATAAAGCCTGCTGTAGTGCTTAGGATGGAAGGAGTACCCTGACTTCTTTCTACGATAATGGAGCATTTTGCAATGGTTTGCCCTCTTACCTGGGTCTTCAGCAGGCACTGAGGGGTGACGTCAGGTGCCACCCCTGAACTCTTCATTCTCTTGAACTTTAACAGAGAAGAGCAACGGAATGGCATATTTCAGGGGAAATGGCTACATTAAAAAAGAGAAAAAAACCTCTTTATTTTCCATTTTCTCGCTTTTTTTTTTTGTCCTGAAGCTTGCAATCATCTTACACATTTCCAAAATTGTGATGAATGAAAACTTGCACAGGAGATACAATTGACACAACATCAGGATCTCACAGCCAGGAAGAATTATGAAAGAGTTGATGGCAGTACGATGATCTAAGAGAGATGGATTTGATACAATATTAAAAATATGATTTTTTTGTGAAATCTTTGACATTTTATGTTAAACAGAACGTACAGTAAGAATAAGACAATAATAGTACTTTTCATAGGTATCCACAATATTTAAGTGCAATAAGATATAGCAAGGCACAGAAAAAAAGCTTTCTTGAATAAAAAGTTCTCGTAACAATGTGTACTGAGTGTCAATAGTGGAACTTGACTGGAGCGTTAATAAGGAACATCATAGGCGTGCAAAAATACCAACTGTGGTCAATACACTAAAATACGTCAGATGTATAAGATGAGAATTATAAATTCATCAAATGGAACTGGAAAGATAAATTCAGACCAAATAGAATAGTCCTAGCTGTGCTTATGATTAGGAAGAGAACCAGGGCCCAGTGCAGCCAGTTCCAGCCGGAGAGGAGACATTGTGTCCGACACAAGATCAGCATTGACAGATACCACCTATTGCATAATTATACTAGTATCAACCTCCAAAGTGTCTCCTTTTAGGAGGGACAGTCCCTATTTTGGGCCCAAATCCCTCTGTTCCTCCACCATTATAACACTCCAAAATTTTATTGTTGATGTGTCTGAATGTGTAACAGAGCTCCAATGTGATAACATACCATCATTTTATGGAGACACTGGGGTCCAATACCACAATGTTGATACACTATGTCAAAGGGTTCCACGGGAAAAAATAATTGGCAACCCCTGTCCTAGAGTAACATGGGCAACTGCAGGGCGCAGAAATTTCTGTGCTCTGCCAATCCAACTTCTGGTAGAGAAGCAATGAATACAGCGCTTCTCCATAAGCATTGGTTGTGTTCTAGTGGCTGTCACAGATTATGCTTCCCACTGGAGGGTCTGGGAGAAATCCTCTCACACTATGTTCCTCTCAATTTCCAACAACTCCCATCAGTGACTAGAAAAGGTGGCAGCTTTTTTGTTGTGATAGTACAACATTTTGCACTTTTCAGTCTGGCAGCCACTAGAGGCATGATTTGAATTAAACATTGACTTTTCTCAGAAATAACAATATTTTACATTATCCAAGTAAAGGAATGAGGTATATGCACCAAAACCACTTCATTAGGATGAAAGGTGATATATTGGAACAGTACTGTACACCATCCGGAGTATCTTCATACATCCAGAGACGGGGATTGTACTGTCCAAGCAAAAAAAAAAAAGCAGAGCTCTAAATAGCTCAGAAAAGTGTGAGTTAGTCCTCTTAAATAATCATATAGGATATGCACTTAAAGTGACATATTGCACTGTTGCACTGACATATTATCTGTTTTATTTGTTTGTTTTTCTTGAGGATCTATTCACTGAATATCAAATGATTGTATGTACAAGCAAGAAAAACGAAGTACGTATATATATATATATATATATATATATATATATACACACACACACATCTGTATACCACACTATAAATGTATTCTATATCACATCACTAATTTTCACCATTAGGCGTGGTTTATCACCAATTGTGATAATTGTATCTTTAACAAGGTTTTTGGGAATCCTTGTCAATTTACCGCTGCCACCGATTGTATGCTATAGTAAGCGAATACGCTATCTTTGCTTTAAGTCCAATACTTTCCCAGAGGAAAGCTGCGCTGCACCAACCAGCATCTCCTCATAGGGAACGTTCAGGGTCTCCATGCAGAGTGTCGCACAGGTTGGTACACATTTGCATTATGAGTCAGAAAGGAGTGTATTGGGTTTTGCTGGTCAGTGCCTAGTTTGCGGTGCTGGGGGGAGTGATCATAAAGATTAGCAAACTACCTCTGAAATCCCTCTGCAATTTTGGTTGGAATATCAATGGGTTGTCCCGTGGGAGTGTAAATGTTGATGATTTGTTTGGCTTGGGTGCGTTTGCAGTCTGCGGGCTAGGAGTGTATGTATCTGCTTTATTGGATTTCTCGTAGAACATTTGTTTTGTCCATTGTACGGCTTTCGTTGCGTCCATGGCCATAGCCCGTTTAAGAGCTTGTCGTTGAGTTTGGAGCCTTATAATGAGGTCCTGTGTGGGGGTTTGTTTGTGTTGGGATTCTAGTTGTCTAATCGTCGCTAGCAAGGTTTCTATGTATGCGAGTCGCTTCTTTTTTTGCTTATGAGGGATCCCCTGATCACCAACTTGTGGGCTGTCCACATAATAGCATGTGATTGGACTGAGTTTTTATTCGTAGTGAAGTAGTTTCTGAGTTCTGTTTTGAGAGGTTGTATTGTTTGCGGTCCGTGGAGTAGGATGGGGCTTAGTTTCCATGACCAGGGCTGCAAAATTTGTGGCTGTTGGAACGTTAAGGAGATGTCGGCGTGGTCCAACCACGTGATATTACCGATTGTGGTTGTGTGGGGGCGGAGGGAAGGGGAAATAAGGAAGTAGTCTATGCATGAGAAAGTTGGTGCGAGTAAAATGTGTAGTCTTGTGTTTTTGGGTGGTGCAGTCTCCAAATATCCAGTAGTTCCGTCTGAAATAAGAAGTCAGCCATGAGTTTATCTGATCTGGAGGGTTGAGGTGGCAGCTGAGGGCGATGTCTCTGGGAAGAGTTTGTGTTAAAGTTCCCCCCTATGATTCTGTGGTGTGTTGGGTATAGGCTAAGGTGCGCTTGTAGGGTGAGCCAGCATTGTGGATCTGGATGTGTGGGTGCGTAGAGGGATGTGAATCTGAATTTGGTCGGGCCAAAAGTCCCTGCTATCGTAAGGTATCGCCCTTGAGGGTCTTTGTGTGGGTTGTTAACCTGGAGGGGGAACGTTTTCCATAACAGTATCGCTACCCCATTCTGCTTACCCATGTTGGAGTTAGCTAGGTGGTATGCCTTGAAGTGCCGGCTAAGGAGAGGGAATGGGCGTGTGTCAGAGTAGTGCATTTCTTGTAGGAAGATTAATCCTAGTTTAGGTTAGACTAGCAGGCATTGTGGTGGGTGTTGGTGGATTGCGTTTGTTGAAACATTGTTAAAAGAAGAGAGAAATCCAGCAGTCCCCTAGGTCTCCAACCCTTGGGCCCTGTGGGGGGTAACTTAGTAGAATCATGGTAGATCAGAAAGGTGAACAAATAAAAAGAACTGCCTGGTCTTACAACCTGTGCCAGGTTTAGTGTTTGAAGGAATGTGGGTATGTCCTGTACAGGACTGGTCGAGGACCTATTGTCCCAGGTGTCGTGGAACATGATGAAGGTAGGTCCTGGGGTGCTTCCCGCCCCAGCTGTGTGAATGTTTGCACATGACCGATGCACAGCAGGGAGTGGAAGTGCCAGGGGCCTTCCCTGTTGGTGTTTGGTATCCTTTGGTGGTTATGGGGTTCCTGTTTTTCCCCCACTGGGGGTCTTGGTTGCTGTTGTGCCAGGGGATTAGGTGTAAGGTTTGGCCTTGCCATACCCTTGTTGGAGTGGGGATGTGCGTGATTCGGAGTGGAGACAGGGGCATCCCCCGAGTGATAAAGGTGTGGTAGGGGCGGCAAGGGACAGCGCATGCGTATATACCTTTACAGACAGTCATGTATACATACACATATATTTCAGCTTGCGCCCATATACCTCAGTGTGGTTTCCCGTCTTTCCCCAGCTTGCGTCCATATATCTCAGTGTGGTTCCCCGTCTTTAAGTGTTTTTATTAGCCGGTATGTTTCATCAGCGCTATCCCTCCCCTCCCCTGTTTTGGGGTGAGGGAGCTATTTGGTGGTGTCTAGCTTAGTGGTTGCCCCCTACTCTCCCCGTCGGGGTGTGCCCCACAGAGTTTAGCAATATTATAACTTTAACCACAAAGGGATCTACACATTAAACAGGCTTTTAACTTGCAATAACTTGGAAAAAGGATATATGTGAGAGTTCATTTCGGTTGTAACTTGCGGTGAGGATTAGTCCATCAGGATAATAGACCAGAAGAATTTGTCCTTGAAGGCACTTTTAGGTGCATAAATTGTGGAGTACCAATGTCCATGTGTTCATGGAACTTTCGCTCTGGTGCCTGGTGTTGCTTGTAGCTGCCTCTTCTTGGAGCGGTTCCGAGGAGGTAAAGGCTTCTCCCATAAGGGAAGTAGTGCTGGTCGGGTTCCTGCTGTGGCGCTTGGAGCTGCAGCGGGAGCTTTGGACAGTCGCAGGCCCAGTGTTGCTGCAAAGGTTGTCATTTTGGTGGTGTCCTGGAGGACATGGGTGGTCTTGTCCTTACGAACCACAAGCTTGATGTGGTGTCCTTATCGGTACACCAATCCAGCTTGGGTCAGTGTGGTGGTGAGTGGCTTGAGGTCCCGGCACTTGGCCAGAGTGATGGGCAACAGGTCCTGATAGAATATTAATGTGGTTGTGTCGAATTTTGGCGGGCTTTTCCTTGTTGCCGCCATGATGGACTCCTTGATGGTGTAATAATGCAGATGCACTATTACGTCTCTCAGTACTGTTTGGTTAGGGTTGGGAGGTTTCCCAGCTCTTGCGGTGTCATTTCTGGGATGAGGGTGAGAAACACCTCCTTAGCGTGCAGAGAAGCATGTCATTGGTGACCGTCTCTGGCAGGCCTTTAATCCTGATGTTATTGCGCCTGGACCGGTTATTGAGATCTTCCATCTCATTTTTAAGCATTTCTATGCGAGACCTCAGCGCTGTCAGGGAAGCATCATGGTAACTACATCCAGAAGTTCATCTGCTCGCTGTTCAACCAGGCCTGTGCGCTCACCCAGATCGGCGACTTCTTCTTTTAGGCCTTGGAGCTGTTGTTCAAGCTCTGCCGCCACATGCCTGCTTGATGTCTGCTGCTGCCTCGTGGAGTAAATGTTGAAGATCGCGCTTTGTCAGCGGCGCTGAGGCTGGGGACTCGCTGCGCTCAGAGTCAGAGGCCAAGTCCTCTGTGTGGAAGATGGCGCCGAGCCATGAGGTGAGCGGAACAGCGAGGGCACCGATGGTGGTAGGTCTTGTTTTTTGCGGTTTTCCCCCGTTGCAGGGTGCGACACTGTAGATGTGTGCAGGCTTAGGGGGTGTCTGTACTCCATCCATTTTGCTTTTAGTAATTTTTTGTGGGACCTGTGCCGCCATCTTGGTTCCCGATCAGGCTCCGTCCCCCAACCTACCATATGTTTTATTATATCATTCCCATTTTATAATTGGAAAGCGCTGTGGAATATGTTGGTGCTAGATAAATGATAATATTATTATATATTAGATTGGTCTCCCTCATATATTATAACAAAAGGGGAGTAGAAGCCGGAGCTGGCCCAGAGGTGTGCAGAGTTGGAGCTAATTTATTAACTTCACATATATGTATATGTTACTGCTAGATTGTGGATTGAATAAACACACTTCGTTTTATGTTGCAAGTGATCAACATGGGACAAACATTACAAATAACGGTATTGGAATATCACTGAAATTCCAGCCCATTCAAACGATATACTGAGACAAAGTAGGAACTGGACACCTGTATTCAATAAATAAGAGGTGTGTCCCAATACTTTTGTCCATAAAGTGTATTTTTAGCAAAGCAAACTATAATAAATTTAGCTAGAATTAACACTTGAAAATCTGTCATTGTTTGCTCATGCAAGCATCCATGCAACTGATCACACATTTTCAAATTGCTATCATTAAAAAAACAAAAAAACAGGATTTGCAAACCAATGTTCAGCTTTCCAGAGTGCAGGAAATAGGAAATGGTTCTTTAAACTCTCTGTTAACTTGCTTTCCATGGCAGGATAGAAGCTATTTATTTGATGTTTATAAAAAAAAATTATAGAACAAACTACATACAAAGTTCCGACCATTTTAACATGCTATGTGATGGTGAATAGCCCGTTTTATTTTAAAGTGAATTTATTCAGATTATCCCTTATGTAACCTTCCTTTTGTAAATCCTATATCTTCCTTTTAACAATGCCCACCTTCCAGAACCTGACTTTTGCATATCTGCCTTTTATTCACGTCGTACCTCATACTCATTTTAGAATTCTTTATTTAACCCCTTAAGGACCAAAATTCTGGAATAAAAGGGAATCATGACATGTCACACGTCATGTGTCCTTAAGGGGTTAAGAGATAAAAGAGTAAAAAACACTACGCAGTCTGATAAAATAACTGCAAATGAGCAATGAATGGTAAAGAAAAAAGAAAATCTGATATTCAATGACGGTACATACAACTTTACCAATAAAGAGAAGTAGAGCAATGAGGATTAAATTGAATAAATTGTGAGATTATGAAAATGAAGTCGGTGATGGGACCATCTACTTTTTAGGGGTTTAAAAAGGATCGGCCCTGGTGTGGTAAATAACCTTGAACTGTATTTGCCTTTAGAAAATTTGTGAATTGCAAGTACTGATGAAAATGGTTATTTTATCCAATCTCGACCAAATCCAGTCTTTCAGGGTTATTCACAAATGTGAGAATTCAGTGGCTTTTAAATTTTAGATCATAATGGCCAAATTGGAACATTTCTTTAACCCCTTAAGGACACATGACATGTGTGACATGTCATGATTCCCTTTTATTCCAGAAGTTTGGTCCTTAAGGGGTTAAAGGTCAGCAATGCTTTCAGTTTGGCTTCTCTGGCCTTAAAGGGACACTATAGGCACCCAAACCATTTAATCTCATTGGTCTGGGTGCAGTGTCCCTGTCCCCTTTAGTCCTGCAATGTAAAACAGATAGCCACCGGAGGTGCTTCCTGGATTCTTTGAGTCCCTTAAATGACGCAGGACCTGCTCACGCTGTGCATAAGGACATGCAGTGTCAGTGAAATCCTCTTTACATGTAGGAGGAGGGGCCGTGAGGGAGAGGGGGACCCAAGGGCACTAAAGTCTTTGGAAAACAGATTTGTTTTCTGAACAATATAGAATCCCTTTAAATTTGTCTCCTTGAATTATCACTTTTAGTCCAGTAGTGGTTCCCAAACCAGTTTTCGTGGCCCACCACCAACCCAGGACTTCCCTGCTTTATTCCAATGGAGATACGGACAAAACCTGGACTGTTTTTGGGTCTTGAGGACTGGCTTGGGAAACACTGCATTTAGAGAATAACCCTGTCGGTGTATACCCCCCACCCATTTGCATGTTGTCCCTGTTTGTACCTGGTGATGCTGTCATTCATTGTGCAGTCAGTAGGGAGGCGGTAAGTTCTGTCGATGGAAAGTGATGGAGAGAATAGTTTGGGCCACTTTGTATTTGTTTATAGAAGTGCTTAGCATCTTATAAAATCGTTTTGTTTTTGCATTTCTGAGCATTATGTAACATTTACACTTACCTGGCAATTACTCAAAATTACTTATTAAGGATTTGCAGAAAATTATATTTTGCTATTAACCCAATCAGACTGAAGGCAGCTCTCTGTTAACCCTATCACAGCCATCAGACTGTTTGCTATTAACCCTATCACACCCACCATGCTGTTTGCTATTAACCCTATCAGACTGAAGGCAGCTCTCTGTTAACCCTATCACAGCCATCAGACTGTTTGCCATTAACCCCATCAGACTGAAGGCAGCTCTCTGTTAACCCTATCACAGCCTTCAGACTGTTTGCTATTAACCCTATCACACCCACCATGCTGTTTGCTATTAACCCTATCACAGCCTTCAGACTGTTTGCTATTAACCCTATCAGACTGACGGCAGCTATCTGTTAACCCTATCACAGCCACCAGACTGCTATTAAACCTATCAGACTGAATGCAGCTCTCTGTTAACCCTATCACAGCCACCATGCTGTTTGCTATTAACCCTATCAGACTGAAGGCAGCTTTCTATTTACCTTATCACAACCGTCAGACTGAAGGTAGCTTGTGTTTAACCCCTTCATAGACTGCTTGCTTTTAACTCTATAACAGACACAGGTCTGAAGGCAGCTTACTATTAACCCCATGAGAGGTGTCAGACTAAAGGCCTCATTGTCAGCCCAGTTCTACTCTCATATAAGAGACTGACCAAGGGATCCTGAATGAGGCCTCCAGCCTGCTCACTTCACTCCCTCACTGATAGTCTGCCTCTAAAGCAATTCCATGCAAACCAATCCCATATGACTGAGTTCCTGTGTTCCCAGTCCTCACAGTGTAGGAACTGTTTGTTTATTTCAGGAGGGTTGGAGAATACACTATTTTCCAGAATTCTAGAACTGGTGAAAAGTGACATGTAAAAAATTATGTCCAGACACAAACCAGAGACCTGCAGTCAGGAAGTGAACACCTTGACCTCGTGGGCTGCATTGCTGGTAAGATCGGAGTATTGATATTGTTCAAATTATTCTACATTTACACTATGGATAATTAGCTATTGACAATCCAACTGTTCTATGGACTACTTTACTCAGTATGCTCAGCGAGGACTAGATGTGCATCACTTGCAAAAACTTGCCAAAAGGTAGGATATATCAGAAAAGTGTCAGGACATAGATACAAACACAACTATGTGAATCTTTTGGATAATTTGCATTTCCTATTGGAATTCCAGACAATCCCCAGTTTAAAGCAACACTCCAAGCACCATAACTACTACAGACTGCTGTATTGGTTCTGTTGCCAAGACTGCACTGGCACATGCCAGTGTAATTTGTCAAACTGTTTGACACCTTACTGCAGTCCCAATGTTTGGCCACAGCCCTGCTGCTTGCATGATAATCCGGTATGCTCCGCTTGAACTAAGCTGTGCGGTGGAGCAGCCCAAGGCTACTCTCATTGGCTGAGAGATCAGCTTAGTGTGAGAGCGTGGCCTTGTATCGAGCCGAGTTTTGGCCCTGGAGAGACATCCGACTTCTCCTGCAGGAGATGCCGGATATGGCACTGGTGCTTGGGGGCGGGGGGACGACAAGTTGTTAAATCACTGATGGGAGGACATGGAGGAAACACTGTTTCATTGCTCTTTGCGAGGCTCTAGTGCCCTGAGTGAGGCGCTTGTGCTACACTTTTTGGTGACAGTTCCCTGGTACAAAATAGAAAAAGAATGTAGCGCTTTAATAATTAAGAATATAAATATCACCTTATTCTGTATGAGGGGGGGAAATTCTCACTTAGGTCCCAAATAAGTCAAGATCTATAAAAAATAATCACAACATAGTGTAGATAGCAAAGACATATATATTTGTATATAAATATTAACACTCACAAACCCAGAGCTGTGTACTCTAGTTTGAATCACTTCTGGGTCCGTTTAGGCGACCCACCCCTTAGATAGAAGTATAGCTGGTCCTGGAGGGGAATAGATATACAAAAGAAAAATTGCGCAGTATCGTTGATGAATAGGAAATCAAAGAGTCAGAATTGACTCAGTATCCAGGCGTTGTGCAGGCTAGGGGCTGCACTCCCATTAGTAGAGTGGCGAATATAGAACCAGGATAACGTTAATAAAATATGATAAATTTATTAACACAATCTATAAATATAAAATAAAAATGGCACAATGTCCAGATAAAACCGGAACGCGTTTCACCACTCACATGTGGCTTCTTCAACCGGATCGATAAGCTGTATGTGTCCTGGTTCGCTGTCTGTGTTTAAATACTGTTCACAATTTAATACAATTAAAAATCGGTGTGTGTGCACTGCACACGTTGCTACCACCCACAGGTAGGACGTGTGTGGTCCATGCCTCGTTATCACCCCATAGTCTGATGTAGCCGGCGGGTGCTCTCACCCGAAGTTCCGTCAGCTACCTTCAGTTATTGAAGAGTCTCCTTTCTATAAGTCCGCTTCTCTTCATACATCGATATCTTCTCTGATTGTTAAAGTCCTCATGTAGTTCTTCATAAAATTGTGTGTAGCCGGATGTCCTCATTTTCCATAAATTCATATATAGAAAGTCCATATGAGTTATATTAACCCATAGGTAGCCAAAAATTCATACATATTTATCCAGTGATATTGTAAGGAGTCACATGAATGTTTAGCTGCTCACTTTTATATATGATTGTTTTTGCACATATTGTTATAATATATAGTTAGAAATAAGCGCTAGTCCTTATCCACAGTTTGCAGTTCCCTGGTGTCCTCAAAAGCAGGTCGGCGGAAAAGGGCATAAAAACTGTGACTGTCCCGCAAAAATGAGGATGATTGGAAGGTATGTATCTACAATTTGAGATCACATGACCTTTAGAGATACAGTATTATCTAGGAGAGTCCTCATAACGCTGCCCGATGATTGTGTTACATATATAGCTGTAGCAGTCTATGTCTGATCCAGCCCTAAGATCTCTTGACAAACAAACCCTGCACTGCCTGACCCTGTTAAGTAACTCTGCAGCCTGGAGATCACATTACATATTAACCCTTTACTGTCTGAGCCTGTTTGACAATCTACAGCCATTGAACTTCACGACATTTAAATCCTACATTGTCTGAGCCCGTCCTGATAATTTGCATTCAGAATCAGGTGATGACATTTCATTAAACATTAGCCCTGTTCGATTGACGAGAGCTATTCTCGCCAGTGTTTGTTGGAAGCCAAGATACAGACATTCCCAAAATGCACAAAGTGCCAGAGGGAAATGTTTGCTCTAAGAGGTTTGGCTGGAGTGGAGCGGTTCAAAAACATTTTAAGTGTCTTCATATGGTGTAACTGAATCCCCATATTTCTTTGTTAAGATAGGGGATTTTAAGAAGTCTTGTAAATTTTTTATTTTTGTGAGTGTGTGCTATTCCTTAATCTGTATTGTGCATACATTTTGGTCTTAACTTAGAAATGTATGTTCCGGTTTTGCTCCTAATTCCCATTTTTTTTCTGTGTAGATTTGGAATCCAGACCAGATTCCTATTGGTCTGAGCATCCCACCCATTCTCTGTAGGTGTCACTTTGTAAAGTGACCATGCTAAAGCATAAATTGGGAGTTTCTGGATGCAGTTAAAACTTTAAATATTGCAAATTTAACATTTAAATCTCCAATGTAAAAATTTGAGTAGACCCATCGATATTGGGGTACTGTGACATAGGGTGGGCTTAACACGATATGGCCATATATCTTGGCCATATTTGTTTGCTAAGATGTGTTGTGGAAAACATGCCTATGCCACTAGCTCCTGGAGGAGCCTGCTAGCTAGCCTCCTGCCCAAGGATTATGGGCCGTATCCAAAGACCCCGTTCGGGAGTTAACCTGCCCGGCCTACCCAAGAGACTTCTCCTTGGTTCCCCTGGTTCAGTAACTTCCCTCTCCCAAATTCAGCTGAGAGCTCGCTCCCTGACGAACCAACTTGCGAATCAGCGGTACTCAGCCACAATCACTCTTAAACTGTTTTTGGCTATGTGACCTTGTGGTTCCCGGTCATATTGGTCCAGTGTTTTGACCCCCTTGCCGACCCGCCAGGAGATCGCTTTTTGGAGGGAAGGCGCCCGAGACTGTAAGGAACAAATGCTCCCTGAGAGCCAAGAGGAGCACCTCGTAGTTCGTCCACAGGAGCTCCCGAAAGTTGACCAGCAAAAGCACTAATCGCCCTGGAACTATTTTGGGAATAGGACCATGTGTGTGGCCGGTCAGAACTTTACCCCAGTTGCGTTTCCCCTATACTGCATGGATCTGAGCGCTATTTGGACAACTTGGGCGCTCAGATCAGGACTGTTTAGGGGTGTAGGACATGTGGGGTTATTTATTTTTTTGTCTTGGATCTCTGTTCCTGGGAGATAATTAGCTTACCAGTATTTAACTCCATTATCTCCCAGGCACAGAGATCTCTGGGAGGGGCTTGTATTGTATTGAATGGAGACCCCATGCTGGGGGTCTGTGTATAAATTCTGTGTGCCTTGTCTGAATAATGTTTGGGTGAACTGGCTATAGAGCCATACTCTCTTACACTTAAAGGGAAACTGTAAGTGCAGAAGGGGTTAATAACCCCTTTTGTCACTTACCTGGGTCCAGCGCCGATGTCCCTTGGAGTTGGCCCAGCCCCGCCCAAGCTTCTCCCCCGCCAAAGTCCGCCAGCAGGGGAGACCGTGCTCGCATTAGGATCTCCCCACAGGAAAGAATTGAATAATGGGGATTCTGGCGACGCTGGAAGTCCTCATGTATAGCGTGAGAACGTCCAGCGTCATTTAGACGACCAACAGTCATCTAAGCACCCAGAAGTCCCTCTAGTGGCTGTCTGGTAAATACAGCCACTAGAGGACGAGTTAACCCTAGCAGGCAATTATTGCAGTTTATAAAAACTGCAATAATTACATACTCAGGGTTAAGGGTGATGGGAGTTTGCACCCAGACCACTTCAGTGGGCCGAAGTGGTCTGGGTGCCCTCAGTGTCCCTTTAATCACTTGGAGCTGTACCCAGGACCCTGTTCCAGGGCAAGAAGCTACGGAGAGACCCCTGTCAAGCTGAGGCGGCTAGGGGTTAAAACCACCATCTAGCCCCCCTGGCCCTCTCTTGCCTCCCTAAATATAGTAAAATCTTACTTGTATTCAAGCCTGAAGCTGCTGGCTTAGCCCCTGTCTACCTCAGACCTGCAAGCTGTCTGCTGACATCATCAGAAGTGTTATTCTGAGCCAATCACAATGCTTGCCCATAGGATTGGCTGAGACTGTGAAGGCTGGCTGGCATTAGACTCCAATTTTGCACAGGATTGATATTAGCCAAAAACTCTTAATCCAGACTGGCTAATGATGCCCAATGACACTTCAAGCACCATAACCACTCCAAATCCATGAATTGGTCTGTAGTATCTCTTTTAATCTTCTTATAGATCAAAATCAATTAAAAACAACAACAACAAAAATGGACAAAGAGACGTATTGATTTAAAGGACCACTCTAGGCACCCAGACCACTTCAGGTTAATGAAGTGGTCTGGGTGCCAGGTCCAGCTAGGGTTAACCCATTTTTTTTTTTATAAACATAGCAGTTTCAGAGAAACTGCTATGTTTGTAAATGGGTTAATCCTTCCTCCAATTCCTCTAGTGGCTGTCTCATTGACAGCCGCTAGAGGCGCTTGCGTGATTCTCACTGTGAAAATCACAGTGAGAGCACGCAAGCGTCCATAGGAAAGCATTGTAAATACTTTCCTATGAGACCGGCTGAATGCGTGCGCTGCCGAATGGGAGGAGGATCGGAGGAGGAGAGCTCCCCTCCAGGCGCTGGAAAAAGGTAAGTTTTAACCCCTTTCCTCTCCCCAGAGCCGGGCGGGAGTGGGACCCCTCACTATAGTGCCAGGAAAACAAGTATGTTTTCCTGGCACTATAGTGGTCCTTTAATTCCAAACAATTGCCTCCTTGAATATTACTTGAAACATAGTTTTAAAACATCTGAGGTGACAAAGTTAGCCATTTTCTGGTAATACTGTGAGCCAGCCCTGATATTCTCTAATCCGCAGATTATGTCTTGTTTGGTAGAAGCCCTGCTCTGTCCTTGTCTTTTATAATAATTTGTAACCAGCTGAGGTTACATTAATTTATATATAAGCCCCTTACTATTAATCTACAGGCATTCATTAGGTTTTGCAGTGTGATTTTGTATATTTTCTTTGATATATTCCAGCAGTAAGCAGAGCGTCTCTGCGTACAATGTCAGAATCCCTGGTTAGAACACGCCTGCTCTGCTGGATTGAGGAAGTCTGTTTGTGGGAGGGAGAGGAGGAGGGCCGGAGAGAGACAGAACATGTCCTGCATTGAGGCTCTGCAGCAGGTGGAAGGGCACTAGCTGGACTGAGAGGAGGGACTGAGTTCTGTGTGAGGTACTGTAACAATGTCTCTCCAATCCTAACCTTCTCTCCTATCTCTGGGCATGCAAGCCTTGCTCTGCAACTGTTACCAGTCCTATCACAACATCTGCAGTGGGAAATGAAACCACTTTATTTACCAATATCTGTGCCTTCTACTTCAAGCCGCTTTCTAAAACTCTCCTAAACTGTTTTATTGCACTACATACTTACATGTCCCAGCCCGGCGAGTCTGTGTTTTGCTCCAGTTCCTTTGTGCCCTATCTCTCCTGCTTCCTACTGCTTTAGGCAAACACTCTGTAGAGATACCATTCACTGTGTGTTGCTTGCAACTCCTAATTATTTTCTCCTATAACACCTCCTTCCCAATTCAAAGAGCAACCTCTGTATGACTATTCTGTTTAGTAGCACCTCAAACCTCTTCATTAAAGCTAACATCAGCTCCCCAGCTGTATAGGCTGCAAGCATCTTTCATTTCTGGGACTGACTGAGAGTGTTGAGAGTTTCCAGCAACAGCTAAAAGCTATCCATTCCCCAAACTGTCCGGTAACCTCTGCAATTTGTTTCTATGATCTTTCCAAAAGTATTACCATCACCATCCTATAATGCATGCTTGTTGTGTTTACAAATGCATAATCCACTTATAGACCTGTATTTCCGATGGCTAACATCTGCCACTGTGGACTGCGTTTCCCATGGTGCTCTGTCAGCTGCTAGTTTTCTGTGCATCATGGGATATAAGGTCTAGATTTTAACCATCACTGACGTCTGTCGCACTATATAGTTTTTAACATTGATATTAACGTTCGGCAGGTTCCTCCTGAAGGGCAAATCTGCAGTTCTCCATCATGGAAAATGGCACTGGGGACCTGCGCCATCCCACAGAGGTGCATATGAGTCAGATGGTGATGCCATGCCATGCCAATCACCGCGGTCAGCTCAGTTCTGGGCAACTCCTCAAATGGATTGACACAGCAGCCTGCCTATCCGGTAAGTAAGCACTGACACCTGGGTGTGTTTGAGATAAAAGATGTGTTACTAAAGGTCTGCATCACATTTGGCAACAAAGTAGCCGTGGGGGGCATGGTGCCAAATGTAAAGCAAAAAAACTACAAAAGCAAAATATACATTGCAGACTATAGTGCACCTGCAAAGTCAGTAGGCATTTTAGTAGGTATCAGGATCCACTGATACATTATGCTGGCCAAATTGCTAGCAAAAGTAGAGATACAATATTCTTTATCAATGAAGATGCAGCTATGCTAATCAGAGAGTTGCATTTCTCAGCAAAACAAAAAGATAGGTATATTATTTCAACAACAAAAATTTTTTTTCTTTAAAAGGACACTATGGGATCAGGAACACAAACCTGTATTCCTGAAACAAAACAGAGGAAGAGTCTGCGCTAGTTCAATTGAGCAGCAACCCAAAAAGGGAGATCCCTCACGGAACCCTTATGTAAGAAATGCGAAAAAAGAGGGGGTCAAGGGCTGCGCTTAGGTAAAACAGATATGTTGAAATATATAAGATCGTGTATTTATAAAATAAACAACGATAATAAAATCAAATAAAGTTCATCCGGATTTTCTTAAAAATATAGAATAAAAACAGTCTCACTGATATGCAGTACCACGATATTAATCCTCAAGTATGGCTCCGTCCGTGTGGTAGGTAGTCCATATATGTGAAGATAAAAAACAAGAAAGAAAGCTGCCTATGGTGAAATATTGTTGGTCCTGATGTGGTATATAATCAAAGGAAATATATTTCACTCACATTTGGTGGAGCTTATTGCCAGCTCTGGGAAAAGAGGCACTTGGTGGTTTGATCCCCACTAACGGATATACTTGGATGGTCCGTCTGTCCGGCTTGGAATTCCTGTGGTATCGGCTAGGATCTACTTCACATATGCGTTCATTCCTTGATGCTTGGAAGATAGGTCCGCCTTTCCAGTATCGGATGGTAGGTGTCCACGGAGTATATATGAGACAGCAAATAGTGCTCTCAGTATGAACAACAAAGTAATATCTTTAAGTGAATTATACTTACAAGAATAGAGCAGATGGATACTGCTCTATTGCCACAGCGCTGGTGGAATTATCCCCACCTAAGGATTTCTTTGGACGGAATATACTTCCAAGTAAAAAAAAATTTTTATATAATAAAAATAATAAAAAAAGGGTGGATAAAACTATGGTATTAAATACAAAAAATATATGAAAAAATATATATATATATAAAATGCCAGGGGTAAAAGAAAGTGTATAAAATACAATAAAAATAAGTATACAATTGGTCCTAGTTTAAAAGGTAACCAAAAATAACTTTTATTGATTAAAATACACTTATTAAAACCAATGGTTTTAATAAGTGTATTTTAATCAATAAAAGTTATTTTTGGTTACCTTTTAAACTAGGACCAATTGTATACTTATTTTTATTGTATTTTATACACTTTCTTTTACCCCTGGCATTTTATATATATATATATTTTTTCATATATTTTTTGTATTTAATACCATAGTTTTAGCCACCCTTTTTTTATTATTTTTATTATAAAAAAATTTTTTTTTACTTGGAAGTATATTCCGTCCAAAGAAATCCTTAGGTGGGGATAATTCCACCAGCGCTGTGGCAATAGAGCAGTATCCATCTGCTCTATTCTTGTAAGTATAATTCACTTAAAGATATTACTTTGTTGTTCATACTGAGAGCACTATTTGCTGTATTCCTGACCCTATAGTGTTAAAACTACCATCTAGACCCCTCTTCCCTCCAGAAATATAGTACAATCTTACTTGTATTCAAGTCTGCAGCTGCTGCATCGGCCCTTGACCTGCCTGCTTACAGGTGACTTCATCACAACGCTTTCCTATAGGATTGGCTGAGACTTGACCGGTGTATATTCGCAATATGGGCAGTTGGAATCCAGGACAACCACCCCACATACCTATCCCAATAAGACACTGATGCTAGGGTATATGGGTCAAATTGTCCACAGCTTTTATTAAACAATCTTAATATAATAACAATTATAATAATAATAACTTAACATGTAAACATGGGTCATTGCCCCCCATACTCCGCCTTCGCACCCTTCTCCATGCAGAGAGTGTGCAGCACTGCCTCAGGAAGCACCTCTAGCAGCCATATGAGGAGTGTCTAGTGGAGTTATCCCTAGACTAATGTAAACATTACATTTTCTCTGAAAAGACAGTGTTTACAGCAAAAAGCCCCAAGGGAATGATTCTACTTACCAGAACAAATTCAATAAACTGTAGTTGTTCTGGTGATTATAGTGTCCCTTTATTTTATTGTAAATTTGTTTAATTTTTACACTCCTTTTAATTATTTCTTTCTTATTTTTCTTTTGTCTGTCTCTAGGAATCTTGTTGGTATAGCCACTGCTTTTTGTGTTGTTTGTATCATAGTCAATGTCTGTTGGTAGCTTTGCTGGGTTACATTATAATACTTCCTTGATGTGTAGCCGGTCATGCAAACATTGTGTATCAGCAGTCTGCTTTTAATGAGTATTGAACATTTTGTAGTATATCTTGTGCAACTTTCCGAATAGGTCCACACGTTCGCGCAGATGGTGACACATCGTGCATTGAACTAGCGTAGGTCATAGATCTTTAAATAGACAAGCAGAACACTATTGCTAAAATGTTATAAGGAAAGATTCTGTGATGCACAAAGCTTTTCCTTACTCGTGTGACTCATGATGGGACAGGCAGTGATTTGTGATTGTTCAGAGAGCTGACTCACTAAATTTCAAGGGTCATTGTGTTCCCAAGAGCACTCTTAACATCTTCACTCTGTTCTAAATTTTCATCACTATTATCTGCTCAAGGACCAATTTTCAAACATTGCGCATTACATCTCTCAGTTCCTCTAACTTGGGCGTATATTGAGGTTTGTTTTGATGTATCAGACGTCACTTACTGACACTTGTTTTTTTGTTGTTTTTTTTTTTTTGCATTCTTTATTTTTGTGTGCAGCGATTATATACAGGTTTGGGTTGACATACCCACATAGAAAAGTTGCAGGTTTTGTACATGGCATGTCATTAAAAATAGCACCTTTTTAAAAAAAAAAAGAAAAACATGAGAAACACTTACCCTGTATAAGCTAGACAAAATAATGCCAAATTGGTATACCTAATACAGAACATGTTGCAGGAAAAACCACTAGGTAAGTACCAGAATGGCTTTGTAGGTAACTAAAGAAGGGGGTACAGCTAAATGCAATACAATGTATAGAGCAGTAAGCCAATGTCCCTGCATCAGCCAATGCCGCGGTTATGCTGCAGATGGATGTAAGCTCTGCTTTCCACCAGCAGATGTCAGGTGAGCCCCCCACCGCCTCCCGGTTTCATGTAGGAATCATCCGTGTCGCTGGGAGTAAGATGTTGGTGCGTCTGTGTCTTTGCATCCCATGTCCAAGTTGGTGCGCGAGCCAGTGCCTTCTGTCCCCGAGGTACTCTAGCTTCAGAGTTAGGGCCCAAATCCTGCCGGATAGATAGCCTTACAGCATTGTGAATGGTTAATAGGACTACTATCCTTTGGGGCTCTAGACCCAGATGAGGTACGGAGTTTTGGAGCACCCCTGGGGGGCCTTCAGGGTCACAGCTGTGGTAAGTATTTGTTGTTTCTGGCGGGATGCAATACAAGACCAAAAGGCGTCACACAGAGCATCGAAAGCCGCATAGAACCTTGGCTCCCACTAAGACAGTAAACTCCCGGTCAGCGTGGCAGCCATCTTAGATGTGCCGTGAGGACTCTTCACGGGTAGATGAGAGATGCCTTGCCCTTCAGGTACTGTAGCTGTCACTGGTGGGGACCGGTATAACCCCCACCGGTCCAGAGGGGCGGTAAAGGGCAGCTGGTCAACTACCGTGCGGCTAGAGCTCCAAGTCAGGGGATCGGCCGCTTCTCCCGACAATTCACGCATCTGCCCCAGTAGGCCTCAAGGCTGGTTGTGTGTGAGTCCGCGGTCTGGGAGCCACAAGCCAGGCTACAGAGTTGGCGAACAGGATTTAGGTTGGTAACTTGTGACTCTGAGCCTAGTGTGCAGGTGGATTAGCTTGCTTTATGCTGTTAATGTAATGAACGGTCAAAGCTCCACAGAAACACGTCTTGCCATCTTGCCTGTCAGGCCCCTGACATTTTTGTTTATCCTCATATTTAAGTTTCAGTACAGCCTGAATTATTATAAAGTAGTGTTATGTCAGTATAGATATTCTATAGTATTGTAATCTTGTGTGTATGTCCACCTCATCTTCCTTTTCTTTTTTTGCAAGGAAATAAATCCAAATTCTTCCCTAATTAGACTGCTTTCAATGTTGAGAAACCTATATGGCTGTCTATGAGTTCCATACATTGAACTTCATCAACCGCTTCTGCAGATGACAAAATCATCAAGTCAGGTCAAGCTGTGGTTTTTAGTATTGAGGAAGCAGACAACTGCTATCAGCAAACTTGGGTTCTCCACTTTTGCAGGGTTAGAACTTACATAATACGCCGCCAGACATAGACTTGCAAGACAACGGATATCACATAGTATTAGTTATATATCATATAATCTAGCGTGTATACTTATACAAGTTATCCTAATTGTATGTCTTTATGTTCAATCAATAAACCAGGAAAATATGGTTATATAGTTTTTGATCTTAAAGAGTTATTCCAACCAAAAATGTTAAGTCCCTTAAAGGACAACTATAGGCACCCAGACCACTTCAGCTTAATAAAGTGGTCTGGGGTCTGGATGCAGTGGTCCTGTCCTTTTAACCACGTAATGTAAAATATAGCATTTTTTTAAAAAAAAAGTGTTTTGTGTTTTTTTGTTTTGTTTTAGAAACTGCAATGTTAACATTGCAGGGTTAAATCCACCTCTAGTAAAACTCAGTCATGTGATGCAGAAACCCACATTAGGATTTAATATTTTTCTATGGGGCACTTTGAATGTGCGTGTGATGCTCGCCATGCATTTGCATTAGATCTCAAATTCTCCTTTCGGAACGTGATGTTGCTGGTGGCCAGGTGGTGGAGAAAGGTAAGTAAATAATTTATTATTTATGGCATCTGTGGATGGGGTGCATTAATAGCACCAGGTTTGTATTTCTAATACTATAGTAAGGACTCATGGTTTTAATAGTAAATCTAAGTATTTATTGCCTTCTACATTTGTAGTGTGTGTCAAATTTTTTTTTTTCTTTTCTGCAAATCACGATAATTCAGATCAAATGTTAAAGGTTCTAAATGTTAGATTATAATTAGAAATAGTTTTCATATAAATATGTATTTTTTTTAACTGGAGAAGATTCTGTATAGATTATTTTGAGAGCAAATTTTTCAAAATATTTGGCTTTTTAAAAATGTATTTTTTTTTTTCTATTGAAGCGGAGAGACATGCTGGTTGTGCCTGTGTTACTGCATCTATGGACGATATTTACTTTGAGCACACAATCAGGTACTTTCTCCTATGCTGTATCTATTACCTTATCCCTTCCAAAAAGCAGCACTGCCTTTTATTACTCTCACACTTATCTATAATTGCTCAACAGACCAGGACTATTAAAGTAAGGCCCCCCACGCCCTTTCCTCCCCCCTGGATGAACGAGTTATTCACACCTGTGGATTAGCACATTAAATTATGATTTGCAGAATTTTGGACCAATTTACAGATATAGAGCTTCCACTTTCTAAACCTCACTGATCTGACACCAGCCTTGCAGGATCCTGTTTGGAAACCCGACTTAAAGGTCATTGATTGGATACTGGCTTTAATTTGAGGACTTTTCTCAAAGTACTATCAGAATTGGTTCTTGTGCCAAATGTTTTCCAAAGTGTTTTGGCTGACAAGCAACACTGTACCATATTGAATTGTCCTCCGAAGCATGCCAGGAGAAAACCTTTCTATTTTCAGATTATAGGATGATTGGAGTCCAATTATATTTCATCACCTAATTCTTTATATACACAGATAAAATATTCCAATAAAAAAAAAAAATACAAATGAGGGGAAGAAGATGAGCACAGGTTTGTTAGGATTCTAAAAGGGACATGTTTAATATTTGCATCATATAGCATTATTAATATAGTTTGAATTATAACTGTTCCATGAAATAACTGTTTGTTCTATGTTTCATTGTGTCATTTCTAGTGTGGGACAAGTTGTTAACGTGAAGACAAAAGTGAATCGTGCTTTTAACTCCAGCATGGAGGTTTGTTTTAGAGGATTATAATTTCACTGTGTTTTATTTTCATTATATACAGTTTGTGGTAGTCCCTGTAAATAATTGTTCAAACTCTTCTTTTATGGTTTAAATAAAGCAACTCCATTGTCCGCTTGTAATTTAATTACTCACTGTTTAGTGCACAAACCTCTTACGCTTAAGTGTTATTCAGTAAAATGTAATCATTTCTGGTACTTCAAAGCAACATGAATTTTTTTTAAATTTTTTGTTATTATTCGATTGTTAAAGACCAGCACTTTGGTCTAATAAGGTATTCCTTTATTTTTACAATGGTGTAAACAGTAAGGAACAATCCATGCACCATAACCTAAAATGCTTATTGTAATGTTAATGCTGCAAGACTGTGTGCAGGCTTTTGATTTTCCATAAAGTTGTATTCAAGGGGTTTGACAAAAAAAAAACTCACAAGATTTCCCAGCATCCAAACCACCAGATCAGACAGGTCCCTTTACTGCAGCTGAGATAATGTGGAAGGTTCACTTCCTTATCCATACAATTTGTACGGCAGAGAAGATATCAAGGGTTTATTCCACGGATTGCAACCTATTTGTCTTACATGTTTGTACAGGTTTCAGTTTGCACACTATACTGCATTAATATTAACAAGCATGGCTGAATTTGGCTAAGGTTTGCTCCAGTAGAATAATTCTTTAAGTTAATGCAACAAAATACACTAAAAACTGGGTTAAAGAAAATGGCAGTAACTGTTCCTCTATTGGGTGTGTTTTTATAACCATGTATCTATCACTTACTGCTTTGTGATGTCCAGGTTGGAATCCAGGTTACGTCTGAGGATCTGTGCAGTGGAAAGGAATGGAATGTGTGTCAGGCCTATGCTACATTTGTAGCACAAGGCAAGGAGAAGGTGAGATAATGTCTGAAAACCTGGAATATATAGACATGCTTCTCATTAGTGAGCATCCTGGAGAGTTGTGAGCAAAAGGTAGAATTGCAGACTAATAGGTCAGAAGGCCTTTGATGTAACTGAGACCATTAAATCACTAGCTCTGCCAGGGCCTGTCTACCAATATATATTTTTTTAATGAGTACTCTAACATTTAATAAACACAATTATTGGATGGAGTGACAGTTACAAGCATATCCTCCCTCCCCCCACCTTTAAAAACAAATAATTATAATAATTAAGTTCTTAACCTGATCCTCCTTTGGGGACATTACTTCGCCTCACTGCAAGGACAGGGATGTCTCAGGTGACAAGCTGAGGGGAGAATTAGGGTGGCATGGATGTGGGGGAATGCTATCATTGGTTGTCTGTCAAATATGCACAGAATTGATATTAGCCAGCCTGGAACTCTTCTTACTGGGTAGCTAATGACACTGCTGGGGGTGGAGTTACACTTCTGGCAATCATGTGCTTTAACGCTTAATGTGCAGCCTTTCTCAGTGAATTGCTGGACATACAGAGTCTTTAAGCATTGTGACCTCTTCAAATCACTGAAGTGGTCATGGTGCTTGGAATAATTCTTCAAAACCAAATACAATTTATTTTTACCATCAGAATGTCTTTTTGTGTGTGTTTTTTTTTTTTGTTTTTGTTTTTAGATTTAGGGTCCTCTAATAAAAAAACAAACAAAATCTTACCTTTTAATCCAGCCCAGAGCCACACTGATGATTTTGCCTACGGTGAAATCAAGCATGGTGATTTTGATCCAATACAATGCAAACCTCCTGCTCTCAATCAATCCAGAGCTTCTCAGCAGATGGAATCCAATGCTTCTCTATGAGAAGCATGAGTTGCGTTCATCATCGTCATGCTGTCAGTAATAACGTGAGAAAATTGAAGGTCTTATAGGAACACTCATAGCAAAAAGGTAGGACCACAAGAGTCCTAAATAGGAGAGTAATAGAGAAAGGGAAATGGGAGTCCCTACCTTTTAATAATCCTAAAGGAAAACAAAACCGGGCAGGTGGAGAGAGGTGTAGCAATAATAAACCCTCCAGAATAGACACAGGGAACCAGTTACTAGAGAAACTGCCTGATAAATGTCTTGATCCTAGGGTTCAAATGACACACCTTCTAAATCTCCAAAACAGGGACCCTAAATAGAAGAAGGTAACTGAAAAAAGAGGGGGCAATATAAAGGAGGTACCCAGAAAATAAGCCCAGACAGAAGCCCCTGTAAGAAGTCTGCGTGTGTCATTTGAACCCTAGGATCAAGACATTTATCAGGCAGTTTCTCTAGTAACTGGTTCCCTGTGTCTATTCTGGAGGGTTTATTATTGCTACACCTCTCTCCACCTGCCCTGTTTTGTGTTCCTTTAGGATTATTAAAAGGTAGGGACTCCCATTTCCCTTTCTCTATTACTCTCCTATTTAGGACTCTTGTGGTCCTACCCTTTTTGCTATGTGTTTTTTTTAGGGAGAGTAATTTCAGGGCTTACTAGCACTAATTCATTGGTCGTTGCCACGACCTCTGAATCAGAGCCACCACTCTTCATTTCTTATAGGAACACTGTCATCAAATAAAATAAAAATAAATAAAGGTAGATAAAAAATAAATAAAAATAAATCAACATTAATGAATGAAAAAATTTAGATGGTAAATTATAACCTAAATATTCTATTATGATATTTTAAAAATGATGACCCTGTTAAGTTAGAATTATCTGACAGTCTCTAGCTGCGTGTTTTTAGCTGTAAATACATCAGAATGGAGGAGGGGGCCACCTTGGAATTGCTTTCCAACTTAGAAACCCCCAGTGGCAGTTAGTGATAAGGGGTCTAAGAACATGCAACATCATTAACCAATCAGCATTTGTAATTCTCATAGTTGTGCTGGTCTGTCCCAATTTCCCTCTGCAGAGAAAAGACAATGTGTAGTTAAAAAGTTTGAAAATGGTGAATACCCTATATGCCCAAAGAAAGTCAGATTAGCCATAAATGTGAAAAATATCGCACTAAAAGGCGCTGTGAGAACAATAACCACTACCGTCTATTGTAATGGTGACAGCATGCCCATTATTTTTAATAATTCCACCATTCCTTTTTTTTCTGTTTTTTTTTTTAAACCATTTTGTGATTTCAGTGATTCAACACCAGTATTAATTTTGTCGACTAATAAGTTTAGTCGACTAAAATGCGACTAAAACTAAAATGGCAACTTAGAACTAAATTGATATTTGCCACCAAAATTAACACTGAACACAGAGAGGATTTGGAAGGGGCAAAAGAGACAGAACAGGGCTTGGAAGAGAGACGCCTAGAGGGGCTGGGAGGACACAGAGGGGCTGGGGAAGGGGCAAAAGAGACAGAGGTTTTTACTAAAACCCATGAGATTTTAGTTGTGTTGACTAAGATCTACTGGAGATTTAGTCTACTAAATGAAAACCATTCATATGACTAAAATATGACTAAAACTAAAATGGCTTTTTAGTTAAAAGACTATGACTAAAAACTGAAATTTACCACCAAAATTAACAATATCAACATATTCCAATGGAAGACTTGCTTCTCACTGTTCATTCTTAGTGGCAATAAAATTCACATCATCCTGCTAATGAATGGCTCTGTGTGCAGGTGAAGTTGAAGCCCGTGGTTCCTGTCTCTGACAAAGAAAAGTTGGAGTACAGCCTTGCCGCAGAGAGGCGTCGTATGAGACTGGTCCATACTGACAATATCAAAGAACTGCTGACTACTAGCGCCCCGAGAGACGGTATAATTTCTTTGTTTATTTTGTATCTTAACTAGTGCCAGATTCTCAACTCACTGTTTAGTATTAATGAAACACACACACCTGAAGGTCAACTTTGGCTCTCATCTCCTCAACAATGATTCCATACTCGGAACTCTCACAGTTATTATTTGTTAATGAACTCATGCCTAAAATTAGTTCTTGGACTCGCGCAATAAAATGTGCTTGTTTGTTTAAACAAACTATATCCCAGTGCCAGAGTATTATGTTAGGTAAAGGGTCACCATAATATTTGCTGATTTACCACATTGACTACCTGAGATCTCTCTATTGTAAGTACACCTATTTCCTGTTTTATATATTTTAGAAAAAAAGTTTCAAAATATTCTGGAAAATATTCAAAAAAATACACACACACACACACACACACACACACACACACACACACACACACACACACACACACACACACACACACACACACACACACACACACACACACACACACACACACACCTTCAAATGAATACTGTGCTATCTTAACCTCTGAAGATCCAAATGTAATGTTCCACTCATTTAGCAATCACAAGGCTGTATAAAGCCTTGTAAATAAGCAAAACATCCACCTTCTAATGTATCATATAAAAAGTCGTTCAATGTTCCTTAATTGACACAAACATATTTCTGGTTTTAGGGTACCTTTGTCAGTAGGATGGAGGCTCCTTAAATCAATCTAAAAAGCAAAGTAGTATAAATGTCAGTATCAGATGACAAATTGGTACAGTGTAAGAATATATATGTATCTATAAAAAAATATATATTAAAAAAAAAAGTTAGATGAAACCTGTGTCTTAAACCATAAAAGTGACTCTCCTGGGATAGGGAGAGGAGTTGGAGTTGAATACTCAAAGAGCTGTATGAGACTGTTCGTGTAAAGCAAGCAGCTGTGGCTCAAGCACTATTAAAAAGCCGATCAGAGTCCTCAGCGATTTATATAAGTTCAGGCAGTGATGAAACCTGTATATAAGGGTTTCCTCCAAGACCGGTAGGTATATGCAGTAAATTCGTAGGATGCAAGTCCAGCCAGGAACAGTTGCGTGATGTTATAAAGGTGGTTTGGGATTATGTATCGGTGTAAGAGGTGCCTGCTGCCACACCGGTAGTATATAGTGTCTGCCAGTTGTTTATGTGCAGGCTGTCATGGCAAGGGTACATAATTCATTGTTGCACTATAGAATATTGCTATTTAAATAACTTGTGCAGTGCATCAATAATTTGACCCCTGGGTAGAGATCAAAAGGGGCTTCTGCAAGGTGTGAAAAGGATTTCCCTTTTGATCTATCAAAGACCCTGCAAGGTGAGACATTTTATACTTGAGCCGTCTGTATGTCTAGTTTCAATGTAAACTAACTGACTTTGACCATATGGCCTGAAACTCTCAATTGACAGTTAAATCCTTTGATATGATAATGGTATTCGTTTCATGCAGACCCTTGTGTTCCAGTATCATATCCAAGAGAAACATTAATACTTACCCACCGCTTAATAATTAAGCCTAATTTTTATTATATTCTCATCCCTTTCTGCTCCTTCTCCTACTTTACCTTTGTGCTTCTTCTGCCCGTTTCAGCTCCTTACTGCTCCTTGCTGCCCCTTCCTGCTCATTTCTATTCCTTCTCCTTTCTGCTCCTTTTCCCACTTTACCTTCCTGCTCCTTGCTGTTCCTTTCTGCTTCTTCTCCTACTTTACCTTTGTGCTCCTTCTGATTCTTTCTGCTCCTTTACCTATGTGCTCCTTCTGTCCCTTCCTGATCTTGCTGCTCCTTGCTGACCCTTCCTACTAATTTCTATTCCTTTCTGCTCCTTCTCCTACTTTACCTTTGTGCTCCTTATGCCCCTTCCAGATCATTGGGAACTCTTTCGGCTCCTTGATGTCCATTCTTGCTCCTTTCTGTCCCTTCTCCCTTCTGCTTCTTTACCTTTGTGCTCCTTTGGTCCTTCTGTCCCTTCCTGCTCCTTCCGGCAAGTGACATGCTCCCTTGCCCCCCCTTTCCCCGGACGCCCATGGATAGAGTGGTTAATACATTCACTAGTGGTGGTTCAAATATTCACTAGTGATGTACCCAAATTTTTGGTATTTGGATTAACATAGTATTTTTGGGACTTGTGAGCACTGGTATCTACATTTGTACTTGGAACAAACCTCACTTTCTTTTTCTGTACCTTTTTTTTTTTGTATAGTATTTTTTTATTGAGTTTAGAATAGTAGTAACATATGCACACAGTTGTACAGTTGCAGAATATCAATTACATTTCACTTTATATACCTTTAGGAAGTGTTCCACACTTCGCCTAGCGTTTGGGATCCCCAACATCTTGTCGGAGAGGCCAATTACAACATCTAAGTATCATAACATTTTAACGTAGTGACCTGCATCTGCACCGGTGCTATTGACAACTAACCCAGTCTTGCAACTAGGTATCACCATATTATTGTAGGGGGGGGAGTGGATGGGGGAGGTAGGTGGGGGGGGGAAGGTCGGTTCGGAACGTCGGGAAGTATTTCCAAATATTAACTGGTGGTATGACTACCATCATGTGTGGCATTTTGTCGCCATGTTATCCATGTTTGCCACGCTGTTTGCCAGACTTTGTTTGTCGGCCTCAATCGCCTAGCTTCTATCTCATACCCTTGGGTAGTGTCTATCATATCTAGGCATCGTTGAATGCTAGGTGGGTGTGTGCTCAACCAGGTCTTGCTTATAGCCATTAGTGCTGCGATAATAATGTGGTATGTTAGGTACATGTCAGCCTTTGAGAGCTTGTGTGGCAGGGCTAGCAGTAAATATGTTTCTGGAGAGTGTGGCAGGGTATTGCCAGTGGATTTGGTTATGATGTTCGAAACTCTTTCCCAAAAGGGCTTAATTTCTGGGCAGGTCCACCAAATGTGGAGCATTGACCCCGGTTCCCGCAAGCATCTCCAGCATGACCCTGACTTATTTGGATCCATTTTCCTCAGCCTGGTGGGTACCATGTACCAGCGATATAGCACTTTCCTGCTGGTCTCAATATGGGATGTATTTAGCGTGAGGTTTTTGTGTGCTATCAGTATTTTTGACCATACGTCGTTGGGTATAATCCGGTTTAGATCTTTTTCCCATGCCGTCATGAAACTTAGTTTCTGTGGTTGGGCTTGTTTTTTGGTCAGTTTATACAGGAGTGACAGCAATTTCTGTGGCGGTTTTGGGGCCATACATACTTTTTCTATCTCTGTCAGTGTCTGTAATTGCGTTTGTACAGCTTCTGGACCTATATTTTTCCTCGCCCATGAGTGCAGTTGTAAGTATGAGAAGTAGGCTTTGGGAGGTAGGTTATACTGTTTGGTTAGAGAACTAAAGTCCAATAGGCGGCCATCCCTCATTAAGTGTGATAGGCGTGTGGCTCCATGTTTACTCCATAGGCCATGATCGAACCCCGGAATGAGGAGTTGGAATGCTGGAATTTGTAGTGCTGGGGATATGCATGAGGCGTGATAGTGTGTCTTGGTGTACTTGTCCCATAGGAGGAGTGTTGCCCCCGTAGTTGGGCATATATCCGGGTATTTTGGTCTCAGATGCCTAGGTATCCAAGCTAGGGTGGACATCGAGAGTCCGCCCGTGTTTGCGGTTTCCATATGACTCCATTTTGGTGGTATTGTGTAGTGGAAGGCGGATATGAGTGTGCTCATCATGGCAGCCGTGTAATAGTTTGCGATATCAGGAGCCCCCATTCCTCCCTCCTTGAAGGGCCTATACATGGTGTCGGCCGCCGTTCTAGGTCGCTTCCCATCCCATATGAATTGATTTAGAGAGTGTTGTGCGTCTTTAAAGAACTGGCGTGGTAGCTGTATTTGAAGTGTTCTGAATAGGTATTGTAGTCTTGGTAGTACCATCATTTTAACTGCCGCTATTCTGCCTGGCCATGAGATGTATTTCCCTTTCCAGCTGTGCAGTTGTTGTTTAATTGCGCTAAGGAGTTTTAAATAGTTCGCTTTATACAACTTTTGCGTCTTGGGTGTGAGATCTATACCTAGGAAGGTTAAATGGTCGGTTCGCCAATCGTAAGTGTGTATGCTTTGTAGGTGGGTAAGTTGTGCTTTAGGAATGTTGAGGCCCATGGCTTGTGTCTTGGTAATATTGAGCTTGTAGTATGAGCAATTGCTAAAGTTTGTCAGTATAGTTTGAAGCCGTGGCAGAGAGATGTCCGGTTTAGACAATGTGAGCATTACATCGTCAGCAAACAGGGTAATTTTGTGTATTTCTCCCCCTATTTGTATTCCATGGACATCATGTGACTCCTTAATGTGTTGGGCCAGGGGTTCTAGTGCTAGTATATATAGTAAGGGTGAAAGTGGGCAGCCCTGTCTGGACCCATTTGAGATATGGAAGGGTTTGGAGGTAAACCCGCCGTTGGCTATTTTTGCTGTCGGATTGTCATATAGTGCCGAGACTAGTGTGATGAAGCACTCGGGAAACGCGAGCCTCCGCAGCACAGCCTCCAGGTATCCCCAGTGCAGCCTGTCAAACGCCTTCTCAGCGTCTAGTGACAGTGCCACACTAGGGGTCCCGGTTTTCTGGATCCTGTGCAGGATGTTGATCAGTTTCCTGGTCCCATCTGCGCCTTGCCTGCCCCGGACAAACCCCACTTGGTCATCTCGAATCAGTGTTGGTAATATGTTTCCTAGCCTGTTTGCGTAAATTTTCGCTAATATTTTTAAATCCGTGTTTAGTAGTGATATAGGACGCAGATGCTGGCATTTAGTTGGAGGTTTCCCCGGTTTTGGCAGTGTGGTTATGTGGGCCAGCAGCATTTCACTTGGTATAGTGCCTGTCGTGAGAATATTGTTGTATAGTTTTTCTAGTTTGGGGGTGAGAATGTGAGAGAAGATTTTGTAGTATAGGTTCGTGAAGCCGTCAGGGCCCGGTGACTTCCCTTTTGGGAGGGCTTTGATAGTGCGTGCAATTTCAGTTTGGGTAATGGGATCTTCTAATAGAGTCTGATCTGCCTGCGATAGTTTTGGTAGCTGCACTTCCATTAGAAACTCGTCTATCTCCTTCGGGAGTGGCTGATGTGTCTGCTGATCCCTTTTCAAATTGTATAGCGTATCATAGTAGTCTGCCAGCGCATTGTTTATATCATGTGGGCTATACATTTTATTGCCTATAGCGTTCAATATAAATGGGATTTTTGCATTTTGCCGTTTCTGTCGCAGAAGTGCTGCCATTGCTTTCCCTGCCTTGTTTCCCTGGGTGTATGTTTTGAGTTTCAACCTATGTGATATGGTAGCTGTGGTGCGCAGGTGTATGTCATTCAGCTTTCCTTGAAGCTGAGCTATGCGTTGCTGTGTGGAGGGGGATGGGTGCATGATGTGTGCCGATGTTTCGTCCCGAAGGGATCTCAAAAGGACTATATACTCTTTCTTTGCTTGCCTGTTCAGGTGAGATGCTTGGCTAATCAGGAGGCCCCGTATGACTGCTTTATGTGTTTGCCATGTTGTGGCCAGTGAGACATCGGGTGTTTCGTTTAAGGCAAAGAACGAAAGTATCTCTTCGTTTAGTTTGGTTTTAAATTCTTGGTTATGTAGGAGAGTGTCGTTTAGGCGCCAAAGTGTCGCCCCTCTGGTCTGAAATTTGTCCCTTAGGGTAAGTTGTACTGGGGCATGATCTGACCAGATTATGTTTCCTATCTCACTATGCGTTGCCATTGGTAACATGTCGCCCGAAATTAGAATAAAGTCAATTCTGGTGTATGTTTTATGTACGGATGAGTAAAATGTAAATTCCCGTTCGTTCGGATGCTGTGTCCTCCAGATATCGTAAAGCCCGTGCTCGGAGATGAGCCTTGTGAGTGCTATAGCCTGTTTACCTATTGTTTTGCTCCTAGGTGTTGTGTCCGACAGTGTAGTGTCTAATCGGGGTTGCATGATGTGGTTTAGGTCCCCGCATATGATTGTGGATGCTTTGTGCGTGTTGGGTAGTTTATTCAAAACTTTCTGTAGGAAGTTTCTTTGGTTATTGTTTGGTCCATACAGTCCCACTAGTGTGTATAGGGTGTCGTTGATTTTACCGTGTAGTATAAGATACCTGCCTTGTGCGTCTTTTTTGAGGTGTAGAAGTTCGAATGCTATTGAGGTGTGTATGAAGAGGGAAACGCCTCTCGATTTAGAGGAGTACGTCGAGTGATATTGTGTGGGGTATTCTCTGTCTGCAAATCTGGGCACTCTGTTGTGTACAAAGTGAGTTTCTTGGACGCATAGGATATCTGCTTTAGCGCGCTTCGCGTCCTCAATGAAGAGTCTCCTTTTGTGTGGAGTGTTCAGTCCACGTGCATTAATAGTCTGTATTCTCATACTGTAGGAGGGTTGTATAGTTTAGCTGTTTAAGTCTCACTTGCCCTTGTCTGATGTGGTCCCCTCGTTGGGAATGGGGGTGTTGTGCGACTGTTTTGCCTGTTGACTCTAGTGTAACTGTGGCGTAGTATTGCATAATGTGCGCCATTAAGTAGTGGTATGGGTTTGGAGATGCTTTAGTTCCATTTGTAATTAGTGGCCGACCGTGGGGGTGTGGGATTAGGGAAGGATAACTAGGGGAAGGTGTAAGAACTATGTACAAAGTATTCCTTTCAAGGAATTTATGTGGATGAACCACATCTGGGGGGTAAGAAAGAAGAGATCCTTTCATTAACGTGGCTATTTGGGCACCCTTGTGACTTGTGTTTGTGTGCTGCTTCTGGTGAGTGATTAGGCCAATCAAGGCCTTTGGACCGATCAAGGCCCTTGGATGTGATCCCGATGTGGGCGTGACAGGCTAAGAGCGGCCGGGGCCAGACGTCCTCGTCTGAGTTAGAGAGTGCATTTTGACGTGCTATCTGTTTTGGATGAGCGGGTCGTATGTGCTGAAAGGTGTGCCGTCAGTGCTAGTGTTGGCACAGAGGGGCCCTATGTGCATGTGTATTAACAGTCTACTATAGCACATACATTCTGAAGTACAAAAACCATAACCTGCAATAACTATTTTACATTGCTAGCCTTCCGGCCTCCCCGCCCATCTCCCGTCCCCCCACTCCAGCAACCAAGAAACATTCCCCAGGAATCACCACATTCCCCACACGGGCCCCAGCGTCCCCATTGCCCCATTAGACCTGTTAGTGGGAGCGTGTAACGCTTTTAGTTCTGCAGCCTGTCTCGGCAGCTCCAAAGTCTCATGGTCCACCTTAGGCCTCAGGTCGTTGTGACATGCTGTCCATCTCCCAAATAAACTGTCTTACCGCATCTGAGTTGGGGGCCGCCCCGGTCGCTACTCACACGAACTTGGAGGGAGGTGAGGGGGCAAGATGGGGGGAAAGGCCCGCCACTTCCGGGTATTGGTCCAGACCGGGGACCCCCGCAGGAATCCACTGCTCTGCGCACGCTTCGTCACAGGGTCAGCGGGAGGCCCCGATCCAGAGTCACCTATTCCTCGGGATCCCAAATTACCGGTTCCTGTCCAGCTTGTGTTGTATGTTCCAAGTTCTCCATATTGAAGGGAGGCACTTCAGGGTGTATATCCGTGGATGTTATTTGGGTGTTGTATATCCAAAGGGGCTTTCGCCTGCGTACCAGATTCCATCTGGTTTCAGTGTTTCCCGTGGGCTTTTTCCCAGTCCGGTTTGAGAGTGCCAGCCTGTCTTGTGTGCGGGATAGTCGGCTCCACCGGCAGGTCCCAGGCTTGGAGTTTCTACAGGCCGTCGTCTGGGGAGTGTATCACCACTGTGTCTCCATTTTGCGTGACAATCAATTTTGTGGGGAATCCCCACCTGTACCGTATGCCGTGGGACCTCAACGTGCTGGTAACTTGGTGGAAGTCTTTCCTTTTCCGTAGTGTTGCGGCCGATAGATCCGCATAGATTTTGACCGTTGGGTAGTCGGCCAGCGGCTTAGCTCTCAGTCTGCTGCTCCGGAGGATGTGTTCCTTTATGTGGAAATAGTGTGCCCGTAATAAAATGTCTTGCGGTACCGTTTGTGGGAGATGACGGGGTTTCGGGATGCGGTGAGCCCGATCTACCAGCAGCATATCTGTGGGTATTTCCGGTGCATGGGCGTGCAAGAGGTTCCTGACATAAGCTGGCAGGTCATCATTAGTAACATCCTCAGGGACTCCCCGCAAGCGTAGATTATTCCGGCGGGACCGGTCCTCCATATCCGCCATTTTTTTCTTCCATAATGGTAATCTTTGCTGCCATGTGTTCAACGTTCGTGGCCAGATCGTTGTGCGCCGTGGCAAATTCGTCACATTTATCCTCCATGTGCGTCGCTGTGTGCTGCCATGTGGAGATTAGTTTAGCAGATAGAACCTCCAGGGCTGCTGTGAGGTCGGCTTTAGTTATTCGTGTTGTGTCTTATTTTGCCTCCGAGTCGGTATCATGCGTGCCGTCATCCGATTCAGGATCCTCGGCTGCTTTTGAGGCCTGCGTAGCCAGGGCCGCAGAAGTTTGTTTCTGGCTAAAAAAATTGAGCTTATCCGGCTTCACCGAGCTCCTCTTACTTTTGTGGTGGGACATTGTCGATCTCTGTTGTTGGATGCAGCTGTAGGCGGTAGGATTATGCTGGATTGGGTGCCCTGTTGCCGGAGCAAGTTTTCATGCTGCCATCTTGCTCCGTGGTTAGCCACGCCCCCCTTTCTGTACCTTTTTTATATAAACTTTTCTAACAAGGCTGCCTGGATAATCTTTCTCTAAACATATTTTGGCTAGAATTAAAGCGTCCCAATCAAAGTCAGAGATGTAGGTGCAGTTCCGCAGAAATTGGCAATACAGAATATTTTATTAATCCATTGCAGATGATGGGATAGCGCAGATAAGAGTTAACATCCACTGTTTTTGTAAGGTATTGGTAACTATCTGAGAATTTTCACCTTTTTCCAGGTATTCAATTGTATTGTCCTTTCCCAAATTATGAGTAAACAGAAGACAGAATTCGTTAGAAATGATCCAAATAAAACATATTTGATATACTGTTCCCCACCATCGCTCACATTTATAATATCATCAAAAAGGTTTCAATAGAAGGCTAGTTTGTGCCTCGATGGGTTATTCTGCCAAATATAGCATTCCTCAAAGTATCCCATGGAAAAGTTGGCATAAGAAGGTGCGAAACTAGCCCCCATTGCTGCTCCTTGTATTCGCAAATAAAATTGGTAATTAAAGGAAAAATAATTATAAGAAAGAACAAATAGAAGAATAGTCCGCTTGACAGGTGGGTAGTAAAGGATCCATACATTGGTTGCATTTCATTGCTTTAAAACCAAACTAATGCATAATATTAGTGTATAGGGTGAGGATCATTTAAGAGACTTTTACTCAATACAATTTGCTATCAGCAACATGGCTAATAAATCATACATGTAACATGTTTCTAATTTATACTGGTGGTATATAATCACTACAGTCTCCCCTCCTAGCCATCCAGTTTTGAAAAAGTCAGTTTAACGAATGAAACGCGTTGACTATTAGTCTGTGACGGTTCTTATTGTCCTTGCTGACTTCCCGGCTCAGTGGACTTTTAACATGCTACTGCTGGGACTATCTTTGTTGACCTCCTGTTTCAGAGCTGCTTGGCTGATGGCTTGTTGCTCATTTATTTGTCTCCGGTGTTTTTACGGATGTATACACTCTGCCTCCAGTAAGACCAGCTTTTTATACCAGCAGCTCTCTATATACAGCTTGCACATAACCAACTGGCAGACACTATATACCACCAGTGTGCCGGCACGCACCTCTCGCACTGATATATAATCCTGGCCACCTTTATAACCTCATGTTCTCTGTTCCTGGTGGGACTTGCATTCTACGATTTTACTGTATATACCTACATGTTTGGAGGACATCCCTAAATACAGATTTAGCGTTCATCATTGCCTGAACTTATATAATCGCGGACAACTCTGACTGGCTTTTATTGGTGCTTGTCCCACAGCTGCTTGCTTTCCACGAATGGTCTCACACAGCTTGTTGTGTATTCAACTCCAACTCTTCTTTTTTTCCCCCAACCTGGGTGGGAGGGGTTACTTTTATGGTTTAAGATACAGGTGTTTTATTTAGTTTTGTTTTTTAAATACATATATTTATTTCTTACACTTGACCCTGCTCGGTGTTTACTGTACCGGTTTCTTATCTGATACTGACATTTATTTTGCTTATCTCGTTGATACTATATATTTGATACTGTTTTGCTTTTTTGATGTTACGGTTTCAGTGATTTGTTTAATAAATGTATCTATATTGCTACACTGAGACTTGACATAATACTTTGGGCTACGCACCTTAAAGGACCACTATAGTGCCAGGAAAACATACTCGGTTTCCTGGCACTATAGTGCCCCTGAGGGTGCCCCCACCCTAAGGGACCCCTCCCGCCCGGCTCTGGGGAGAGGAAAGGGGTTAAATCTTACCTTTTTCCAGCGCTGGGCTGGGAGCTATCCTCCTCCTCTCCTCCCATTTAGCTGAATGCGCACGCGCGGCAAGAGCTGCGCGCGCATTCAGCCGGTCTCATTGGAAAGCATTTACAATGCTTTCATATGGACGCTTGCATGCTCTCACTGTGATTTTCACAGTGAGAATCACGCAAGCGCCTCTAGCAGCTGTCAATGAGACAGCCACTAGAGGCTTTGGAGGCTGGATTAACCTATTTATAAACATAGCAGTTTCTCTGAAACTGCTATGTTTATAAAAAAAAAAAAAGGGTTAACCCAAGCTGGACCTGGCACCCAGACCACTTCATTAAGCTGAAGTGGTCTGGGTGCCTATAGTGGTCCTTTAACCATGCTGAGGCAGATGGGATCCAGACGCCCCAGGCTGATTTTGTTCTCAGGACGGCCTTATACGTACTCAACCCTTCCCTTCTAAATTTATTTTACTTTCTTAGAATTTAACTCCCAAACTAGAACATCGTTAATGAAAATTAGAAGGAAAAAAAAATCTGGTTTGTTTTCAAGGAAATTCAACCTGCTGATAAGTTTTTTGTTTTTTTTTGTATTACATTCCCTTTTACTTTGTTAATTAATATCTTGCAGAAAGGAGCCAGGAAGATGGGGTAAATGGATTTGTGATGGCCCAGAAGACACGTGTAGAGAGCGTGGAATTGGTTTTACCTCCGCATGCCAATCACCAGGGGAACACTTTTGGTGGACAAATTATGGCTTGGATGGAGAATGTTGCAACAATTGCTGCCAGGTTAGCTCACTATTAAAATGTATTATTGATATCTTTTAATTTTAAAGAGCCAGTGTAGTCCACAGTGCTGTGCAATAGCTTCTTCTTTTTTTTTGCCAAGTAGATCTTGGCACAGTGGGCTCTTCAATATTTTGATGTTGCAGTTACCCTCATCATTTATGGTAGAAGCCCAGCTTTATGAAAATTTTGAATACCGTATCTGAACAGGGTATATATACAGTGAGCTTACAGATGATTTAGGTCATTCTAAAGAAAAACATAGAAACATAGAATGTGACGGCAGATAAGAACCATTCGGCCCATCTAGTCTGCCCAATTTTCTAAATACGCTCATTAGTCCCTGGCCTTATCTTATAGCTAGGATAGCCTTATACATATCACACGCATGCATTATTATTTTTTTAATGTTTAATTTTGAGTTTTCAATGAGGTTTTAGATACTATGTAAAATTTTATTAGCAACTATTTTTTACACATGTGGCTATTATGACCAATCAAGGATTTCATATTGAGAGTGTGTGGTGAGTTACTGACAACAGAAGTAAAAGGATACACTTTCAAAGACCGTGGAGTATTTACAAATACAGGACACCCCTAATCCACTTGTGTGCCTGCATTGATCTTGGAAAACTATACTACTGAATAATTTTTGTTTGTTTCTGTTTTTTTCTTTTCCTTGTACTGTATTATTTGTTCACTGATGTTTACTCCTTGTTGAAATGTGGTGAGCTAAAAAAGTATTGCAAAATTTAGGTCATTGTTGGAGAACAAACAAAAAAGCTGTGCACTCTTTTTTTTTTTTTTTGGAGATTTTTCCCAAAGCAATTAGATTTGAGCAGTTGTGATGTTAACTGGCCAAGACTCACAGCTTAGTGAATAAAACCTATAAGCACCCTGACGTTGTATCATGGTTGGTTAACCAGAGGCAGCACCTGATCCCTTATATCTACTGGCGTCCAGATCAGGAACTACTGGGACCTCATCTCTTACCATCACATTGTCATGACATTAGTAGCCTTCCTGATTGTTTTTGTCTAACATATAATGCATACAGTAAAATTGTCATGGGACACATTACAATTCTATTCGTTTACACAAACAATTACTTGGGAACTCTGATGAATATACATAAAAAGAAGGAAAAGACAAAAAGCTGAGAAAGGACAGTTTTGTAAAAGAGCAGAACCCTAGAGGCAGACCTAAAATAGGGAGTTTAAAGGCTAAAGACACATGCAAAGGAGCAACTGACATAATGGGTTGGAAGCTGAGAATCAATTGAATGGATGAGTTGAGACTCTGGGAGAGACAGATGGTTACAAGAGACATAAGTATGCTTGGGTGGTTAGGAGACAGAATTAGAGGGGACTAAAAACCAAACCAAAAGAAAAGAGACCGTGTGAGAGGTATGTTAGGCAGATATACTATTTCTTAGTATGTGGAATGTCAATGCCTTTACTCTACAATATGATTAAAGTGACACTCCACTGCCCAAATAGATAATACATCAATAAGACCTCTGTCTAGTAACTATACTGCAATGAAAACATGCACATATTTAATTATACTTTTTTTTTTTTTTTTTTTTTCTTTCAGGAGTATATCTAAAAACAGCTTGCAAAAGCTGTAGATCTCTTGCCTAAAGCCATTGCAAACCCTCCCCTTTTAACCCTGCCCAGACTTTCTGTGGCTGTCCAATCACAGACTTCCCAATACAGCTCAATGAGAAGTCTTTACAAGGCAGGGGCTCTGGGCAATTGCTGCCTATTGAGTTTATCTGCAATGAGCTAAGCAACCAGGAAGTAATGAGAGGTTCTTTGACAGGCGGAGAGGCGTAACAAGGTTCATATTTAAAAGTGCCAATTTCTTTTGAAATCTGCACTTTCTGTAAAATTTGGTCACAAATGAATATGAGGTCCAAAAATACAAAGTTTTGGCTTACAGCAATCATCAAGATGGAATATCCAAAAACAATCACAGAAGAAAGTGCAAAGCACGCACCCACAATAAATATTAATATGACCCAAAGTTAAATGCAGTGTGTCTGAACAGTAATCATATAATGCCTATATAAACACAGACATAGAAAAAATATAGAGAACTGCAAAGAGAAGGCAGAACAGGTGCCCTTTAACAAATCTATTTAAATGTTACTTCACGTTTGGCTTTCCTGATTAAATTTCCATATTCATGCAAAAATAAATAAATTCAAATGATGTAGATAAAGTAAATGAATGTACATGTAACCAAATGTAAACATTCCAGCGTCTACAGATAAAAGCAGCAGCAAAACAAAAGGCTGGCTACCGTATGTTTGTGTGTGTGTATATATATATATATATATATATATATATATATACACTCGGAATTTAAATACGTGATGTGTGTGTGTGTATATATATATATATATATATATATATATATAAATAAAAATACAAAATACCCCTGCACTCCAACTAGAGAAATAAAAATAGTACCTGGTGCTCTGGTGGCTTAATCATAAACAAAGTGAAAATACCGGCACTCAAGGTTTTCCAGAAGATAACTTCTCCATTTATTGCGGAAGAAAAATTCGACGTTTCAGCTCCACTGGGGAGCTTTCATCAGGACACATCAGCTTTCATGGTGTCCTGATGAAAGCTCCCCAGTGGAGCTGAAACGTCGAATTTTTCTTCCGCAATAAATGGAGAAGTTATCTTCTGGAAAACCTTGAGTGCCGGTATTTTCACTTTGTGTGTGTGTGTGTGTGTATGTATGTATATGTATGTGTATATATAGCTCAAGTAAGATTAATGAACAGAAAAGGTCACTGATAAATATTTAGTACCACTAAATGTAAAAGTGTCAAGCCTCATTCAAATATCCCATTTCATAAGATCAAATCTGAACAATGGATGAATATTGTGCATTATAGCAACACTGTCACCGTCTGGGGACTTTACATAAATTTGCAAAGACCCCCGATGGTGACATCACCACTGGTGGTCAGGTGGCTGTGGGTGCAGGGAAAGGTGAGATTTACTTATCTGAACCTGTCCCTTGTGGGCGTGTATTCTTCTGGCCTGTCCGCTTCTGCCTCTGGCTCCATGAGCTGTACTCCCACACATGTAGGTCTAGAAGTGTCAGATGTAGTCCCTACTTTGTCTCAGTGTATTTTTTTGGCTGGATGGTATTTCAGTGAAATTCCAACACAGTCTGTATAAGGATTTCATATAGGTTTTTATCTTTATAAAATGCTCACTTTGCAGAGGGGGTGCGTGACCGTGCCGCTTTAAATCTCTTACACTACAGAACTTCCCAAACATTACCCACGTCACTACATGTGACAAAGTTTAGCATTGCTGTACAATAGTTACGGGACATGGAGTTTTTACTGCGACCACAAGCTGGTACTCACAGTACTGATTACATATCAGCTAACGCTAGGAGCCGGGTCGGGTACTTACCATACACAGACAGCTCGCTGTTTAGTCTTTGTTTATTAATTATGCTATTGTTGAACTCTGTTTGCTATTTGAATAAAATGTATCTTTTTTTTCTTTTTCTTCACTACAGCCATGTGGAAATTGTTTTTTTTTTTATAAAAATGACAGAAGTGTTCATTATGTTTTGATGTGATATCTATAATTCCAGGACATATACAGTTAGTATTAGAAACAAAAGTGAAAATCCACGCAGAAAGCTTGGCTGCGATTGAAAAGAGTTCTTCTCCATGGATTCACCTTAGTATTTTTCATTTCATCAATAGCCTAATCAATAAACCATTCAACTGATTAACCATTTGCATTGAACAACGCAAAATTTACAAATAAAGGATTAAAAAAACAAAATAAAACATTTGCATACAGGTTCCTGGAGGCAGCTTCCTATCCTCCCTCAGTGTTTTCTTCTATGGCTGGATTAACCCTAGTGTAAACAAAGCAGTTTCTCTGAAACTGCTATGTTTACAGCTGCAGGGTTAACCCTAGATGGACCTGGCACCCCGACCACTTCATTGAGCTTAAGTGGTCTGGGTGTCTATAGTGGTCCTTTAATGCTATCCATTGTAATACAGCTTACTTACAAAGGGATGACCTATTGAAGCCACCGCATTGGAGCAATCTATTACCTTTATCTTGAAATTGCTATCCCATTGTTAGAGATCTAGATTTAAAGAGTTAAATATTCATATTCTGTATACATAATAAGAAATATTGACAGGATATATTATATATTTAAAATGTATTCTTAAGGCTAAATATCCAAGATGGTTCTTTAAACCCTTTCACACACACAGTATTCCTTCTTCTTTTTTTCATTTTATTATTTAGGCTAACTGTTATGACTTCTCCTGCTTTCTCTGTAATAGAATTTCTGTCTTCTCTTTACACAGTCGTCTTTGCCACGCTCACCCCACTCTGAAGGTTATTGAGATGTTCCACTTCCGAGGTCCGTCTCAGGTGGGGGACCGACTGATTCTTAAAGCCATTGTGAATAACTCTTTCAAAGACAGGTCAGTAAGAAACCGAGCAGTGGGTCACATTGGAGGAGAGTCTTGGTATATCTCATGGTTCTATGGAATGGGTGTTCAACCTCTCTGCCTGTCAACTTGATTATGTATGTCAATTATTTCCTGCTACATATTCCCACTGTTTAATTATAAAGCCCTACTTTGTTAACAAAATATGAATTATTATAATAGTCCATTTCAAAAGGTTGTCATCTTCAACTTCACATTATAGTAAGTCGTTCCTTTAAGGGTGCGTGGAGTTATAAAAAACAGGTTTTCTGTGGACAATTCACCATGTCAGTTGGAAACAGATTTCCTCTGTGTACAATCTAGAATCCCTCTAGCATGTCCACAACACCCTAACTGGGAGGTACATTTAGTTAACAATTGCACATATTTGCCTCCTAGAAACTATTTTCCATTTTATTTCATTTTAACCTTGTGTTCTTCATGGGCTACAGGAGGTTAACCGATGAATACATAGCTACCCCGGACTTGAATCAGTTCGTACCATCTGTGTTTTTTCCTTTTAAATTTAATTGAAAAATGGTTTTGTGCTAAAACATGGCAACAAAAATGATAAAAAAATATATAGCAAAATAAGAAGTATGCAGAGAACTACAAAAGTTGCAATAGATTGTCCAATGAAAGAACAAATACATTCAAGCAGAAAGAAATTCTGGTGTAGAAACCAGCCATCTTAAAATGGGTCAGTATCTACGTTTCTAAAGAAAAAAAAAAGTCCATAATGAAGTAGAGAGAAAATCAAAGATCTCCAAAATGTAACTTCACAGTGATATTAAAAGAAAACACACTCATAGGGGTAGTTGGCAGAGCTTTCAGAAGTAGTGTTTGTAGCGCAGCTAAAGGGAGACTAAAGGCTCCCAGGTCACTTCATCTCAATTGCACACTTCTAGTGGATTTTAGAAAGATAGTCACTAGAAGTGCTTTTTCTGGTATAACCGAGTAAAACTTGGTTATAGGGCAAATGACTCACCTAGAACATAAATTACTGCGCATCTGCACTAGCATCTTTCCAATGCTTTGCTATGGGGAAGCATGGGATTGGCCGAGATTATCAACAACGATGATCTAAACCAAAGAGGCAGAGTGACAGCGAGAAGAGTAGCATGACAAGAGTTGAAAGGTAAGTAATACCTTTCAAATTCTCACACGGCAGGGAATATGTATCAGGACATTATAGCATTAAAAATACATAGTTTATAGTGTTTCGTTAAGATTTTGCCCTTGCCTTTCTGTGTGTTAGCCAGCAAACTAGGGAACTAAACTTTGAAAGTTACTGAATAGGTTCAGTCAACCATGAGGAAAGTATTTGTTAAATCTGAAAAACCTCTTTCTTGACAATACTTTACGTAACCACGAGTACCCACCAGTCTAGAGGAACATGATCTACTGGAATTTTAATTATATAGCAACAGGACCTTCTGAAATTTCAGCTCAAAGTACCATGTTTCAGCTCAAAGTACTGTGTTAGGTGGGAGCCCTTCGATCAGGTTGTGTCATGTGTCAAAGGTTTAGATGTAACACACTTTAAATTGAATACAGTACTGATCTAATTTCATTAGTATGTACAACCGGCATAACTGATGAAATACGAGAAGAGATGACCCTAAATGAGAATGGAAGCAGGCAAGACTTCCATAACATGGAAGAAGAGAAGTGACCTATTATTTACAGGCTTATTTACTAAAGTGAGATTTAAAAGTGAATTTCAAATGTAAAGTGTCTGAATGGGAAACATAACTGACTTAGAGAATTTTTATAGTTAATCTATTTTGGCCTTAAAGGAACACTATGGTGTCAGGAATACAAACCTTTATCCCTGACACTACAGGTTTAAAATGGCTGTTTAGGTTTTCGACTCTCCTTATGCTAAAAAGGTGATCTACTCACCTTTATTACAGAGCCACCCAGGTCTCCACTTTAGATTGCTCTGCTCCGCCTCCTTGGCTGAGATGATCAAATCTGATTCTCAGCCAATCCAATATTTTCTCATAGAAAAGAATTGGTATGCTATTGTGCATGTGCAGCAAAACAACGAGCTGTGCCAATTAGCATCTTCTCATAAGGATGCATTGAATCAATGCATCTCTATGAGAAGTGTTCAGCACACTGTGCAGCACTGACCCAGGAAGCACCTCTAGTGGCCATCTGAGTGACTGCCACTAGAGGTTTTCCTAGGGAGTAATGTAAATAAGCATGTGTGTTATGAGTAAATGTTAATGACTTCTGCCCTATCTCATGCAGATTTTACGATCCTGACTGCGGTACAAAGCCCAAGGCAATGTTTTTAGATAATCCCGAGAAGAAGTAACATTTATATCTTTATTGCTTCTACAGTCGATTAGATTTTAAATATTTATCCAAGAAAAAAAACCTTACATTGTCCAGACTTATGTTCTTTAGGAACGCTTTTAGTGTGGTGATCATTATAACCGTAGAGACTGTTTGTTTGTTTTTCTTATGGGGAATGTGAATCTTTTGCAATGGAAGGCGCTTATGTTTAATTTCAGTTGCCATGGTAATTTACCCTTAATCGATCAGTCAAAAGAATCCCACAGAAGGGAAAACTGCAGACATGGACAGCGGAGCACAAAATGGAGGCGCCCAGATATTGAAAAGATCAATATAGACACATAACATTGGAGGGAGTATAATCATTGTGATTAAAGGAGTAGGAGGAAAAGAACTGAAAGACAAAACAAACATAAAATTTTCACCTTCATTTTATATTTTACACTTAACATATATTTATGTATGGGATAACTAAACATATAACAAGGTGTTTAAATAGAGGTAGCGATGCAAGCAGCGCGAGGTGGATGGACGCAGTCTCACTTAGCTCCAACCCTATACAGCTAGATTACGGTTTTAGCGAGGGCTTTCCTCCCCAAATTGATATTAACTACTTTTACCAGTGATACTGCTTGATATAGGCCAGAAAAGCAAGAAACAGTCAGAAGACAAACCATCTGGGAGCTTACATATTGGAGACATGTTCTTTAGGCCTCAACGAGAGTATCTTTCAAAGATGGCACCGGAGTTAGACAAACTCTTCTTCTCATCGGGTGATCGTCCCTTTGCTACCACAGAGAGGTCCAGTTGGGTTGTCACATCTTTCCAGTCCTCCTCTATCAGCGGCAGAGGCTACTATGGTAACCAACAGAGGGGATTTACAATCTCTTCTGGAGGACAATCTGTGAATTTTAGCTTAGGATGTTGCTGTTGTAGAAAGAGGATATTAAAGGCCTAACGGGCAAGGTGAAGGCTGTAAAACATGATTTGGAGGACCTTCGGTTCAGACAGTCCACTTTAAAGTGGCAAGTAGCGAAGCTTCAGTCATAGTCATAGTCATAGTCCCAGGTTTCTTTGGCTCAGCCCCATTCTTTTCAAAATGTATTGCGTCTCTCCTGGATACCCGTACAAATGCTATATTACAAACTGAAAACGTTTGTGAATTCTCTTGAGGACACACATATTGAGTTTAATCAGTAAACCATGAACTGAAGTCAAAATATTCTAATTCAGCGGCCCATACTAGCCAAGTTGGAAAAATATCTAAATGGAAGAATTTCGCTAGTTCAGATACTTTACAGTTGTCCTTGCCAGTTATGTTTTGGTATGTTACATAAATTGAAGGACTGTGTGTATAAACTGCTGTGGTTGTAAATACTGTGGTATTAAAGAGACACTATAGTCACCAGAACAACAACAGCTGAATGTAGTTGTACTGGTGAGTATAGTCAGTCCCTGCAGGATTTTTGCAATAAACACTGTTTTTTGGTTGTTGTTTTTTTCCAGAGACAAGGCAGTGTACATTGTTCCCTAGGGACACCTCGAGTGGCAGTCATTTAGATAGCCACTAGAGGTGCTTCCTGGGGCAGTACTGCACAGTGTGCAGGACTAACATTCCGTGTCTCCACGCTCTGCATGGAGACATTGAACTTTCCACTTTCCACTTTTGATTAAATCCATCTCTATGAGGAGATGCTGATTGATCAAACCAGTGCTTGGCCCTGCCCCCACCCTGCCTCCTTGACAATTTCAGCCAATGCAATGCGTTTCGTACGGATTTTGATGATGTCGCTCAAGAAGGCAGGTCGGGGGCAAGGCCAGTGTCGGCAGACCCATGCGGTGCTGGAAGTAAAGTACGTTTTCTTACCTTTTAAGTGGGGGCAAGACACGTAAATGATGTTTTTAACACTTTAGGGTCAGGAATATACATTTGTGTAAAGTGCCATAGTACAAATCTAGCACAACCGGACATTGGTAAAAGTCCATATGGACTACATATGTGAATGTAATGTATGTTCATTAATCTGGAAATGAAATATTGGTTTAGTAAACTGTACGGTGTGTGTGTATATAATCTTTATTCAACAATATATGGATGAAGGTTCGGGAATTAACATTTTCTTTGTGTCTATATTGCAGTATGGAAGTCGGGGTCTGTGTGGAGGCCTTTTGCCATGAGATGAATGTGCCAAGGAGACATATAAATAGTGCTTTCATGACCTTCGTAGTTCTCAATGAAAAAGATCACCTGTGTGTATTACCACGTATCAAGCCAGAGTCAGGGGTAGGTAATATTCTTTGTAATGAACCTCTTTATAATCCATCCCATTCACAGGGCAAGTACAATCCATTCTATAGTCACAGACCATGACAATATGGTCAAATACACCTCTACCAGATTTCAAATAAAAAAAAAAAAAAAAAATTCTGAATGTGTAAAATAGTAAATTAATCCAAATCCACGTGGTGCTTTGAGCTCTCCATCCAATCCATCGCCCGACTTCTTATTATTGTCATTGTAACAGGTAAGTGTTGATTCTCTAAGTCTCTTCTGTCTCTCCTAAGCAGTGCTGAGTGCTACATAACTGCGTTAAAAGGAATGGACTATCATTTACTGTCTATAATTAAATATACATTTTTAGTAAATTCTATGGTTAAGCTGGGCAGTTTTTATTTTGTTTTTATTTTTTTTTTTTCCAGCAGACTTTGCTGTGTCAAAATATAAAATTTGTGTTTTAATAAATGCTCATCCAGAATTTAAAAAGAAAATACATTTTTAAAAAATATAAAAGAACATGCAGAAGTACTTTTACATGTTGAAACATTGCCTGGAAGTATTAAATAAACCACAGCACAGAAGAAGCGATGCTTCTTTTATTTATTTTACGCTACTTTGCTGGTGTGAGAACTCCTTGTTTCTCACCCCAGTGAACCATATCGGAACTTGTACCTCCACGGCACTTCAGTGTCCTTTGCTTCCCCCATGGTGCTTCATGGGTTCATTTCTTCTTGGGTATCTCCTGAGAAGTGATGAGACACACGAGCTTGGACTATGTCCTGTGGGAGATAAGCTTATTTACATAGTATGCTCTGGCTGTGCTACGACAACCTTGCATTCCTTTCAATTAAAAAAAAATAAAAGCGTTTAAAGATTATTTTTTTTTAGGAAAAAAAAATGCCCAAACCATTATCTAGTTTTGCATAAAATCTTACAGTCCCACTTTAACGTTTCTTTAAAACTCAAAGTCCAGACCTTGCTGCAAAAAACGCTATGTATGATTGTAGAGCATTACGTTTATTAAAAATAGAACACTGTTTTTAACCTGACTCTACAGATAAAACGCATTGATTTATGTGTTTAAAATATGCAAAAAGAACCACTGATCTCTGCTATATTTACTCAGGAATATACAAAAGTCCATATTTGCGAGAGGACAATTCCGCAGGTAAATACATCCCAGTGTAACCCACAGGAGTGTCAGTACATTAACATTAATACATTATGACCCCTGGCAAATAAACTGCAAATGCCTCTGTGCTGCAGTGTTTAATACATGGCGTTTCTCACTCTAGTACATAGAATTTTTAAGGTTTGAGTTCTCTCCTTTTCTTAGACAATCAGTAGGCTGTCCGACTAATCTGTGGATATATTATGTTCTGGATAATAATGTATTTTTAATAGGACGGACTAAGACGCTACAATGAAGCAAATGCTCGCAGGAAAATCAGACTTGATCGGTGAGTGGCATTTTAGGTTGCTGTTTGAATATACCTGAAATGTACGGTATGTGTTTTTACAATGCTTAGCGTTTTCATAATGTTTATTTGAAGCTCCATATAGCATGACTGGAATACGATATTCTGATAATATTATATTCTGTCTTCTCAATGAGAATCCCAATTCATGGAAATATGAGAATAGGCGTCTAGCGGCAGTGAAGCGGTTAAGGGTGTGTTTTGGAAAGTAGGTTCAAATAAACACAAAGAGTTGGATCACACCTTCATTCTGGAAATATACCACAATTCAAAGTGGATTAGTGTAAAAGGTCAAACTTTATTTCCAGTGTGTCAAGAGTTCCAAAAAAAAAAAAAAAAAGCTCTGTGCTTGCTCATGATTCCAGGTTTTGCGAACACTCGCTCACTTTTGATAACTATCTCATGGGTTCTGGTTGGACACACAATGCTTCTGACCAAACAGGAATTAATAATGACTGCCCCCATAGTGCAAACGTAGGTCAGGAGATGCAGTGAAAAAGTAATTACTGTATACTTTACAAAATGATAGGCTATAATGCATACAAACTTTTATTTGCAATTTTATGTTTTCCTTCAAAGGGTTACGCTAACCCTTATAAAGATATATTGTTAAATAAAATTTTGTTTTAAAAAAGAAGTCCCTTTTCAGCATTATTCTCAGTATTAAACAGATGGAATCAGGAGGTGGGAGTGCAGTGACATTAGGCAGCCACTAGAGGCAGTTTTGCAGCACTAAGGGCAATAGGGACACTGTACCCAGACCACTTCAGTGAGCTGAAGTGTTCTGGATGCCTATAGTGTCCCTTTCGTCTGTTCACTGCCTTTTAATATTATTATAACAATCTTTAAATCATTTAGCAAACAACAACAAAAAGAAAACATTATTTACTTCTATAATATGATATTCAGAATTGTATGAGGACTAGAGCTCCCAGACAGTCTCAGTTAACACAGCTAATCCTGCCATTCTCAAAAAATAAACTTAATTGGTAAAACTTGCTTTATTCCCACTCTACCCTGCCATATATCCAAGTTCTGATCAAATGCTCGGAACCACCCCTTCTAAAGGCTATTTAAGGGATTTACTGCATTTGTTTGCTAAGTTAGAACTTTGGCTAACCGTAAAGTAGATAAGCCAAACTTCATACAAGTACCAGAAAATGGTCAGATAACTTTGTGTCTGTTAGTTGACCAAGTATGTTGATGCTTTACAGCGAGCAATCTTTATCTGTCATTTCTACAAATGTTATTAATCTTGTTCCAACAGTAAATATGTTATTTCCTGTAATCCATCTGAGGTTCCGCTGTCTGTCCCTTGGGATCCAAGTAATCAGGTAAATCCAGAAACTATCGCTAGACTCCAAACCTTGATTTTATAAACCGTGTAAAAGGTTTGGTGGGTGGATGAGTTTGTATGTATTTATATACACAAAGTCTAGTATTTATTAAAGGGTACACAAAGTAATTAGACCACTAAGAGTAACAGAAATATAAGCAGTTATAGCAGTAACTGCTATTTGGGTCACTTGCTTCAACCCATGATTTGTGTTGATTGTAAAAGAAAAGGTACTGCTAAAATCCAGTTTGAAATCATGATAATTCATACTTTGTTCAATAAACACTGTTAGACAGAAATACATTTTTACATCTGTTATTGTTGTAAAATAATATTTACTTAAGAGAACCTTTAATTATATTTTGTAGTTTTCTGTCTAATTGTATCTTGCTGTAAAACCATTCCATCAGCCCTGTACACCCGCGTTCTCAGAGCTGTGTTGCTATATTTTGTTTTACAGGTCTATCTCAGTTACAATAATGTATCTTCTCTGAAGATGTTGGTGTCCAAAGCCCAGTGGGCCCTAGTTTCCGAATTAAACCAGGTAAGCAGGGCCGGACTGGGAATATATATATTTGGACGTATTGTATGTGAGGGGTGCAGTGTGTGTAAGAGGGGTGCTGTGTGTGAGGGTGTTTTTATCTGTCGTCACATTCTAGGTTTCTAATTTTCTTTGTCTGTTAACTCACTGAGGGTTATTTTATATAATATGTGTGGGAGTGTGCTGTGTGTCTGGGTGCTGTGTGTGTCTGAGGGTGCTGTGTGTCTGGGTATCTTTGATCTCCCCACCGGCCCATGAAGGCTCACAGCAGGGCCGACACACCGATAGCGCCGGCTCTGCATGGGCCAGCCGGGGACATCCTGTGATCTCCCCTGCCGGCCTTGGCCCACGGCCATCGCGGCCCACCGGGCATTTGCCCGGTATGCCCAATGGCCAGTCCGGGCCTGCATGTAAGGAAGATTATATTAAGCTACACACATTTCTAAGTGATAGTCTAAATTGATTAATGTATTGTGCTGATCCACAGTTCTTGTTCATGGGGTTTCATATAATAAAAATATTAAATGATTTAACCGGTGCAGGTATAGTCCTGTGGACTACATGTTTTTACCACCTGACTTAATAGTGGTAAAGCTATTTGACTTTGGTATGAATGGAACCTGTGACCTTGACATACTGTAAGTGGAATCTCCTCTCCTGGCTGTCTCATTATTTTTTTAATATTGTCCAACTTTTACTATAAGGGGTGTTTAATTTCAGTGCCAGGAAAACCAAGGCTGTTTCATATGTCACCGTTTTTTTCAGTAGTCATTAAGCATTATTGTTGGCCTTATTCAGTGCAGAACACCGAGAATGGCAACAATATTAGACATTCTATTTCTGGACATATTTTAATTCCTCTGCATCCGGCCTATGATGGGCATGATTTACTTATAACTAGGCTTAAACAAACCGTCACAGACTAGAAGCCAGAAATTCTCATATACAGCTCATTTTCTAGTCTGGCTGTTATAGCTTAGCTTTTGTAGTTCAGTTTTCAGTCCATCACAAGTCATAAATAAACCCCATTAGTTAACATGATGAACAAAAATTAGTTTTAGCCAAGTTGCCCAAATCTTTAGTTTCCTTCACTAAAGGTAAAAATAAGACCTTGACGAATAAACATAATCAATATTTGAATATATATTTATATTAAGAAGTCAGCAGTGATCTGCAAGTTTTGATCCATTGTCCTTGTCTGTCATTTAGGTCCATCTATACACCTTGGAGGACAATGGCTTCCTGTCTTTCAAGGTTGAAATAAATGTGTCCATTGATGCCCAACAAGCCTTTAATCTGCTTTCTGATCTGCGTCGCAGAAACACATGGGATCGCTATTACAAGTAAGTTCTCCCAAAAGTGTTACCCAAACAGATGCCAGTCTTTGGGCCTGGGAACTGCTTTCTGGAAAAGAGGACATCAGTTGGCTAATATGTTAAAATGTTTCAATTTGCTTTTGAACTTCTGACAGCTATGCTGCTCGCTGCAATAGTAGGGTATAGGGTGCCAGAGGGTACATGGGCAGTGTTTAGCTATGTAAGGGTTGAAATGTATAGTGTAAAGAGTCAGAGAAGAAGCCAGTCAACTTTGTTTATTTTACTTCGTCCACATGCTCTCCAGTCTCCTCCTTTAGAGCCCATGCCCAGCTGCAGGATGCCAACATGGGCTGTCAGTATGGCCATCGGTCCATATACCTGTTAACAGCCACAACTGGGATCCTATGCAGGCCCCCCCCACCCCCCACTCCATACCTGTTAAACATTCTCCTGGATTTGTCCCATATTTGTGAATGTCATTGCATTATTGATCAGTCTTCTGAACTATGGGAGATGTGGCAACTGTACAAGACTGCCAGTATCATGATTTTATGCTAGATCAACCTATGTGTGGTGTTGATTGGAACCTGCCTGATAAACTCCACCTGGAATTCCAGGGCATGTTAGGCCATCGTAATATTCAGGAGACTCTGAACAATAAAAACACAGGAGCAATGATTTATTCACATTTCTAAACCCTATGAAATGCAGCATTATTTTAAACCAGTAAATGCACCTAGCTGAGATTGGTGATATCTTCTACAAACCTCCTTACATATGGGCTTAGACACATCCTGTTTGTACTGTGCATTGTGCGATCTTACCCTATCAAGAATTTAATGCAATACATTAGTTTCAATATCAAGAGCTGCTATAAGAAACGTATCACTTATTGTGTATCTCTTATTGCTGAGTGTTTGACTAAGCACTATATGTACTTTTATGAATATGACTTGTTGTTAAGAGGACACTATAGTCACCAGAACAACTACAGTTTAATGTAGTTGTTCTGGTGAGTATAATCATTGCCTTCAGGCATTTTTATGCCATCACTGGTTTACATTGCCCCTAGGGGCACCTCCAAGTGGCCACTCCTCAGATGGCCACTGGAGGTGCTTCCTGGCTCAGTGCTGCACAGTAGGCAGCACTGCAGTTCAGCGTCTCCACACTCTGCATGGGGATGCTGAATTTCCTCATAGAGATGCACTGATTCAATGCATATCTATCAGGAGGTGCTGATTGGTTGAAATGGTGTTTGGAATTTTGTTGTATGGTTTTTAACCCATTATTTAGGGAGAATGCGATCGTCACATATGATAATTTGGATATATTTCCTCTCAATTGCTACTTCAGTCACTCATTGGCTTTTGATTGATGCATTTCTTTGCATAGTAATCTGTCTCATGAAGGCAGGTGTTCTGCATCTCCGATAACTACATTTTGTAACTATTAACTTATGGTTTGTTTTTATCTTTCATCATTTTCTGTTGCATTCTAGCCCAAGGTTATTAAAAGTTTCTTCAACTTTGCTATTTTTAAAAAAAATTTAAATGCAATTCCCTCCTCAATTCTCCATGATTCTGCAATCTCCTCCGATGCAGACCTGGATTATTTTGATGTGTTATTAAAAATTGTCATTGCTGTGCTTTTAACAGCCTGTTTGCATAATTATCCACAAAATACAAGTAGTCTGTTTCTTCCTTAGAGAATGTCATCTCTTACAACAAGTGAACGAAGATGATGCAATATACCATGTGGTCAGCACAGTGCGTTCTGCGGAGAACAAACTGCAGGATTTTATCATCCTGGCGTCCCGGAGACAGCCTTGCGACGTTGGGTAAAGAGATTAATTTAATGACGGAGTATATAACCTAAATTCTGATTCATGGTGAAGGGTTTATTGCATTCTCTGAAGGATGAACGATTTGATTGATAGGTCAAGACCTGAGCTGTGTTCACTATATATGTTTGGCTCTTTTGATGGTTTTCCCTCTTCATTTTCTGAGTTTTATAAGAAGGTAAGTGGGGAATATGTAGCATACTATATCTTCCTCTATTCCTAATTTGTAGATCGTGCCAACCTATTCCTTTACAATATTATAAAAGAGGGAAATTTAACAATAAATGAGACCATTACAAAATGCTGCAGGAACAATAGGTTGACGAGGGCCCTGTTCAAACGAGCTTACAGTCTATGAATAAATATAATCTTCTTGCAAGCATAATCAGATCTGGGCGAAATAAGCTGTCCAATTGTCCTTGCTGTGGCAAGATGACTCAAAGAAGTACATTTTACTTGTCACTTTCCGAAATGGCCAGTTGGGTCAAAAGTGTCTGCAGAATGTGACTTTCAGTGTCTGCAGAATGTGACTTTCAGTGTCTGCAGAATGTGTCTTTAGCACACGCTGCAGAAATCAGCACAACTCTCCGAAATGTCAGTGAGGCTTTGTGTGTGTTTTTCTCAAGTGGCTTATGCATTTTATTGATGATTTTGTAGACGGGTACGCATTTGGACTTTCTTATGAAGATCTGCAGATTCCATAAGACTGTATAATGTGCAGAGGCTAAGGTTTAGACAATGCAATGAAAAGAGCGGAAAGTCTGCATGAAAACACTAATTAAAACCTCTTCACACTGCTTTACCTTACAGGGATCCTTATGTTATAGCCTTCCGTTCCGTAACGCTCAAAACTCATCAACCGTCTGAGGAGTACACCCGCAGTGAGACACTCTGTTCTGGGTTCTGCATCTGGCCCCAGGAAGGACATGTAACAAAGGTAACACATTAACTAAATCTTTGCTATTTTGTGACACTGAAAATTCATGTCTTTTCTGTGTATAAATTCAATCAACAAATGCCACAATAAATGTGCATATACAGGAGGTAGATATATACCACCCTATGTGTTGTTTTGCACCATTTTAATAATTTGCAAACAAAAATGAATCCTATTCTTAATATAATATTTTGTAGAATTATAGTGTTGTGTCGAAAAGGAAAGGACTTAACAATAAACTGTTCCATCTGGATCCAATAATTCCTATGGTGATTACGTTTTAGTACTTTGCATTCTTTTTCAGAAAAGGGTACTTTGAAAGGTCTCCTCCATTGCACTCTCTTCTTTAACTCCTTTATTAAAATTTGGGGATTTGTTTCTGGGGGGTTTTCCCGACCATTAAATAAATATCTGATTTTGTTGTAGCTATCCATGCTAAGCAGAAAAATACTTTACACAGGTTCTAAAATGAAAGACTCAGATTCTGGCTTTTCTACAAATATCTAGGTAGTGATGAGGGTAAAGTACTGTATATACTCGAGTATAAGTCGACCCGAATATAAGTCGAGACCCCTAATTTTACCCCAAAAAACTGGGAAAACTTATTGACTTGAGTATAAGACTAGGGTGGGAAATGCAGCAACTACTGGTAAATTTCTAAATAAAATTAGATCCCCCAAAATTTAAATTAATTGATTATTTATTTACAGTGTGTGTGTATATAATGAATGCAGTGTGTGTGTGTGTGTGATGCAGAGCCTTGGTGGGGGGTGGGCATTTTTATTATTATTTTTTATTATTATAAAAAAAAAATTTGTTATATTAATATTTTTTATTTTATTTTTTTATATTATTTAAATTTAAATTTGTATTTATTTTTTTCCGTCCCCCCTCCCTGCTTGTTAGCTGACCAGGGAGGGGGGCTCTCATTCCCTGGTGGTCCAGTGGTGTGCACTGTGTAGGAGGGGGCTGGCAGAGAGCTGTAACTTACCTTTCCTGCAGCTCCTGTCAGCTCCCTTCTCTCTCCTCCGGTCCGGTCAGCTCCCCTGCAAGTCTCGCAGTGTGAGTGCGGCACGGAGCGTTGCCATGGTAACCCGTGGTAACGCTCTGACCCCGCGGCTCACGTGAGACTTGCAGTGGAGGAGAAGGGAGCTGAGCTGACAGGAGCTGCAGGAAAGGTAAGTTACAGCTCTCTGCCAGCCCCCTCCTCCACAGTGCACACCACTGGACCATTACATTACAAACCTGGCGGTCCTGGTCTGTATTATGGCAATGTAAGTTGCCATAATACAGACAGTGACTCGAGTAAAGTCGAGTGGGGGTTTTTCAGCACAAAAAATGTGCTGAAAAACTCGACTTATACCCAGGTATATAAGGGTAATCTTTCTGTAAAACTACTATAATATATGTAATTATGAAATTGCATTTCATGGCATTGAAAGTGGTGTGCAAAGGTTTAACAGTGCTACACGTGGAAACGTAGCTAGATATTTTAAAGAAAGCAAGCAAAAAGCACTTAAAGGGGAATTGTCACTTGTCAGACACAAGTTAGCTATAGGATGTGTCAAATTTTTTTTTAATCTCCCTATTTTAATTTTAATTTTGCAAAGCATGTCTGGCTGGTCAGATATGCTATGTAAATTAAAATAGCCCCTGCAGTGCAATATGAATTGGCTCATGTGGCACTTGTTGTACAGCGCTGCAATATATGTTGGCTCTTATAAATAATTGTAATTGAATGTGGAGTGCGCGTGTGATCATACGACATTTCTCTGTATATGCTCCAGGCATCATGGGCTAGCAGAGTGCAATGAAGGGGACCCCTGTCTGAGTCTGGAACTCCAGCTCTGAGTGGGCTTTCCAGAGATAAAAAGATCTCCTTACCCAGCCCTGCAATCTCTAACTTCATTGAGGGAGCATCATGGTCTGTAGCAATATCATTGAAGGTACCCTCATGTTCCTCCAGCACTTCTTGGTGATTTAGAGTGCCACAGTCAGTGCTCTGAGTCATTGAGTGTCACAACTGTTATGGGCAACTGTAAATATTACAAGTTTTAGAATGAAATGTTGTATTTCTTAAACTGTGTACTTTGTCTTTAAGAGATATTGCAAATTGACAAGGTGTTAGAAATGGAACATATTGTTTTTCATAACTGTTTCTTTAAGCAATAACCTCAGTGCATAATATGTTTGCGCCATTTTGTCCCAGACGAATTACAATAACAATAATGCATAAACAAGCTTCAAGGCTATACTACGACTCTTTCAGTACACAATATACTGTGGTAACCCCAAGTTAATGGAACTTCCCCAAATCCGGGAATCTCCCACTACAGTGCACTTACGACTTAGTATAAACAACAGATAACCTATTCAGACTTTAAGATGCCATCTTGAATTAAGTCAGGAAAAATTCCATGACGTATACGTCCTTTAGTTATGGCCTTGTATGTTTGCCAAATTAAGGGAGGTCCTAAAATGAATAAAGTAAATGAACTACGGTAACCCTAAAATGGAGACACCTAAGGTATAAATAGGTGTACTTTTAAATGTTAAGACACAGAGGAGAGACTTGGAGACAGACGCTGCTCCATCTTAAAATGACAGAGAGGCTGACATGATGACCTGTTCAGAAGGGTATGTTAACCTATTAATGATATTTGCAAGCATTTAGTTTAATCTTATAAACTCTGCTATAATGGATTTTATATTTATATTTTTATATAATATCCAAAAAGACAAATCTATTGCTTCCAAGACAATCCTTATTTTATATTGTATTCTCAATTATTTATATATTTTAAATAGAGGATCTCTTACACTAACTATATAAAATTATGGCTAAGATATCTGTATGGTTAGCCCTACTAAGTTCTATGCTTTAAGGCATTATAGTGGTAAATAAGGGAACCACCTGCGGTTACACAACCATTACAGACAATGGAGCTTCCCCACTGAATCCTGTTTATCCACCACTGGGAAGGTAAGCCAGGGGTGGGGGGGTGAAGCGCAAAACAGACACACACTTACACACGCTCTCTCACGCACCACTCACTTTAACAAAGCACTAAAATGAGGGGAAGTTGGTTCCTATATTGTGTACCTTTTAACAGAAAAAAAGTCTCAAACTGTAAATTAGTGATTCAAAGTTGGTGTTCAGTGGCTACTGAATGCAGAATGAACTGAATTGGCCCCGCTTGTGCTAGTGTTATTCAGTTGATTCTGAATTCTGCTTTAGTATGCTTCAGAAATTCGAAAGGACACCGAATCTGTCAAAATTCAGACAGCCCTGAATTAAATAGTTTATTAAATACCAGGTTTCATTTGACATGTTTTTCTGGTTTTATAGAAAATAGCAGACTTTCTGATGCTGATTTGGATTTGTTTTTATTATCTCCCAGATTTCTTACTATAACCAGTTTACTCCAGGAGTGGTTTCGTATTTGACAACGAACATTGCTGGACTGTCATCTGATTTCTCCACCACCTACAAAGCCTGCGAACAGTTCCTTATTGAGAACACAAGGATCTCTTCAGTGGAAATTAAATCACCAACTCCCAAGGACCCTCTGTAAATGAACACCAAAATTATGTTTTGTAGGTAGGCTACAAAATGCTCCAACAAAACCATTTGTGTGTACATAAAACCAGCGTATCAAATGATCTCACTCAGGCACAGCTGCACCACGCAGTCACCTAGAGGGAACTGTGAAAGTCTTCCAGAACTCTAACAAACGTTGTAACCAAGATGATCATCGCATTACATCTCAGCATACTGTATCAAAGCAAGTAGCAGAACAGTAGGAATGCTGCTAACAAAGTTTAGTTGTGTTTGATGTGTAAAATGAAATACTCAGAATTGCAATATATATTTCTTTTTTTCTGTGATAGAATTTTTTTCCTTGATGACACTGTAGCTAAGGTGACTCAACCCCCTAAACTTTTCTCACATAAGGCTTTGTGTAAGACTATTGTACACTTGGTCCTTGTATTATTAAGACCAAGATTAGGAATCTGGAGTTCACGGACTGCAAGAACCATATGGCAAACTAAAGCTGATGGGAGTTGTAGTCTAGAAGCAGGGCTGCCAAAATCTTAAAGATTCACCGCAGAGCACGTATTAAAGCAATGTATTCTGAATGCATCAACAGGACAGATTATAACCTCTCTGTACGGAGGAAGACTTGCTCGCAATGGGCCATGTTCCTGCCATTAAAACCCTCACTATAGGACAGACCTTTTATTCTGGTAGTGAAACACTTTGCACAAAGAGCACTTTTGGTTCTCAAACAGAGAGCCCTTCACTACATAATTGTATAAGTCAGACATCCATTCATGTATTTTGCTGTATTGCTTTGGCGTTACCATATTGTAGCTAATCGGTGTTTGCATTGCGACTGTATATCTCTCTGGCTTCTATTAGGTTGGGTGTAGTATAAGTTGTTTCAGTTTTGTGCCACTAACTTTGCTATTTGTATACTTTTTGTATTTGATGATTCTTATTAAAATAAACTGTCAGGAAAAACTGGGTTGTTTTTAAAACTGAGCTTTCTGTAAAAATTAAGACTCTGAGAAGGCAATGAAGCAACACCTGCCGGTGACCTCACACAGGTGGTGCTGGCAACTGCACAGAGGGAGTTTCGGAGCTGGAAAAAATGAATTATATATATATATATATATATATATATATATATTTTATTTTTTTTGTTAGGGGGAGGGCCCTTTAACCTAAATAGTGCAGACACATGTTTGTATTCCTAAGACTACAGTGTTCCTTTAATTATTGCTATTGTGTCTATGGTACTACCTTGCTTTAAACATTCATTCAAAAAAGAAAAACCTACTACCTTGGAGACATGCAACCTATCCAGCCAGGTGCCCATTGGAACTTGTTAGTAGATTCAGTTTATGAACCGCAGAGTTGCTCTGACAGGACAGCTATAGCACAAACTCATTTGATAAGCCTTGATGGTCTATAGTGATCGATGGAGGCGGATATATTTTTGCAGTAGTAAAACTTTATTTATCATAAAGCTTTTTATGCAGATTATCCTCCTGACAAGTTCTGAGCCAGAACAAGCACTTTAACTTGCATAAATGGATTTACGATGTCACCAGTCTTTGACATATTGACGCCGAACATTTGTTGCATTACTTGGTAAAAGAGTGATAAAGATATCCATTAAACAAATTGTGAATTGACAGGAGCTTAAAGTGAATTTAGAATGTTAAGCATTTCCACTACATACCTGCCAAATGTCCCAACAGTCCTTGTTTTAAGTACAAATCCATTTGTTCCTCTTTTCTATCCTAATATCCCTCTTTTCTAAGAGTTACGTATTATTGGTGTGTCTGAGTGTGTAACAGAGCTCCACAGCAATAAAACTCACAGTAATTTTTCTGAGTGTATAACAGAGCTCCACAACAATAATACTCACATTAATGGGTCTTAAAAAAAAAAGATACATCCTTCTTGTTCTTATATTTTAGTGGCTTAAGTTAATAGTAAGTCAGCTAAAATGTCTCAAAAGCAGCCCTTACCCATGGCCACAGAACAACTTACACCCCTAAAAGGAAAGTGTCCCTCTTTGTTTCGATATTTTGGAAAGTACACCCTAGCATTATCTCCCTAACTTTATTACACGCAGTAACACCATGGAAAGTTTCTGTAAAGATTTTATTCAACATTTTTATCACTTTCATAATAATTCTTTTCTGATTTAGGTTAGGTTACATACACAGTTTATTGCTTAATTAAAAAAAATAATAATTGTGTATTAGTTATGTATCACAATGAAACTAATTGTCTCTGTCACTCAATAAAATAAACTTTAACTCTTGGCCAGGTTCCCATCAAGTCAAGTGAATTTTGTTGTCTACTTTCTAGAAAGCGCCTACTTTCCTGAAGCCCTTACTATTGTTCTTACCAATGATACATTTGTGCCATTACGATCTTCAGTTCAGTAAATGGGAGACCATGTGTCAGTCTGACCAACAGAGAATTTCAAGATAGCAGTTTTTACAGCACTTCTACAATCAAAGCACATTCTACAAAATATCTATACTTACAAATTACAGTGTTCAATCTGAGATGAATTAATTTTATGAGGTATAGACTGAGTATAGAAATGAAATGCGGTCATCATGTGTCAATTTGTAGTACACTTTGTTTTCGGTGTGCGATCGAATTGTCATTAGTCCCTTATATCCGTCCATGAATTTTTCTGGTGGTCCGTCATGTTGCACAGTAAGTGAGTAAATTGACGAAGTGTTCTTGAGTTTTATAGCACCGTCCCAGGCTACCCCTAGTGCTACGGCCTGTAACTGAAAGGAAACCTCTTGCCAGAGACCCTTACAGAGTTTCAGCATGTCCTGTGCTATCTGATCGGTGTAGCCCTGACCCAGCACTTCTGCCGGCCATCCTGGTGCAATGGTAACAAACGGGAAGATGTTGTTGATGCTGTTGATAAAGTCTTTGCCATCTATGTATCCTGGAACACTGAAAGAGCCATATGATACGTCCATGTTTATCCACACTGGGAAATACAGCGCTCGCTGCTTAGATTGATCCCTCAGAATACGAAGTGTCTCATTGAGGGAAGCATGATCACTTATTCTCAAGAAGACCCCCCAAGGACTGAAGTGGTCCGATACTAACTTCAGAACAGTTTCCAATGATTGCACAGTGTCTGACCCAGACAGAACAACTGCAGCAATGACACTGGAATTAATATCTCGCATCTCAACTTGGAAAGTAATCATTCCAGAATTACCTACAACAGAACAAATATGTAATGACGAGGTTAAACAAGGCAACCACAAACATGGGCAATGTGCAGGTTGGGTTACAGTCACGTATAACTAGTGTTTGTTACATCAAACTTTTTTTAAGTAATCGTTTTGTTCAGTTGCCCTGTACCCTTATGCTCCAAAATACTCCAGTACATACTGTTGTAACTTAGGTTTATGGGAGATGTAGTTATGTAATCAGCTAGGTAAACAACATCTCCCAGAATCTTGTACTGTGGTTATAAAAGGGCGAATATCTGCAGTTCTATAGAAAGGCTTTGTCACTCCCTAATTCTGTGAGTGCTCACTACGCAATCTGCAAGGAAAGGTTATTCACAGCAAGTTTAAGAAAAAAAAAAATGTGGTTTTGTCTTTATTTTTGCATATATATTTAGTGCATTATCTATACAATGCATAAATGATAAGAGCGGTTAGTCCCCAGCCTGAAGTTACTTTCTAACGAACAAGAAGCACTCCCCTGAACATCAATCATAATGATCAAGATATAAGAAATGTACACCGCCTTCAGGTAGATGGATTGAAGAAACGCTATAGTGTCAGAATTACACTATAGTTTTAAAAACACCATCTCCGAATAGGCAGTGTTTACAGCAAAAGTCCAGCATGGACATACTATACTCACCAGAACAACCATATTAAGCTGTAGTTGTTCTGGTGACTATAGTGTTCCTTTAAAAATATATATATATATTTTTTTTTTTCTTCCACCTGTCAGCAATTCTTTGACAGACTATATGCCAAAGAATTGAGAGAGAGCAACAGTCTCCCCTCTATCCCATGCGAAGATATTACAAGTCTTGGAAATGTTTTTTTTTTTTGCATTATACGCTGGTGGATTTATGTTGTGTCTGCGTTATTCCTATTAAACTGGCCTAGCAAGGAATACTTCCTTTGTTTCTTAACACATGATCTACCCAACTGCGTAGTACATATTTATATTTTCTATTTGAGGGATTTCATGAATTGAAACACCAGCACTGGGGATTTGACTAAGTGTGAGAATCTTTAGAAAGTTTCATCTTCCTGATACTTTAAGACTGGGGCAGCCACAATCTTTGGTTGCATCGATCATAATGGATGCAACCTATAAAATCAGAGTTCACCCTTCTGAAGTCGTTTTTTTTTTTCATTCAGGTCTTTGTGTGTTTTGTAAATACCAGTGACATGCCTGCTTTGTGTGCTGTAAGTGGCGTGTGAAACTGAAGTGAGTTATACTTACTTGATTCTCCCTGCTGTATCCTCTGCTCAAAATTACAATAGTGACAGCTATGTAAGAGCCTGCAAAACAGGTGAATTATCCGTAAACAGACTCTCTCACTATGCTCAAGGAAACTTTTCCCACAGCCGTCGCTTGCAATGGCTATGGGAACTGACAAACGGTGATAGTAGAAACTCTGCCTTTTGTTAAAGGGACAATATAGTCACCCAGACCACTTCAGCTCAATGAAGTGGTCTGGGTGCCAGGTCCCTCAGGTTTTAACCCTGCAGATGCAAACATAGCAGTTTCAGAGAAACTTCTATGTGTACATTCCAGGGTTAAGCCAGCCTCTAGTGGCTGTCTTCCGGAGAGCCACTAGAGGCGCATCTGCGATGCTAGAGGTATATTATGCCTCCATCGCGCAGAGCATCCATAGGAAAGCATTGAGAAATGCTTTCCTATTGACAGCTTGAATGCGCGTGCGGCACTTGCCGCGCATGCGCATTCGGCTCCGCTGACGTCGGCGGGGCAGGAGAGGTCACCAGCGCTGAGGGAACCCGGCACTGGAATAAGGTAAGCTGCTGAAGGGGGACCGCTTTGTTTTCCTGACGCTATAGTGATCCTTTAACTTTGACCATAAGAAAAAGGTTTTATTTGTCTTAAATATTTTGTGTGCTTTATAATTTTAATGAAACAGTCAACGGGTAGCTCATAATGATTTTAACTTTCTAAAGTACCATGGGACATGTAAAACAGAGCTGCTTTAATGATTATAACATTTCTAAAATCACTTATCTCCTGTAGTAATAACAGACCTTTAATCAGCAGATACACTCATTCATTGCATAAGCCTACTACCACTTACAATTTCTGTATTATGTATCATTTAGCTCTAACACAACCTTTGTGATACTGGCAGTTTGAGATGATTTGTGCTTATTTTATACTGAATGTTTGGCCAAAATGTATTCGGTTATACTAGCATCTGTCCTGGTCAGGTTTGGCCTTCTAAATTGTTATTTTATTAAGCAGATTAATGCAACTTCTCTGTAAGGAGTGAAGCAGGGAAGCATGGAAACCAAATGTTGGGTTTCAAACACTGTCTGACCCAAGGTGCATGTATACGGCTGAAGGATCCTGCCACATACTAAAGGTAGAGATAAATTTTTAAAATTTTTCTACATATATACTTTTTTTTTTTTTTTTAATCTATGCCCTTTTGGAACTTTTGAAGTGACAGTTCTTTAATCCATAGGGGTTACTTCATCACTGAATTAAAGGGCTACTCCAACCACCTTGACCACTTCTGATTTTTTGAAGTGATCGTGGTGGTAGGAGCCTGGGTTTGCAGTGTTTCTGCTTGAAACAAGGCACATCCAGACATATTTTTAATTGTGTACTGGGGGCTAGTTGCAACCCCAGCACACAGAACGTTGTGCTGGGCTGCCTAATGTCAATTCAGTGCATAAATTATGTCTGTCGTCAGCTCGCACTGCATGCTGGCGATAGACGTAACCGCTTCTCAGCTCTTCCCTTACCTCCCTCCCACACAGAGAGACCCAATTGCAATAATTTATCATATGTGAAAAAGGTTGGAGAAACACATTAAGGGCTTTTGAAACACAATTAGCATTTTCAAATATAGTACTTTGTAAAAGGAATCAGTCCTTTCTCCGTTTCTCACATATAAAAACGAAATAAAATTTTGTTCTATATCATATATCAGTTTAGGACGCAAACTCAACTTACCATTCAAAATGCTCTCTACATATGTGATGTTACCTTCTGCGTCGAACCATTCTACCCATAGTCCATCATCATCATCTGGGTGGAAATATAGCTCCAAATTGCCCCCAGAGTAAAACAGTCTCTTTCTGTGTGGATTTACTGTGTAAAAATGAGAGTGGTTTACAATATGTACATATACACACATTTATGAACTTTTTTTTGTGTGGTTTTTTTTTATTATTTTTTTTACTAAACTGTAGATCAAAACATATTCCAGCTCATTAAACAGTAGGCAGTGCTACATTGAATCCTAAAAGTAGAGGTTGATGTAGAACCAAGGGTTAATAGTTGTCCTGGTTTGACCCGGCGGCCCGTCTGGTCTATAATTCTGTCCTGACATCAAAGGCCATCAGGTGTCCTTTACACTTAGAGACACTCAATGGGCATTTCTGATTAGGAGTCCAGCCGGGTCCCTGTGAGATGGTGCTGACTCCAGCAGCCCCAGACTATCATCATCGTCAACCTGCAGGGCATACTGGACCCAAGGGTAGCCACCCTCCTGCAACCAAAAGGCATGGAAACAGGAGCGTGGCTAAAAGTATACACATTATGACTTGTGTTTGTATCAGTCTGTGTGTCAGTATGTTTGTGCATCTGTGTCATGATATATGTTTATGTGTCAGTATGTGTGTGTCTGTATCAGTAGGTGTGTGTGTTTCACCGTGTATGTTCATCTGTATCAGTAAGTGTGTGTGTCAGTATGTGTGCATATGTATGTTTGTCTGTATGTATCTGTATTCAGTGGCATACCTACCACAGTTGCAGGGGTCGCAGCTGTGATCAGCCTGTCACTCTGGGGGGCTCGGCCGCAGATATGACCCCTGAGTCATACAGTCAGGGCTGGTGCACAGCCACACCGGCCAGAGCCCGCAGTTGCCAGGTTACCAGCAGAAGGGGAGCACAGTGCTGCTCCCCTCCTGCATGTTCAACCAAAAAACAAACAAGAGTCCTGTGCATCCAGTATAGGTGTTCACACCCAGGGCTGTGTGTGCACACCTATACTGGATGCGCAGGACTCGTGTTTGTTTTTTGGTTGTATATACACTGTTGGGACTTCAGTGTTGAGTATCTGCAGCACAGGTCTAATTTTTCTTTATTTATACTTTGAATTTTGTAGGCATTTTTTGCCTCTACCTCACCCTATATATGGCGCCTGTGTGTTCTGTGGCTCAGCGGTCTGAGAGGAAATGCCCACCGTGCCCAAACTAAGTGGTGGTAAAATCCCTACTTGCCCCCACCACTATGAAATGTCATCGCCAGTATCTCCATGGCTACAGGAACACAGATTGGAGCGTCTCAAGGGCTAATTTACTGAACTGTACCAACTTAAAATCTGAATTTAAGGTTTAAGGATAAAATAGCAAATTTGTAAACATTCTGCTACTCCGTTATAGGCTAAGCTTTACTAAGCTATAGGCACTAGGCTGCCAAATTTAAGTTTAAAAATGGTCAAGCTATTTTTTTGTATAACTGCAATTGTACTATTTCATTTTCAATCCAATAAGATCCCAATAACAATTAATCTCATTTAGCATAGAATTGAAAGTAGATGTGATGGGAATGCTATGGATAAATATCAATAGCTAATCAAGCTGGCTGGCCTTTGTCCATATCGTGGATCTTTGACTCATATCTCAGACTCTGGACCGACACTTACATGCAATTTGTTTGAAGTCAGATAACAGAGGTTCATAAATATCATAATAGATTTGCTCAGGGTGACTGTTATCTCGGATAAACAATAGGTCTTCCAGGGTCAGAGGGTCTGAACTCCCTTGCCATAAAGTGAGAGTATACCTGCAAGGATGAGACATACAGGGCATTATATAGGTTACACCATGTATTAACTCTTATATTGAATACCATAAAATGAGGGTAGACCTGCAAAGGATGATACATACAGGGCATTATATGTACACTGTATAAATGCTTATTTTGAAATACCAGGACCTTTATCTCTACAGCTCTGCAAATCGGGCAATTTATTCACAACAAAAAAATTATTTATGATGTGTAAATGCCAAATTGCAAAATTAAAAGCCATATTAGTCAAATTTCAACAAAACTCAGAGTGGGATAGTTTTCTTAACTTAATGGAACACTCACATAGATTAGAGCCTCTAAGCCAGCTCTAAATGTCTGTGTCTTTGGGCCACTCATCTCTTCTCTCAGGAGCTGCTGGATCAATTTTCACGATAAATAAATTCTCAATAGAAAGAAATTGCCGTACTATAATACTCTAATAATAGAAATGGCGAGGGGCAGTTGGAACAGGACACAACAGTTCCTATATATGAGAGAAGATGTGTGGCTCCTGGTGTAATCCCAAATACACAGACAGAGCCACCTTATAGGCACTACCTTATGTGAGCATTCCATTGTTAGAGCACACACTGAGATTTTTTCAGAATCTAATGAGTTGCATTCTTTAGGTATAATAATATGCAAATCTAACTGAATATGCAAATTAGCAAGCCTTGCTATTCAGGTAGTGCATGTTGCTGTTGCTACCAACAGGTGGCGCTGAAAAGGCTCCACAGCCAAATCCACCTACTTGGTAGCAAGCATCAGCAGGCCAGGAGAGCACACAAAACATATAACAATAATACACGCATACACTATTCACACCCTGCACCCAGGGCTGTATTTACTGTGAGGCTAACAAGGCATTTGCCTTGGGCGATACTTTCAAAGGAGTGGCAAAAACTCCGCCCTCAAATGCCCAGGCAAATGCCTTTTTGGCCTTGTTTTCTGGGCGAGGGAGTGCTAATCTGTGACCTCTTCTTACTCGGCTCCATAGCGAGCAAGCCTAGCAGCTCCACTGGACCCTAGGTAAATAATCCACCCAGCTTTCCGAAAAGTAGGGAGGCTGGGTGGATTTAAATAAAATAAAAAAAATAACAATTATTTGTGACTTTTGGGGGTAAATGTGTGTGTGTGTGTGTGTGTGTGTGTATATCTGTCAGTGAGTTTGTGTGTGTGCGTCTGTCAGTGAGTGTGTGTATATGTCCGTCAGTGAGTTTGTGTCTGTCAGTGAATGTGTTGTATATCTGTCAGTGTGTCAGTGAGTCTGTGTATGTGTCTGTCAGTTTGTCTGTGAGTGTGTGTGTGTGTCTGGGAATGTAGGTGGATATGTGTGTATGTCTGTCAGTATGTGTCCACGAGTGAGTGTGCGTGTGTCTGTTTGTGAGGGTGTGTGTCTGTTGGTTTGTGTCTGAGTGATTGTGTGTGTCTGCATATGTCAGTTTATCTCAGAGTGTGTATTTGTCCGTGAGTGGGTGTGTCAATGTGTGTCTGTCACAAAATGTGTTAGTCTAACAGGAAGAGGTGTGGCCTTGGCAGGAAGGGGTGAGGCAAATTAAAATTAGGGAGTGCCAGAGTTCCGTCATGCCTCCGACAGCACAAATCCAAAATACACAAATCCAAACTGCCTGAACCTATAATGGGCAAAGGTGACTTAGGAGAAGTCCAGGGTCCTACATAAAGTGTTCGTCTGAAACTCCTGGTGATGGTGAATACCGTCACAGTTGCCTGTAATAAGCAATTTTTACTTTTAGCATCTTAAGAATCTGCTGATACACAAATTTAGTATTTAATGGAAGTTTGTATTGCTGTGCAAGTCAGAAGCGCCCATACTTCGTAAAATTATATTTCACAACTGTAAATGTACAAAAAATTTATTTTTACAAGAGTCACAATTTTTAAATTGTTCACAATGTTTTGGGTTTTTTCATTTCTCTTGGGTTCTGTGACCAAACTGAATTATTTGAACACAGTGTTATTCATCATCACTAAATCACCAATATGATAACTAGCAAATAAAGTTGAATTTACCAAGAAATTTGCAAACTTGCATAAAGTCGAGAGTGATACATAGTCTGGTATTTCATAGATTCGCTTAAATTAGACCAATGTAGGGTTGAAACATTCAGGTGCCAGTTATATAATTTGTTTTCATAGATGCATGTCACACCAGTTGGACAGATAGGAGTAAGACCTTAAGTGTGGATGCCAAATTAATTGATAGGTAAGAAACCTACTAGGATGGATTGAAGAACAATGAACAGGCTGGCACAAGGGATGACATTTAGACATAGTATGTATCGATTAAAACAGGACACCTATCACATGGGCAAAGGACTTCATAGGACTAACAAAACATCTAACCAAAGAATCTACTTAGATGGACATGACATCACACAGATGAACATAGGTGGTCCAAATATCACATGTTTATCATCTAATCTAACTGATGGGCATGGTACGTATTTATATATATATATAAATTAGTTACAACGCAATGAATATATGGACCTGGGACTTGCTAATGAAGACTTGGCATATCCAAATGCCAAAGTTATTCAATGAAAAGAGTGCTTGCATTACCTCTCAGATTGCTGTAGGAGCCAGTGGAAGTGTTGCCACGCTGAGCGAGTCAAAACAGCTCGAGCTGGGAAAGTCACCCGTTGGGGCAACGATTTCACTAAATTGTACATCTCCTGGATCATCTCCCATGAGTAGGTCCGGTTTGATAGGATAGGTGGTAGATAGAGAGTCACCCAACCAGGGGAAATGGTCACGTCAGGAAACTTTGTTTGAATTAACCCTAAAAACCTGCATTTGGGAAATATGGCTGGTTATTAGTACAGAGGTGTCTTAAAGGGAGAGAAAAGATATGTCAACTATTGCATTAAATATGGGAAGAAAACTGAGCCAGGAAATTCTGTAAATGTATTGCGTCTGTTGGTGAGTCTGTGTGTGTGCGCGTTTTTAAAACCCCTTCAGCACTTTCCTTTCTCCAGCGCCGGACATCCTTGGCGCTGGGGATCCCTCTGCCTGATCCGCCTCTCAGCTCCGAATGCGCATGCTCAATGCTTTCCAATGGACGTCCAGCGTCTTCTCACTGTGATTTTCCCGGAAGCGCCTCTAGCGCATGTCAGCGAGATTAACCCTCAGTGAAACATAGCAGTTGAAGTGATCTGGGTGTCTATAGTGGTCCTTTAAGTGTATGTGTACCTGTGACCCCTGCGATCAGGTGCCCGCCGCCATGTGTTGTGGCCCCAGCCCGTGCAGAGTAAGCGTGGGGGGGAGCCCACAGATCAGTGTGTACGCCACTGTTTGTGGGCCCAGGACATACTTGAAAACGAGAGAAATCTAAATGTATCCTTCCTGATAAAATATTTTATAAATAAATAAATAAAATTCACTAGCCCAGCTAATCTTACCAATCCCATTTTTAACTAACCTCAGCATAGACATGATTCAATAGGTCACTGAGCACTATTAGAATGCAGCCAGGATGATAACTGATTCAGTAACAGAGAAGAAAGGCCATTGTAGAGTTTGGCTCCCATGAAGCTCAGCCAGCCATTCAGCTAACTGACCATCATGGAAGCCCTAACAATCAATTCTATGTTACAGTATTTGCAGTGTGAACTCCGATACATTTTGCTATAAAGATTAAAAATATGTAATAAAAAATACTAACTGGCTTGCGTTCACTGCGATATTATGATTGACATTGGGCCCAATCACGATGTCTGCATTTAGCCAAATGGGCTGTCTAATTTGTCCCTTTGATGCTTTTGCATTTAATATGTTGAGTGAGGGGCTAACCGCTTCAATGCTTTTGAAATCCAGTTTGATACCTGTACGGGGTAAAAGGAGAATGATCATGTGTTATTTTTGATAGGTGATCATGTCTAATAACTATTCTAAAATCTTCAGGTTACATCCACTGCGGCAAAAAGAGTTCACATTGCATATTGCACACTGTTTATAAATACAAAAATATTATAATATTTGGAATATGGATAAAACGATGGGGCATTCACACACAGGGTTCTTCACTAACGTCTGAATTGTAGGGAATCAAAATCTGACTTACAAAACTAAAATAGCCATACTGTGACTATAGGTAGAATCCATTATTTTGGTTTAATTTTCTAATTCCTGACAATTTATACTTTAGTGAATAACCCTAAATGCATAGATTTAATATTTCCAGACTACATATTTTTTTCTCGATATCACTACAATATGGAGTTCAGTAAACATTTATGACATTGAGAACCGCCAGGAATACAAAGTAGTGATTTTAAAGTGAATTTAAATTTTTAGCCTAAATTGGCAGAAATTGAAAAATTCTTCAAGTCAGCTATGTTTCCAGTTTTGCTTTTTCGTCTTAAAATTTAAAAAGTCCCTTTGAATTTCCAGTAATTCACACTTCAGTAACTGAGAAGACAAGATATTGGTATATTCTCAGATTAAATTTAAAGGGTTAATTCCAACTAAAAAACAGTGCTTTAAGAAAACATGTTTTTGGTTAGAGTAACTCTTACTTATCCTGGTCCCCATTCCATAAAAGCGGAAGTAAAATAAAAGTAGCTAAAACTCACCTTCAGCGCCCAGGCCAAGTTATCCCTCAGTCCATTTCTCAACTGCGGAGATCATACCGTCTCGTCATACCGTCTCGCTTGAGGGGGATAGACATGAGTGAGGGTTGGTTGAGGGGATAACATTGGCAGCACAGGAGGGGCCCTGATGCCATCGGTTGTCTGTTGCCAGCATGCAGACGCTAAACATTAGTCACCTGGAACTCACCTTTAAATAATGCTGGCACCGGCAGAAGGGCTAAACTCTGTACGCACAACATTTCATAGTGAAACGCTGCACGTACAGACTCCAAGCACCATGACCACTTCCAATCACTGAAGTGATCATGGTGCTTGGAGTGCCCCTTTAACCCCTTAAGGACACATGACTGAAATATTCTGTCATGATTCTCTTTTATTTCAGAAGTTGTGTCCTTAAGGGGTTAATGTGATGAGATGCTCGGAAGTGTCAGATCCACTTTTTTGCAGGACGTGGTACCTTTTGAGGAGACCACAACAGTGTCCAGCCATTCCTGGAGTGTGTTGTCACTGTATACTGCCGGAGGATGGGCCATGATGGGAATATTTGTCTGATTTTTCGTTCCATATCCTTCCACGTTGACATCAGCTTCTAGAACCATGATATCACCTGTCGGAGAACAGAAAAACAACATGATGTGAGCCCACACAGAAAACATATAGGTCAAATTTATTCTGGTTTGACTGTGTTTTTTTTTTTTTATTGGAAGCCCATAAAAGCCTCCAGCATTGACCGACTGCTTTTTCCCTGATTCACTGACTGTCATTACCAACTAGAAAGCCACATTTAATTTGCTGTATATCAAATTATAAACATATATATGATTTAAAGGAAAACTATAGGCACTGTAACAACTTTATTTTATTAAAGTTGTTATAGCTCCTTAAGTTCTAGCCCAGTCCCGTCATATCCCCAAATGTCATATTTTTATAATTTGGCTTCAAGCCACGCGCCAATCCCTTCGTGTATGAGATCCGGGATGTCTCATGCACGAAGGGATTGGAGCGTGGCTCTCATACCTAGGCATACCAGTACCATTTGGGTCAATCGTAGAGCATCATTGCATTCAATGATTCATAGAATCATAGGCGGATCGCTATGAGTGCAGCGCCTGTGCCTACGGCCCCCAATGCTCTTCTATTAGTAGCATTGGATTGGACCGTCATCCAAGAGGCACGCCTCCAGGGTGACATTTCGCAAGAAAGAGCCCACCACAGTACAGCGTGAGCTTCAGCAAGAAAAGGTAAGTAAAATGATTTGTTTCAATTTTTTAAGCGCTTACTCAGAGGAGCTAAGGACATTAAGACTACAGTGTTAGGAATATCAACATGTATTAATAATGCTGTGGTGTTTCTGTAACATATCATGTAACCAATTCTACAAACCATTGAGTCTATTTACAGGTACACTCCAGGCTGTGTAGACCATTGATTTCATAGTGCCATGCTCTTGTAGTGTGGCACTGCAGGGGTCAAGTTTATTTTCCTGACTTGCTGTGGTTGTGCCAGGACCGCTAGACAGTCAATGTCAATTAAAAAATAAAAACCAACAAGAATTAAAAATAAAAATATAGCATAACCCTTAGTTAAATTTAGTTATTTATTAGGTTGTTGAGAATTGTCAGGAATTAAAAATAAATACAAAGTTAATGTCATATTTAAGGAACCCTATAGCACTAGGCATACACTTACCTGTACTTCCTTGCCGTGGCCTGGCCGCTCCACCTCTCCCAGGCTGAGATCATCAAGACTGATGATCTCAGCCAATCCAATACTTCCCCATAGGAAAACATTAGGAGTCTAGTACGGCAAATCTCTGAGCTCAAATGGAGCAACACTTGGAAATAGCCAGTAGAAGTGCTTTAACACAGTAATGGAAACATTGCAGTTTGTACAAAATAACAATGTTTTACTTTACAGGGTTAAAACTAAAAGGACCACTGCACGCAGGCCACTTCATTTAGGTTATGTGGTGTGGAAAACTTTCAGGCCAAATGGAATTGGGAAAACAAAAACAAATTAAAAGTCATTTGTTCTTTTAGTTTGTCTATTCTTACTTTATTGAAAACCACCGTAAGTCTGATGTACTAGGAAATGATAAACTAGGCAAATGTCAAGGGTAACAGAGTTCAGGAAGATCACAAATTCTAAATAGGACAAACACTTTTTTGAGTAGCATTGATCATGATGGTATTGGCAGCAGAGTATGGATTCTAGACTGCAAGCCGAGTATTCCGGAAGCATGGTATACACCGAGCCCACAAGGGAGCAATGGATCAGTGATGTAGACTGATATCACTTCATGGGCCATTCTGTTTCATTCTACACACAGTCCCAGACCTCAGTGCATGGGCGTCCGCGGGAATTTTTCCAGGGGGGGGGCATAATTGTAATGACATCCATGCTTGGTACCTTTTTGACAGTGTCATGAAAGGGAAGGGGCATAGCCATTATCACATAAAGCCAGGGTGAATAGCGTTTTCACAACTATGGTGTCAGGAATATATGTTTGTATTCCTGACACTATAGTGTTCCTTTAAGCAAATTAAAGGACATTTCTGGTCACCATAACAACTTCACCTAAATGAAAATGCTATGATGCCAGGAAGCCCCTGGGTGCTCGCTTTCCTTTAAGGGGTTAAATCGCTCTCAAATGGTTTAACCCCAAAGGCTTCCTCCAGCTCCAGGTCGCTCAGTGGTATTTGGCTTCTGAAACAGAGTGTCAGGAAGTGCAGATTGACGTCAGGCATGGGTGCCGCTGATTGGCTAGAGTGGTCAGTTGACGCTCTAAGCCAATCGCTAGTTCCCGGTTCATAAAATGTTTTTACTTTTTTATGAATGGGGAGCTACTGATTGGCTTAGAGTGCCAGCTGACCGCTCTAGCCAATCAGCAACACCCCTACCCAACGGCACTCTGTGCTTCCTGACACTCAGTAAATAAAAGTGAACACATTAACACCAATATTTTTTTACCTTTGGAGATGAGAAGGTCCAGCGTTTCCCTGCCAGGCCCAGGTACCAAAGCCTTATGATGTGGTGTCCAGAATAAAGTGGAGGGTTCACTTCATTTGTCCTTCCTGCTCCAATCTCCTTTTCCTCTCCTTCATTTGACAGTCTTTTTTTTTCTTCTAACACTGTTTTCTATCCTTGGCCCCTTCTGCTCTTTTACCTTTCTGCTACTTTCTGCTTATTTTGCGCCCTTCTGCTCCTTTCTCATTCTGATCCCTTTCTGCTCCTTGCAGACCCTTTCTGCTTCCTTTTCTACTTTACCTTTGTGCTCCTTGCTGTCCCTTTCTGCTCTTTCTCCTACTTTACCTTTGTGCTCCTTCTGATTCTTTCTGCTCCTTTACCTTTGTGCTCCTTGCTGTCCCTTTGTGCTCCTTCCTGCTCCTTGCAGGCCCTTCCTGCTCATTCTCCTACTTTATGTTTGTGCTCCTTCTGCCCCTTCCAGCTCATTTCTGACCCTTTCTGCTCCTTCTACTTTACCTTTGTGCTGCTTTACCTTCCAGCTCCTTGCTGACCCTTCCTGTTCATTTCTATATATCTATAGGCTGCTGCCCCAAAATCTATGGGCTGCTGCCCCTCCCAAATCTATGGGCTGCTACCCCCAAAATCTATGGGCTGCCCCCAAATCTATCTGCTGCTGCCCTCCCCAAAATCTATAGGCTGCTGCCCCCCTCTCAAACCCTCCCCCCCATCCCCCACTCCCCTGATCTGTAGGCTGTCTATCTGGCTGCATGTGTTGCTCCCCTGCGGTTTCAATCAGCAGAGAGAAGCAGGGAAAGGATGCAGCTTCCTATCCCTGTCTCTCCATACACAGCGCCACCTACTGGCCGGCGCCGGTATTGCAGTTCATTCTAAATCACACGAAAAATAGCAGAACAAGCTGAAAAATCCAGGGGCAAGTGCCCCTCCTTGCCCCCCCCTGCGGACGCCCATGCCTCAGTGGTATTTGTTAATGAACTGTCAGACAAAACCGAACTAATTTAATTTTTTCTAAATTATATTAATACCCCTTTTAACTTGGGGATAATACAAACACATTCTCAAACCTCCCAGGAAGTGTATTTTGGTTTTGTGCTGTCTTAGGCATGACTAAACGTGGGCACCACTCGAATCTATATTCTGTCATGGTCAACCTTTTCATGTTTAAGCCCAACACGCACTTTGACTGACACATGCCCTCACTGATACATACACTGACATACACTCACTGACTGGAAGACAGTCATTGGCACGCACAGTGTTTAACCAACACACACTTTCACTGACAGACACACACATTTTCTCATACACTCACAAATTATTTATTTATTTTTTTGAATTAATTTTAAATCCACTCAGTCTCCCTCCTTATGGGAGAGCTGGAGTGGATTATTTCCCTGGGGTCCAGCATGGGGTTGCTCTGATCTTCTTGCTCTTCTCACTTATGTGCCGTTCAATGACATGGGCCGTTTTGGGGCTCCATTTTTTGTCACCCCCCTGGAATGTGCCAAGGCAAATGCCTGGTTAGCCTCACGGTAAATACAGTGCTGCTCCCGAGTGTCCCTGTCCCTCTGTCTGTCTTTTCTGTCCTAATGTCTCTCTTTTCTATGCACTTCCTATTTTTGTTGTATTTGCACGCATAACAGAACAGCAACGATACAGTCATTTATAGTTAAACTACAATTAATATGTTTAGAAATCAGTCTGTGTAAACACGATATTTTGTTCTAAGTTACATTTTAGTTGTATAAAATTTCTCAAAATAGCCCCAACCCCGGCCACCCCCCTAAATTTAAAGTGCCCCTCTTTGTCCATTTAAAATGTTGGGAGGCATGCATTCTTTTCAGAGTATAGGCCTAAAAGCCTAATGAAGGATGATAGCATGTAATGGCCTCCCCTTCACCTTGTGAACACATTCTTCCATTGAAAGCTCCACTTGACCCTTATTGTGTAATACTATTCCCAGTATTATACAAGGAGAGAATGCAGTTTTGTGAACAATAGGATCACGCCCGTACATATATTGATGTCACGCAACATAATGAGTTTCGGGGATTATATAGCTTCCAGCTCAGAGGCTCAGTAACTAAACAGTGAAATGCGGAATATTCATAAGGTGATTTACAAAATTCACGTTAAATTATTTCAGATTAAACAATAATCTGGCACATCTAGATTAGATATTATAATTCCCCACATTTTTAATTCTGCATTGGTTTAGTAAATAAAACCTTGAATCTGAAACCAGAGGGTTGTATTCAAGAGTATATACCTGTATTTCTTGCAAACTTGTGTGATGTGTGTTGGTCATTGTGTACTAGGGTTGGCACATTTTTCGGAAAAATATAACGGCCATGCTAATTTACTATAGATATAGATATAGATCGAGAGAGAGAGCGAGAGCTAATTTGATAGAGAGAGAGAGAGACACACACACACAGCTAATCTGCTATATAGCCAACAGGATAAAGACAGTAGGGGGCGGCAGAGCAAAGATATCCAAAGAGGCTCCCATGGTGAAGAATCTTGATGGTACAATGAGCAACAATTCAAGTGCATAGGGTTAGAGGCAGCAAGAAGGTCAATGTGGGTAAATGGCCAATTACAGTAATACAGGAACAGGTTATATGGAGCTTCGTTATGCAGATTAATTGGCTTCAGGATCATCACAAATGTAAAGCAAGGCAATTAAGCTATATTTACTTTTCAATGCTTCCTCCATCTGGCTCTTATTGTTGGCTCCGTGACTCCAGCTCACTAGTAGCCCGTCCTTGGAATCGATCACACCCTGCAGCTTCAGATAATCCAGCATGTCTTCTCCAGTGATGAATGTCCGTCTTTGGTCTGTAAAAGTCAATGATGGGTATACAGGCGTCTTAATTACCATATCCTGCCATGTAACCATTAAGTGGGTGTAGAGATGCCTACCACAATCAGAGGCAGAAGGCATCAACATTTGGAAACCCTACAACATGGGGTTTTTCAGGCACTAACCACTACATCCTTCAAGAACCTGGCCCAATGGTAGACATCTGAACTAATGAAGAATAATACTACTTCTATACACTGCACTAGGTCCAGCAAGTGATAAAGATTTATAGAAAACTATAGAATACTTTTCCATGCATGATGGACTCATCCCATCATGATACTCCTATGGGAGAAACATTTTACTGCAAGAAGCCATACCTCTTGGTCCTTCAGTGACTCTGTAAAGTTTTAATTAAAGGACCACTAAAGTTCTCTGAAACTGCTATGTTTATAGAAAAAAGGTTTAACCCTAGCTGGACCTGGCACCCAGACCACTTCATTAAGCTGAAGTGGTCTGGGTGCCTATAGTGGTCCTTTAAAAAAGCATCAAAACATTTTGCAAAAAAAGTAACATAGGAAAATAAACGCATAAACTGACTTAATATTATAAAGCTACTATACTTTGACAGCAAGTGTCAGCAGCCAGAAGATTTCTCCCTGACCAGGAGGGGGCTCCACCAATCAGGAGCCTCTAATCCTAAACATATGAGGTTTATGGGATATGTTTTATGTAGTGGATCCCCTAGCATAGTATGAGTGGAACTGCTCTGTAAATAGATAGCAGGTAGACTGTGGCTGCTATCATTTTATATACAGCCCAGTTCATAGATTTTTTTTTTTTAAATGTTTAAGTTCGCAGAATTCTATGTGAAATTGCTGTACTACACTTCTCAATTGTCACATGACTTGGTTGACTGCAGCAGTAAAGTCAATTAAAGGAGTCTATTCTTTCTTTGTGTTTATAAACTATGTGACTGCTCAGTTCAGTTGGATCAAAGTACGTCCGTTTCAGCTGAGCTCATTTCAATGATCAAATCTGGTTTTAAGCTGGAGTCAGTAGGAACTTGGATGTAAAGTCCAAAGTGAACTCTGCAGGCTGATCTTTGTTAAAAAAAAAAAAAAAATTTATAACTAAAAACAGGTCACAATATACAAATTAGTTTTTTTATAGCTCAGCAATTTTGCCTTATTATCTGTAATTGCTTTGTGAGTTTTCCATAATTAATGTTTTTGTAACCGATTTCTAATTTTGTTTTTATAAACACACCTTAAAACAAATACAAACACAGACATCAGACATGTTCTGACACAGTGGCCGTACTCTAAACATAAATAATGCATAGATATAATCTTTATGAAATAATAACTAATAACTGTCTTGTAATGTCCAACGCAATACAAAGATGCCAGAGGTTGTGAAAAGATGCCAACAGTTTGCAAATCTCTTGTTAATATTCCATAATTCCTTGTTAAATGAATAAACCTCAGAGTAATACAACATAGCGTCAATCCATCAGTACTCCTTGCACGAACACAGTCTTCATGTATAGTTTGTGCCAACATATGTTTCAGCACGTTACACTTATACATAGGTACAGAAATACAGTTATAGAGGATAACAAATGAAATAAAATACATCTTAATGTAATGCCTTTCTATACAGATCAATATCTGACTGGGGCTGCTAGACCAGGGGTAAGCAACATTTGGCACTCCAGATGTTGTGGACTACATCCCCCCGATGCTTTGCCATCATTATGGCTGTAAGAGCATTAAAGAAGGGGTTAGTTCACAACATCTGGAGTGCCGAAGGTTGCCTACCCTTGTGCCTGATAGAAACCATATAATCTTAATACAACAACAAGGATTTGAACAGAAAAGTAAAACAAGAAACAGCTTCAGAAAGATTGGGGAAATTGGCACCAAGTTTCAGTTTCACTCGGTGGAGCCAAATCCTTACCTTTAGGGGGTCGGCCCAATGTCAGACACAACACGATTATTGTAACACAAATTGCTAGGAAGACACAGACTCCAGCTATATTCCGAAGGTAAGACACCGAGCATCGCTTCATCTTGTATTTCTCACAGTAACAGTGGCACACATCAACTTCACTTCTTTAAGACCCTTTAAAGTAAAAATGTTCTCTCTCTCCTTTTCCCTCCAGTATCAAGCTGACTCAGCCAGTTCCAACCCTTTATTTGGACCCACAAAAGAAGTTATCCCATTGCATTGAAATATGCAGCTTACTCCAGTTACAGGGAAGGCAAAGTTACCCGTTAAACCATAACCATAGTTCTGTGTGTATAATTACAGGATACACAATATTTAGAGTCCTGCACTTGGACCTTGTGCAGCTATCGTTTCAGTTACACAACAAGAAAAGAAAAAAAGCACAGCCTTCATTCCTTGCTGTAGGAGATTTACATTCAAACTGATTTGAGAAAGACAGAGGTGTAATGGAAACTCCACAGCTGTTGGCAAACTCGGCTTCATTCAAAGATTCCATATTCACTATAATCTCTAGTGACCAAAGAGAATATCTTTAGATGTGCCAGGTATTACCTGTGTATATCTCACATTAAATATTTTTGCACCAACATGCTTTATTTTAAGCGGTTTGTTTTATTAAACATTCTCTTAGATTTCCAGGCTTATTCACTAAAATATGGAAAAACAGATGTTCTTTAATTAGTCCCTGGCCATATCTTATATCTGGGATAGCCTTATGCCTATCACCCACATGTTTAAACTCCTTCACTGTGTTAATCTCTACCACTTCAGCTGGAAGGCTATTCTATGCATCCACTACCCTCTGTTTGCCCAGTTCAGTTGATATTTTTAAACCTTTGCCCCTCTTATTTAAGACTATGTCCACTTGTTGTGGTAGTTTTTCTTCTTTTCAATATAGTGTGGAGCCAGTGACCTCACTTAGAGTATTGTACGCAGATACATTATGTACCTGTTTCAATCACTCAAACCACATGAGGAACAACTGAGTCACAGCCAAGAACATTGGGAAACACTGTAATAGACCAATTCCCCCTTATTGACTTGCTTAACGGTAAAAGAAAAAACTGCTTTGCCAAACATCAATCGTCAGCCGGGACTGTAAAATCCTATGATTCCACATTTACTCAGAATATCTGACTGGCAGCAGCTGACCACATCCCCCAGCCCCTGATACCTATTACCAAGACCTAGGCGGAGGCCTGACACCACAATTTCTTACTGACAAACTGGATACGCACCAATGGTGCGACAGCGGCAAACTCAAACTCCTGGCGGTCATGCACTCCAACGATAGTAAAAAATAGAACAAGGTAGGCGCACTCCAATGAAACATGCAAACCAGCCCCAAATGGAGCCCTATGATGGTGAGATGTAGGGTGCTCACTTACATGAGGCTCTATCCCCAAATACAAATTGAGTAAGGCACACAACCATAAATGTCTACATACAAAAAAAAAAATCTTTATTCAATGGGTACACATTGCTATATTTTCTTCTATATGTATTTGCATTTGTGGGTTTGAATGTATGGGTATCTTATTCTATTATCTAGAATACTGATATTTAGCTTTTCATGCATTACGCATTTGGCGTTTATATATATATATCCAGAATTGTTCTGGCTGTTCCTTGATTACATGTTAAGATTTTATTTCTTGGTTTCTCATGAAAGTTGGATACCATGAAGCATGTGCAACAGAAACATTAGAAACTTCACAAATCCAAGCAAGAGCATCAAAATACTTCATTATAAAGTATGTACAGCGTACTCCGGTAGATGCGTTAAGAAATAAAGGAAGTATTCCTTGCTAGGCCAGTTTAAAAGGAATAGTGCAGACACAACATAAATCCACCAGCATATAATGCAAACATAACACAATTTCCAAAACTTAAAATATCTTTGCATGGGAAGGAAGGAGGGGGTGAGCAAAAAAAAACCAAAACCCTAAGATACAAGAATGGTCCTGAATGCCTTTCATATCTATAACCCTTTTGTATTTTCCTTCAGCTTTCCTAAAACCAAACCAAAAAAAACACAAAGCATACAGTTTCTTGTGGCGGTCATGGGATCTATTTTTTTTTTTTAAATATCCCAAAACCAAACAGAATGATTATAAATTATTTATATATAGTGCCAACGTATTCTGCAGCTCTGTACGATGATTTAAAAAAAGTTTTCATGCGGGTCCGAATGACCCAGAGTAAAAAGTAAATGTTCCTTCTTTAATTCCCGTTAGAAATACAGTCATTATGAAGAACATTAGTCCATAGAGTTTGGTCTCTACGCAGTATAATTCTTGAACTCAGGTAAATTTGTAAACTTTCCGGCCAGAGAAATAATTGATGCAAAATGCTGAATCTTTCACGAAGATTAAAAATGATGGCATTCCTGCTTTCACACGAAACCTGAGGACGGCAAAAAGGAAAAGTTTACAACATATTGTAAAGAATACAACTATAGTCAGTGGAGCGATTCACGTATCCCAATTGTAAGCACTCACTGACTATATTTTTGTTTTATATGCAAGAAGGATGCAGAAACAGTTTGGGGAGCAGCTTAATAATTAGGATTTATATTCTAATATAAGTATTTTTTTATTTTTTAAATTCTTTATTTAGGTTATGCAGAAGGAAACATAAAATTTCGCTCAGCCACAACGGCTGTTGGCATCAGAGTAATAAACATTTATTGACATTGGTACGGCTTCTCATACATTGCATATTTTGTATTTTTGGTTACGAGTGGTAGGGGCTTAAACCAGTAGTCCCGTTTTGATCCACGTGGGTACTATTAATATTTTGGAAGCGTGTGTGATACGCTCTGTTTTCTAGTTCCTGTTTAGTTTAAAGAATACTTCCTATCTCAGAATATGTTCTTTTATGATCTAGCTTTCTTTAAAACTTAGTAGGAAGTACTTTGTCTTTTTATTTTATTTTTTATATATTTTCTTTATTTTTATTTTGTCATAGAATAACAATGCAATACAAGACAGACATAAAAGGAAACATTTGCATCGACACTAGGTTGAAAAATTCGGGGGTGTCACAGCACCCGGTACATATAAGGAGCAAAGGGAGGTAGTGAACAGATTGTTGACTTCTTTACATGTTTTTTTCCCACTCTGTATAGGTTATAAACATAGTTTTTATCTTTGTTGTACAACTCATTTATGATAATAGCTTGTCTGCCATAAATTATAGAAGTAGATTATAATTAGGGAAGCTTAGCGAACATAGGAGACACAGATGCCGGTAATCAGGTTACATTCTTCTGAGTAAGCATGGTTTTGAGTGATATCCATGCCTTCGAGAGGCGGTTTCCTGGTGGCGGGCGTGTGCATCCGTGTCTCCGATAGACAGTCAAATGAAAAGGGTCAGGAAAAAAGGAGAGGGAAGAGAAAGAAAAGAGAGCCGTCCGGTGGTGGGCAAGTCTCAAAGTTCAAATAGTCTGTGGCGGCAGGGAGGGGGGATAGAGAAAAAATAAAAAAATAAAAAGGGGGGGGGTGAGGAGAGAAGGGAACAGGACAGGCAGGGGGAAAGCATTTGGGAGGTCCAAATGGCAGTGAGCCAGAGGCCACTGAGGGGATCCTTCATGGCGGATGTGAAGTCCGCGATGCCCACCCCGCTCAATCATCTATGTCATTATTCAGCCAAGGTTCCGATATCATTTCGTATTTCTTGAGGGATGCCCGAGTTATTGCAGTCAGTCTGTCCATGAGACAGGTATCTTTTATTTTATGCATTACTACAGAGATGGGGGGGAGGGGGAGAGGGCATCTGCTTGAAGCCATGTTTGTGCTAGAGCTCTTCGCGCCGCTAAGGTTAATTTATGTAAGGAAACAATAGGAGATATCCAGTGGTTGGATGCCCATGAAACTGGCTACAATAAATTGCTTACTGTACTGTCTAATAAAAGTGTTTTGCTAAATGCATTTTATGTTAAATATATTTCAAAACAATGTTATGTATGTCACATGTGTCCCTGCCAAGAAATCCCTGAATCAGACCATGTATCCTCACCGTTTGTGCTGCAAGGCTTCTAATAGTGTCTTCTCTGGATCTACCTGGTAGAAGGATTCCGACTCTTCGTCTTCAAAATAAACCTACAAAGTGACACAGAACAGTAATGAAGACAAAGGAAGATAAGCTCTCCTATGTATATTCTTTCACAAAAACATCAGCTACCAAGATGGTATGCATTTTAGCACCACTGGTTGGATACAGAAATAAGCTGTAATATAGTGGGAAATTTTTCTAAATGTGTAAAGTTATCTCTGGTACTAAAAACTTTTGCACATATGGTAATTTTATATGTTGTTTGACTGTTTTTTTTTTAGCATTTATCTCTTTCAGAGGAGACACTTTAGCACTAAGTTAAACCAACACCAACGTTACAGAAGTGTACTTGAACCCATCGCCCCAAAATACTGCACTGGCATTTTCTTTTGAGTTATGTAACAATTGTTAAATAAATAAATAAATAGAATTGAGTACTCGCACATTCCACGCCTCCCCGCTCTGTCAGTCCCTCCATTGGCTCCCAGTTAGAAATAGGGCTCAATTTAACATTCTGGTGCTTGCTTACAAGTCCCTACATAATGCTGCTCCAACCTACCTATCCTCCCTAATAGACAAGTATGTCCCGTCGAGGACCCTACGCTCTGCCAAAGACCTACGTATATCCTCTGTCCGTACTCCCACCTCAAACGCTCGCCTCCAAGACTTTTCCAGGGCTGCACCTCTTCTGTGGAACTCCCTTCCCTCCTCCGTAAGAATTTCACCCAGTCTCCACTCATTCAAAAAATCATTGAAAACTCACTTCTTCAAGAAAGCATATCAATTAAACGGTTAGCAGTTATTTATCCCCCACTCTCCATGACTCCTCTCCTGCAACTGTCAAAAATTACCTACTAAGCCCTCAGTGAATACTTTTCTAACAACTTACTTCGTACCCCTACTTTTACCCTCTGTGTCACTATACCCCACTCCCTCTAGAATGTAAGCTCATTGAGCAGGGCCCTTCACACCTCTGTTCCTGTACGTCCAGTTGTCTGGTTACAATTACATGTCTGTTAGTCCACCCATTGTACAGCGCTACGGAATCTGATGGCGCTATATAAATAATAATAATAACAATAGTAGGGGTGTGGTCTATTAACCCCTTAATGACGAGTGACGGACGAGGTCCGTCACTCAGGGGGAACCCTTAATGACGAGTGATGGACCTTGTCCATCACGCGGTAAAATTAATCCCAGATCGCCGTGATCGCGGCGTTAATAGTGCTCCGGTCTGCCTCTGTGTTATAGGCAGACCAGGAGCACCCGATCTCGCTGCCCCAGCACCGGTGCCTGCTCTGACAGCCTGTCAGAGCGAGCACATGTGCTCAGTATACTCACCTTCCACCTCCCTGCACTTCCAGGTTCACTGTGAAGTGCAGGGAAACGGATCATCACTGATCTTGTCCCTGTTAGAAAAAATAAAATAAAGTTAATTTAAAATCCCACCCCCCTTCACCCCATTTTAATAAAAAAATTAACCCCTTCCCTGCCAATTGATCACTAACTACAGTGATCAATTGGCAGGGATTACATTTTACTATGATCTGATTTTTTGTTAATTCTTTTTTTTTTTTTAACCCTTGGGGGTTAAATTTATTTTATTAATTAATTTAAGTATTTTAAAATTATAAATTTAGCTAGCTGGGGTGGGTGGAAGTTAGTGGGGAATTGGGGGATTTGGTGTTAGACTAATTAAGGGTTAACATTAAAAAAAGTTTTAAAATAAGCTTTAAAAAGTTCAAAATTAAGTTAAAAAAAAAGTTAATAACGTTTAGGTAAAAAAAAAAACAAACAAAAAAAAAAAACACCCCCCTTTAGCCAGTCCAAATAAAAATAAACCCCTTCCCTGCCAGTCGATCAATGCCTACAGTGATTATAGTATTATACTGTGATCTAATTTTTTTTTAACCCCTGACGATTAACTTTTATTTAATTTTTTAACCCTCAGGGGTTCAATTTATTTAATTAACTAATTTAAATATTTTATAATTATATATTTTGCTAGCTGGGGTAGGTGGGAGTTATGGGAAAATGGGGAATTTACTGTTAGTGCTGCTTACTGCTAGTTAGGGGTTAATGGTTAAAAAAAAAAAAAGCTTAGAAAAATGTTAAATCTGTAAAAAAAAAATATATACTTTTGTGTGGCAAGTTTTAAGAAAGTTAAAAAAATTAATAAGCAAAACAAAAAAGTTTAAAAACTAGTTTTAAAAAGTAAAAAAAGTTTAAAAAAGTAAAAAAATACATTTAAAAAACGCTCATTACCACTACACCTGGAACAAACTAGAGAAAAAATTATCCCACGCCAAGGTTCAAAATATGCCTTTTGAATTACCCCAGGGTGTATTCTTTAATAAATAGTATGTGTTTGTGGGGAAGTTTCAATAACCAACCATCTAAACTACTCCAAATTGGAACATGGACACAGCGTAAAACTTCAAAGTTACAAAAAAACTGAATGGCTGCGTCTCAAATGTGCCCCTTCAACATCCACATATACCTGGCAAAGGTACATACGGGGGTATTGCTGTACTCAGACCACATAGCTGAGCAATATATGAAGTATTATACAGTCGTAGCACACATAAGGTTTGCAAAATATACTGTGCAAATTCACTTTGTATGTCAAAAAGGCAGAAAAAACTCTTATTACCACTACACCCGGTACAAGCTAGCGGAAAAATGATCCCACGCTAAGGTTAAAAATATACCTTTTGGAGGGGGGGGCGGAGCCTGGACACGAAACGGGCTGGACGCCATTTCTGCGGGCTCCGACATCTACGGACCGAATCCGCTCAATATCAGCCCGCAGCCCTGACATCCAGCCGCAAGAACACCGGCATAGCACGGGGGAGATCCCCCGGATTCTTCCGATGCCCTTCTGGTACACCCCGAAGCAGGCAAAGTCAAAACACAGAGCACGGGCCTACCTTCCATCAGCCCACCACGGCCTGGATTACCTGTTCGGCGGGGACTTCCTAGAAGACGAGTGGGACACATCCCAGCACAACTCCGAACACGGAATCTCAGGGATTGGACGCAGATCCCAGAAACCTCAACCAGGTACAGCTCAGCCTGATATAAGCACAATGCTCCAGAGGCAAACACCCGCCAAAATGGCGGCCGCACAAGGCCCAGACTCCCCACTAGAATCTGACTTAAGGGAGCAAAGCACACAGGGGGTTCCAAGGCTACAACCCACACCCCAGCAGGGTACCACTGAACCGGCCACTAAACAGGACCTGCAGCATATGCAAATTATGCTGCAAGAAATCCAAAGCCTGCTGGCTGCAGATTTACCTGCCCTTAAAACAAGCATGCAACAAATCACTGAAAAAGTAGTACACACTGAGAGAGAAGTGCAGGGGATCCAAAAAGAAATCACCTCGCTGCAAGACTCCCTCACACAACTACAACACAATCAACAAAACTTCGAGGTTCAACTAGCAGCCCAAGAAGACAAACACAGACGCAACAACATAAAAATCCGAGGTATCCCTGTCACAGTCTCCAAAGAGGACCTACCTCACTACGTGAGACGGCTCACGCAAGCTATACTTCCTCCTGCGGTGGCAAAGAAACTCACCTTTGCCGGAATATACCGACTACCCACCCCAACAAGGGCATCTACACTCCTAGCAGGAGACGTCATAGTCCGCTGCATCCTTCCCCAGGATAGGGGGCACATAATGTCGGCACTCAAGGGCAAGACACCGCTCAACTTCGAGGAGTCTCAACTGACTTTTTACCAGGACTTAACCAGAGCCACTCTCCAATGGAGAAGAACCCTCAGTGACTTCACCAGCCAGCTACGTTCCGCGGGCGTATCATATCGGTGGGGAAACCCACGCCACCTCCTGGTTACACACCGAGGAAACACGTACAAAATCGCTACAGGACCTGATGCTGCCGCGCTACCACCAAAATTGGGCCTGCTGACCGAGCACGCCCAGAACGCTACCCATGCCTGGGACCCGGAGACGATAGAGCCGTTCACCCCGAGGACACGGAGAAGGGACACTCACGCCACATGACGGGAATGAGGGGAGAAGTCTCCTACCCCATCCCGCTCAAAGGCTAAAAACGGCAAAATGTATTTTCTTGTGTTTCTCTCATATACCCTTTCACCTTCAGCCACTTAAGCTTTGTTGATAATGAGCAAGTTAATCTGACGCTCTAACACCCATATGACGCGCTGTGAGCCTGTCAGGGACGGCGCTGGAATACCAGTGCACTAAAGGAATATGCACTACCATACAGAACAGAAATCCCCCCCCGACAGCCCCTAGGTTAGGGCTACTACCCCTCGAGAGTAACTCAAACGGACCACGGATAAGGCCCCCTGACAAGATACTCTCACGACTAACCGACTGACACCACAGACCACTTGATAACACCACAGATAGATCTAGCACTCTGAAACTAAAAATAAGTTATAAGTCTTACGCAAAATAAGTCTGGAGCACATAGTTCGCAGCCTGGACTGGGTGGCATACGTGATTTGGGGGGGCCAGCTTGCCCGCAACACTCCTGTCCCATAACTATCCATGAGCAAACAATCTAGTATTCATGGGATTGCTGGGGGTGGGATGCGCGGGATGGCTGGCTACTCTCCAAATTGCTGCCGCTAAGTTCGGTTGGGTCGCGCTAGGTGTCGACTGAAGCATAGATTTAACCAAGTGTAGATGAAACACGGGACACGTACACCTAGAATGAGGCGACTGGGCAGTGTGATTTTCAAAGCAAAACCAGCCCAAAGTTTGGACAGGCACTGCTCTGTCCTGCGGCCAGGGCTGATAACACTTAAACGCATGTATATACCTAACAAAAATCTAACCTGATGGTTAACACGCACACTAGCCCCTGCTCCCTAACCTGAAGGTCTCTATCTGAACATAATCTCTCACACTCACGCTGGAACAGTGCTATACCACTAACCACTCTTCTCATATATATATATAAAAATGTGCAAAGTCATTCCTGCCATACAATTGTATTTACATGTCTACTCAAACCCTGGCGACAGCTGTTGTGGCATCGCTAGAAAACTGTTACATGAATAATCTATGCACGAAAAATAAAGAATTAAAAAAAAAAAAAATATACCTTTTGAAATACCCTGGGGTGTCTACTTTAAGAAATGGTATGGCTTTATGGGGTATTTGGATTATATAGCCTGGTAAAATACTCTAAAATGGGACATGGGCACAGCGTAAAAATTTAAAGTTTGAAAAAAAACTGGAATGGCTGTGTCCCAAATGTGCACCTCCAATGTCCACATATACCTGGCAAAGGTACATATTGATGTACTCAGCCGACATAGCTGAGCAACATATGAAGTATTATACAGTGGTAGCACACATAAGGTTTGCAAAATATACTGTGCAAACTCACTTTGTGTGTTAAAAAGGCAGAAAAAACGCTTATTACCACTACACCTGGAACAAGCTAGCGGAAAAATGATCCCACGCTAAGGTTAAAAATATACCTTTTGAAATACCGTGGGGTGTCTAGTTTAAGAAATGGTAGGCCTTTGTGGGGTAGTTTGAATTTAAAACCTGCGAAGATGCTTGGAAATTGCACATAGGCCCAGCGTCAAAATTCGGTAAAAACTGATATGGCTTGGTCTCCTATATGGCACTGTAGCTTCACGAAATAGTGCAAAAGACATTCATTGGGGGTGTCTTTTTACTCAGCAGATGTAACTGAACACAAAAGAAAACTTTGTACAGGAATAGCACACACCAACTTTACAAAATACACATGAGAATTTCTTTGTTATAAGTTTGTGTGCCAAAACCCCCCCAAAAACAACACAATTTTACTCCAATATTTAGCAGAGGTTGGCGGTGAAATGGCTACGTAGAAAGTGTCAAAACAACCTTAGGTAAATAGCCCGTGATGTCTACTTTATATAAATATATACTTTTGTGTGGCAATTTTGTTTTCTTTTATGGTTATTAAGCTTACAAGACAAACATATCAAATTCTAAAATCGCTCCACATTAAAAGTTTATTTTACTCCTTGTGCTTTGTGACCTGTAACTACCAAAAAAAACAAAATCACAGACACATTATATATTCTGTAAATCAGAACAACTAAATTGATTTATTTTTAATTACTTTCATTAACCTGCACTAATTGTGCACACATTATTATTGCAAAAACTGTAACAAAAAAAAAAAAAAAAAAATTTGTAATTTGTTTTGCATTTTTCTGTATTTTTTTTTATGATAAATAAGCATTTATATATATATATATATGTTACATCAAATTAAAGCCCTTTCTGTCCTTTAAAAAACGGTATATAATATGTGTCGGTGCAATAAATTAGTAAAGTGCAAATTGCAGTTGAACGTAAACTTCAAAAAATGCTGTTGTCATTAAGTGAAAGACAAGCTTCTGAAGCTCTGTCCTTAAGGGGTAAAATACAGTAGATCACAGTGACCTCTGGTGACCATGTGCAGTTACTACAGATTCTACAAAGTGTTTTCATTTGGTTTGTGATTTGCAGATTTCAAATGCATTCAAAGTTTTGCATCCCATGTACCACTATGCTGTGTAAAAGTTACACAATCTGCAAGAAACTGTATTCAGCAAAATTAAACATGATCTAACTATTACACCAAGGCTTAAAATGTTTTGTCCTACGCTACTAGCCAGAATTTACAAAGTTAGTCGGAAGTGCAAGCCTGGAGGGTCTAGGGCAGCGCTCCTCAAGACAATCCCAGTCCAGGATTTAGGGATTACCCGGGTGTGTCTAAGGTGTTATTTTATTTTATTTTTCAAACACCTTAGACACACCTGGGTAATCCCTAAATCCTGGACTGTTAAGTGTACCTTGAGGAGAGGTTTGAGGAGCACTGGTCTATGGCACACTCACCAGGGCTAGTGGGAATGCTGAGCACTGATAACACCAACACACATTTTCCTAGGAAGATAACCTGTGTCTCCTACTGTTATTGTAAAGGAAATGCCATGAACTTCAAAGAGAACTTTGAATGTCATACTACCAAGTCGCAATGTCGAGGACATCTGAAATGGCTGTTATATAAACCAACAAAAGTGCCCCTGTCTTGTTACTGTCATCATATTACTAGCAAAAGTAACATATACAGACATAAGTGTACCGAGAAACATGTACAAAACAAAAACCACCATTTCCTGCTGGCATGGGGGGTTTATCTCCCACCCCCACCACCTACAAACCCTAGGTTCAATTATTACTGTTGACACTCAGTGAAGTGGGTGTCAGCCTCTTGGCTTGTACTTTAGGCGCAAACTCCTTAAGAATCTCCAACTCAGATAAGAGGCACAAAGCCTTCACCATTATCGTGCACCTAATGGGGGCGATAGGCACTGCTACAGTGTAGTTTTCAATCGAATATGTTTTAGCTCAGAAAGTACAGCACTCCCCATAACTACCTCTACAGAGGATTTCCATCCTTAACGGTATGGTAATGCACGAGTTCCCCTGCTCACGCTAGATCACCTTCCTTGGTGACCCCGATATGAGGCACACAACCTATGTTTTACCTCAGTAAATGTTCCATTTCTCAGTACAGAATTATACTATGTTTACAGCCTGTGTGCTGTCTCTCTTGTTCATATGTCTACAAAACAAAAATAAAGAATGTAAAAAAAAAATTAAATAAAAAGGAACATATATAGGACTTAAGCTACTCTGCACTTGCTCGTAAGTATGAGAGAACACTGCTTAGGACACTGGGGATAGTAAGGCCTTGCAGGGTGCTTAGATTCGTTATGTATACATATTTACGGTTCGCTCACCAGCAACATTGTGCAAGTGAACAAGAGACAGTGCTGCTTCACTATGCACGGATGTAATCCAGGTGTCTGGAGTAACCGTTTAACATTACAACCACATCTATTCTACTAACCACAAGATTCTGAGCTTGATACTTTCTCTCAGTGTCCCAGGGAGGTAAATCTTCATTAAACATTTCATTCAGATGATCAATAAATCTAGAAAGAAAACAAACACAAGAAGAGAGAGAATCTAAGACAGTAAACAATATAAAACTACAAACCTAACATACACTGCAACCGATGTGAGCTTACAGTGCATAGATCCTTCACCCCAGTAAATGCTAATTTAGAATTACTGAGGTAAAGAGAAAAGCAAAGGTAAATAAACACTTACATAACTCTACATCCCAAAATGTTTCAAGTATGTGCTTTGGGCATTTCACAAATAGATGGCGAACGCACACGCCCTCGCACATTTGGAATTCTCAGTACTGTACATGAGAGTTATCGAATATTTGACCAGCCTCGAACAGAGAGGTAGGCAAGTTAAAAATATAATAGATAAGTATTTTTTTTTTTACTTTTTAGCACAACCAACAGTTAGCTATTTGGTGGTGCTAAAAGTGAGGAAGTAAAAGTTGCATTGATTGGAGTGATACTAAAAACCTTCAGTTATTTAAATATGCATAGGAATTTGGGATAGTACGCAAGTAACGCTTTTCTTGGTTTTTAGTGTATGTATTGGGGATTATGTGTACTATGGTCATTGCGGTCGCCCAGGAGTAGTGGGAGTCTGAGCGCAGGACTTGTTTTTGTGTATTTATAGAACTTTGAGTTGTATAAATTCTTGCAGCTCATCTCTGCATATGAGGGTTATCATGATATCAATATTCCAAAACTGCTGTATGTGGAAAAAAAATATTATCACTACATAGCAGCAATCTACGTTTTTACCATCATGTGAAACTTTTATCCAGAACTTATAGAGAAGTGTTTTGTTTTTTTTAACCCCTAGCTTTAGACTCCAAATTAAAGTGGCTCCATCAACAAAAATACTCTTTATCTGATCAGCTTCTATACAACTCTGTGTGTCTTAATCGATTTGTATTTTTCCCGGAGGAATATATTCCTATATCCTATAGTAAAATGGAGAAAATGAGGAAGACTAAAATTAAGCTATGTTTATCTTCTTTTCATTACCTCCTGATATTGTTAAGGACTTAAGGCAATGATTTAAACATTTCAGCCCTCAATGCTTACAACAATTGAAGTTTTAAGATTACTCTTACAGCTACAATACCTGGTTTAACCACAATGGGGATTTACACACTTTACTCCTGCCTGCAAAGATAAAGAGTCATCAACTGCTCTGTGTTGGGAAATTAGGAGTGCAACTATCCAAATTCACAAATGGTCTAGGCCACATCCAAATTCCCAGTTGAGCTGGATAATTAGAATCATGGTTCATGGCACACTAGTTTGAGAATCACATATAATTTACTGAAGGAAGAATAGAAGCTTCATCTCCACACTACCTGGTGCCCTCATGAAAAGCAGATATAAAGTCTGTCTGTGTGTGCTCCGGGTAAAAGAAAAGCACCGGCCAGTTCAGGCTACCATTCTCATCCAGAAATACTTCCGCTCCCATGGCATTTTCAGAGCTGATGCCATCATGCGACAGTTCCGATCGCTCTTCCTCGCCAGGATTCTGCTTATATAACTGTATCCCTCTGTCCTGTAGTGCAATGCAGCAAAAAAACAAACAAAAACTATTAAAATTTACCCTTTTTCATACTTGTGGCCTTCAACTATAAATGTAACAGGTTTCAAAATAAGCCTCCATTATCTTAGTTGTCCACACAAAACAGCCACCAAAAGTATTCAATCCCACATTTCCTCACTAAACAAATACACGTTATGCACGAGCCCACAGACATGTAATGTAAGTCTTCTCTGGCAACTTTTTAAAGTAAATAAGTATCTGGGGATTGTGACCAACTGAGCCAGTCTTTAATACCTTCCCGGTGTTATATTTGATGTCCTTTTCTTGGGATTAGAGCCAGGGAGTTAATTAAATTTCAGCTCTAACCTTTGAGCTGTGGCTAGTGACAGCCTTCCTGTGTAAGACACTCACCCTCAGTGCAGCAAACAGAGACTCCTTCTGGGATTGCTTTTTTTTCTCTGCATGTTGCATTTTTCTAGCATCTCGTTCCGCAGCTCTCTGAAAAATACCATAAATTACACATGACTCTGGTCCACTGGGTTAGGTGTTAGGTCCACATTAAAAAAAACTTAAGTTTGTAGGAGTTCCACGTGTTGCCTTTTTCCATCTGTTTCTGCTAGACATTATATACAAAAGGTTTTATTTTGCAAGAATATTTATGGGTAACTCTTCCTCATTGAGGAGCATTGGGGGACAAGGTGCATGTGCTCAACGATAGCGTGTCCAATCAAATAAATGTAGTGGCCTTTTAATGCTTGCTTTATGTTAACGTGATGACCTCTCACCTGCAGTTTATCAGCTTTTGTTCTGGTTTCCAATAATTTTTTTTCAGTTGGATTTATCTTTAGTCCCTCCTCACACCAGTTCAGAGCCTCTGGGTAATTCTTTATTTCTATGTAGCATAAAGCTCCTGTAAGTGAACAGAGGTGAATGGCTGCAGTAATCAATGAAACATACTCACTAAACCTATAATTATGCACGGTTTGGAACAAGACACGTCAAGCTCTGGTCTCCTTTACCAAGTCTGGCTTGTTTGTATTTGGTATCCAGTAAAGCAAGTATTCAATGGTAAACATATCGCAAAGAAAGTAGTAATTAAAAAAAGGTGATCAGACCTAGAAGAAGTGCTAATTAAAGTTACAAATATTTGCTAATTACAGGATACATTTGCCTAATTTTATTGATTATTATTATTTTTAAGGTGTGCCTACGTCTAGTGAACTATACAGTCCCCTGGGGTAGTCACAAAAAAATAAAACTTTCAGATTTAGCTTTACAGCACTGTGCTGCATCATCAAGCAAACAGACTTATACCCACAATGCCAATTACCAGACACACATCTAGCTACTCACAATGTGACATTAGAGAAGTAAAACTGTTTTCTTTTTTTTTTTAAATAATAATAATAATAAAAAAAAAAGTGCAAGCCCTCCCACTCCACACACTTGATGGACCTCAAATTGTAACTGACTTAATGGCAGGGAATTGAGCAGTGAGACTGTAAGCCACGATCTACACACAAAGAAAACCTTTGCTACACTAAAGTTGTTTTGGTGCTTAAAGTATTCTTTTAATATTTCCAGGCACACGCTAACTTTTTTTCTTACCTCGTATCAATGCTTTTAAGTGGTCTGGTTTCAGTTTTCTTGCTGCAATGGCATCAGTGAGAGCAGAGCGATTATTACCTGTCAAATAAAGAGAAGTCACGTACAGTTCTCCAGAAAGAGTATGAGGCACCAGTAAAACCTTCCAGAGAACACGGCAGGTATGAACGCTGGTAAGGAAATTGCAAATATATATTTGAATTCCTAAATGTGTGGGGAAATTAATAGTCTTGGCTATTTGGGTAAAATAGCTGAAATTAACTTTGAATTCATGACAATTCACACTCCAGTGATTACCTCTGCCTGTCACAGTCAGAACAGCACATAGAGCAGCACAAAGAGAGCTGGGGACAAACATGCAAAGCAATGAGAAACTACAAGACCTAGCACTGGTCAGTTCATGTCCAGATACTGGAAAGACACTGTAAAACCCCAACAACAACAGTTGAGGAGTAAAGTAAACACACACATAATAAAACTTTTATTTTAATTTATTCTTAAAAGAGGACTTTTGTTAGATGATCTCAGCTAAGGGTGTGAGCCAGCAGTAACCGTACCCGCTCGGTGCTGGAAAAAGGTGCGTAAATCACCTTTTTAATCTGGGGGAGAACAGGTGTTTAGTCCTATAGCGTCAGAAATACACATTTGTATTGCTGACACTAGTGTTCCTTTAAAAATAAATAAATAAAACTACTCCACTTAGCCACAACTTGAATTTTTTTATCCATTATTATGCAACTTGGTTTTTAATTTACTATAATTAATGGTTTAATGAGTGTTAATGCGTTGCAGATCTCTCTGGCACTGAAAGAGTTTCAATCAGTCTCCCTGCTATAGCATAACAAGAAGGAAACGGTTTACAATATATGGTATCACTGAGAAGCATGTACAGGATTCAGATCTACTTTCTGACATAGAATCCTCAGACATATGCAATCAATCTCTCAACATTTACTTAGTAGCAGTGATTCTGCACTTGCCTCCTCTTACCTAAATAAAATTGCGCGGCTGCCCTGTTGGTGTACAGTATGGCATTCAGCTCAGGGTCCTTGCATTTCTTCTTTAAGCCCTCGGTGTATGAGTTAATAGCTTTCTTGTAATCTTTTTCTTTAAAGTATTCATTGCCTTCATCTTTATAAGACTTAGCTTGTTCTACAAAGTAAAGACAGTAAGAGAGGATCAAAACATTGTGACTTGTGTAATTATATCGTAAATAATTATCATCATCCAAACCCCCAAGCACACGAGTACAAAAAAATGAAACAGAGATATTGAGAAGGAGTTCATTGGTTTTAGACCATGTATACCCAAAGATGATTACAAACACAAACTCAGACCAACTCATTGTCAAAACTCCCTGAAATCCCTCACCAACTGGGACCGCAATCTAATCATCACATTCAAAGTTTAGTTTATTGGCCATTAGTGTGAGAAGCCAAACTTTAAAACCCACCAGAAATCTATTTTGGAACAATTCTGCACAGTGCACATCTGCACTTAGAGATTATATTCTAAATATAGGGGTCAAGTCCTGGACTCTGTGCTGTTGTTGGACTACAACATCCATAACTAACTGGCAGAAAATGATAGGTGTAGTAGTCCAATACTCAACAACCTTCCGAGGATAAGAATAACCTTTGCAAACCCAGGTGTCTGTTGGGAGAATTAATACCGTCAATATTTCCATCACAATACCTTCTGGGGACCGATCACTGTCAAACAGGATGGACTGTAGACAAGCCAGCTCCGGGGTTTTCTCTGGATTAATTTCAGATGGAGCATTCTTCATGAACATTGGAATCTTTTCAAATTCCTTAAAATTAAGTTTTTGACATGTTACAAATTATGTTAATGAGACATGGTATGAAATATCATATACGTTCCATTTTTCATCAAATTTAACCCAGCACAGTTAGCCACTAGTGCTAAGGGTATATGCATATATTACCTCCTCCCAGCTTTCCTCATTGAATGCCCCTTTGTACTTCTGGGCTTTAAACTTGTCCATAAATGCATCCATGGCATCATCATTTTCTTGGTGCTGAGAATCCATGATTGTTACAGTAGTCAGCACTCCTGTACAAGACAAGTATAACAATACTTTACTTAAACCTAAATTACTCTTGCAGTGCATTATCAAGATGCACAAATTCACATGGGTAACCATAAATAATTATGTTTGCATCAGGAGATGGATTTAGCCCCTTTGAGAACTTCTACCGTAGCAATAATTGCAAATAAAGGCCAGACAGCAGGACCACGTAAGTTTCATTAATTGATTTATTGGTAGTAAGGTGCCAGAGAACTCTTGCTACACTATGCTGTAGAGGTTGTGTTGCTTAGAGTGCATATTAAATGGCAATCTAATATTTAGCATAACACCAGCATGCCTTTTCTAAATGACTTGCACAGGCTCTCTATGAGATGACCTGAACAGTACACTTGCCTCACACAAGTGTAACCACAAGTAGGTTTTTATTATCTTTTCACTAAAAGAAAGTTATTTGCAACTTCTATTGGATAGAGATTTATTAAACATGTACAATGCTTCCACTTAAATCAGGACTAGTAGGGCTGGTATGGGCAGAACACTTAGAGAAACTTCCTTGTCCATGCAGAAGTTCTAGAATGTCAGCCAATGACAGAAATTGAGAGTATAATAAATTGTATTTTATCATTGTGTTTTTAATGCTTTAAATTCACAGCTCTTTTAACACTAAGATACACAAGGCTGCCTAGTGATTTCCTACTATGTGTGTGTGTATTGAGAGCTATGAAGCTGTCTGTCTGATACTGAAATATTAATATTATATACACACCTTGTATGCTCACCCCAGTAATAACAGTCTGCACACTGGTCCGTCCGGTTATATCTTCCCTCGTGTTTCCAGATTCCCTATCTATTCGTTCTCCCCATGTACACACAGTGTTATAGTGATACTAGCTGCCACACTGACACTGTTCACATGTGTTTCCGGTGGTGCATCAGTTAATGGTTCCCCCATGTGTTTCCGGTGGTGCATCAGTTAATGGTTCCTCCACGTGTTTCCGGTGGTGCATCAGTTAATGGTTCTCCCATGTGTTTCCGGTGGTGCATCAGTTAATGGTTCCCCCATGTATTTCCGGTGGTGCATCGGTTAATGGTTCCCCCTATGTATTTCCGGTGGTTCATCAGTTAATGGTTCCCCGTGTATTTCCGGTTGTGAAGCAGTTAATGGTTCCCCATGTATTTCCGGTAGTGAAGGAGTTACTGGTTCCCCCATGTGTTTCCGGTTGTGCTGCAGTTGTCGGTTCCCCCACGTGTTTCCGGGTGCAGGGCTGTCTTTCTCCCCGGGTGAGTTAACCTTGGCTGAGCAGTTACTCAGAGAGTGTGAGCAGTGGGGCCGGGGAGTGAGTTACATTACAGATATTGCTGAATACTTCATTGAAAAGCTGTATTTTCACTCTCTAAGTTTTAATGAATGAAAGCACTGCCCAAATTCTAATTCACCAAATATTCAGCGAGTTATAAGATGATAAAATTAAACGTGTCCCATGCTGTCACCCCTGTGATATCTCCCATAGATCACTATACCTGTCACAAGCCTGGTACCCTGTGATATCTACCATAGATCACTATACCTGTCACAAGCCTGGTACCCTGTGATATCTACCATAGATCACTATACCCTGTGATATCTGATCACTATAGCTGTCACAAGCCTGGTACCCTGTGGTATCTACCATAGATCACTATACCTGTCACAAGCCTGGTACCCTGTGGTATCTACCATAGATCACTATAGCTGTCACAAGCCTGGTACCCTGTGATATCTACCATAGATCACTATACCTGTCACAAGCCTGGTACCCTGTGATATCTCCCATAGATCACTATACCTGTCACAAGCCTGGTACCCTGTGATATCTACCATAGATCACTATACCTGTCACAGGCCTGGTACCCTGTGATATCTCCCATAGATCACTATACCTGTCACAGGCCTGGTACCCTGTGATATCTCCCATAGATCACTATACCTGTCACAAGCCTGGTACCCAGTGATATCTCCCATAGATCATTATACCTGTCACAAGTCTGGTACCCTGTGATATCTACCATAGATCACTATAGCTGTCACAAGCCTGGTACCCTGTGATATCTCCCATAGATCACTATACCTGTCACAGGCCTGGTACCCTGTGATATCTCCCATAGATCACAGGCCTGGTACCCTGTGATATCTACCATAGATCACTATACCTGTCACAAGCCTGGTACCCTGTGATATCTACCATAGATCACTATACCTGTCACAAGCTGGTACCCTGTGATATCTCCCATAGATCACTATAGCTGTCACAAGCCTGGTACCCTGTGATATCTACCATAGATCACTATACCTGTCACAAGCCTGGTACCCTGTGATATCTACCATAGATCAATATACCTGTCACAAGCCTGGTACCCTGTGATATCTACCATAGATCACTATACTATACCTGTCTGAAGCCTGGTACCCTGTGTATACCATGATCACTATACTGTCCAAGCCTGGTACCTGTGATATCTACCATAGATCACTATACCTGTGCAGGCAAGCCTCCCATAGATCACTATACCTGTCACAAGCCTGGTACCCGATATCTACCATAGATCACTATACCTGTCACAATATCTCCCATAGATCACTATACCTGTCACAGCCTGGTACCCTGTGATATCTCCCATAGATCACTATACCTGTCACAAGCCTGGTACCCAGTGATATCTCCCATAGATCATTATACCTGTCACAAGTCTGGTACCCTGTGATATCTACCATAGATCACTATAGCCTGTCACAAGCCTGGTACCCTGTGATATCTCCCATAGATCACTATACCTGTCACAGGCCTGGTACCCTGTGATATCTCCCATAGATCACAGGCCTGGTACCCTGTGATATCTACCATAGATCACTATACCTGTCACAAGCCTGGTACCCTGTGATATCTACCATAGATCACTATACCTGTCACAAGCTGGTACCCTGTGATATCTCCCATAGATCACTATACCTGTCACAAGCCTGGTACCCAGTGATATCTCCCATAGATCACTATACCTGTCACAAGTCTGGTACCCTGTGATATCTACCATAGATCACTATACCTGTCACAAGCCTGGTACCCAGTGATATCTCCCATAGATCACTATAGCTGTCACAGGCCTGGTACCCTGTGATATCTCCCATAGATCTACTATACCTGTCACAAGCCTGGTACCCTGTGATATCTCCCATAGATCACTATACTGTCTGAAGCCTGGTGCCCTGTGATATCTCCCCATAGATCTTTATACCTGTCACAAGCCTGGTACCTGAGTGTCTCCATGGATCCACTTATGGCTGTCTCCTGGTACCTGTGATATCTCCCATAGATCACTATAGCTGTCACAGGCCTGGTACCTGTGATATCTCCCATAGATCACTATACCTGTCACAAGCCTGGTACCCTGTGTATCTCCCATAGATGCTATAGCTGTCACAAGCCTGGTACCCTGTGATATCTCCCATAGATCACTATACCTGTCACACGCCTGGTACCCTGTGATATCTCCCATAGATCACTATACCTGTCACAACCCTGCCCTGGTAGTCCTGTGATATCTACCATAGATCACTAAAGCTGTCACAAGCCTGGCACCCTGTGATATCTCCCATAGATCACTATACCTGTCACCAAGCGGGATCTCCATAGATCACTATAGCTGTCACAAGCCTGGTACCCTGTGATATCTCCCATAGATCACTATACCTGATGGTACCCTGTGATATCTCCCATAGATCACTATACCTGTCACAGGTACCCTGTGATATCTCCCATAGATCACTATACCTGTCACAAGCCTGGTACCCTGTGATATCTCCCATAGATCACTATACCTGTCACAAGCCTGGTACCCAGTGATATCTCCCATAGATCATTATACCTGTCACAAGTCTGGTACCCTGTGATATCTACCATAGATCACTATGGCTGTCTGAAGCCTGGTACCTGTATCTCCATAGATCACTATACCTGTCTGGGCCTGGTGCCCTGTGATATCTCCCATAGATCACAGGCCTGGTACCCTGTATTCTCCATAGATCACTATACCTGTCACAAGCCTGGTACCCTGTGATATCTACCATAGATCACTATACCTGTCACAAGCTGGTACCCTGTGATATCTCCCATAGATCACTATACCTGTCACAAGCCTGGTACCCAGTGATATCTCCCATAGATCACTATACCTGTCACAAGTCTGGTACCCTGTGATATCTACCATAGATCACTATACCTGTCACAAGCCTGGTACCCAGTGATATCTCCCATAGATCACTATAGCTGTCACAGGCCTGGTACCCTGTGATATCTCCCATAGATCACTATACCTGTCACAAGCCTGGTACCCTGTGATATCTCCCATAGATCACTATAGCTGTCACAAGCCTGGTACCCTGTGATATCTCCCATAGATCACTATACCTGTCACACGCCTGGTACCCTGTGATATCTCCCATAGATCACTATACCTGTCACAGGCCTGGTACCCTGTGATATCTACCATAGATCACTATACCTGTCACAAGCCTGGTATCCTGTGATATCTACCATAGATCACTAAAGCTGTCACAAGCCTGGCACCCTGTGATATCTCCCATAGATCACTATACCTGTCACAAGCCTGGTACCCTGTGATATCTCCCATAGATCACTATAGCTGTCACAAGCCTGGTACCCTGTGATATCTCCCATAGATCACTATACTTGTCATAAGCCTGGTACCCTGTGATATCTCCCATAGATCACTATAGGCCTGGTACCCTGTGATATCTCCCATAGATTACTATACCTGTCACAAGCCTGGTACCCTGTGATATCTCCCATAGATCACTATACCTGTCACAATCCTGGTACCCTGTGATATCTCCCATAGATCACTATACCTGTCACAGGTACCCTGTGATATCTCCCATAGATCACTATACCTGTCACAAGCCTGGTACCCTGTGATATCTCCCATAGATCACTATACCTGTCACAAGCCTGGTACCCTGTGATATCTCCCATAGATCACTATAGCTGTCACAAGCCTGGTACCCTGTGATATCTCCCATAGATCACTATACCTGTCACAAGCCTGGTACCCTGTGATATCTCCCATAGATCACTATACCTGTCACAACACTATACACTGTCACAGGTACCCTGTGATATCTCCCATAGATCACTATACCTGTCACAAGCCTGGTGTGATTTCTCCCATAGATCACTCACTATACCTGTCACAGGCCTGGTACCCTGTGATATCTACCATAGATCACTATACCTGTCACAAGCCTGGTACCCTGTGATATCTCCCATAGATCACTATACCTGTCACAAGCCTGGTACCCTGTGATATCTCCCATAGATCACTATACCTGTCACAAGCCTGGTACCCTGTGATATCTACCATAGATCACTATACCTGTCACAAGCCTGGTACCCTGTGATATCTACCATAGATCACTATACCTGTCACAAGCCTGGTACCCTGTGATATCTCCTATAGATCACTATACCTGTTACAGGCCTGGTACCCTGTGATATCTACCATAGATCACTATAGCTGTCACAAGCCTGGTACCCTGTGATATCTCCCATAGATCACTATAGCTGTCACAAGTCTGGTACCCTGTGATATCTCCCATAGATCACTATACCTGTCACAAGCCTGGTACCCTGTGATATCTCCCATAGATCACTATACCTGTCACAGGCCTGGTACCCTGTGATATCTACCATAGATCACTATACCTGTCACAAGCCTGGTACCCTGTGATATCTCCATAGATCACTATACCTGTCACAAGCCTGGTACCCTGTGATATCTACCATAGATCACTATACCTGTCACAAGCCTGGTACCCTGTGATATCTCCATAGATCACTATACCTGTCACAAGCCTGGTACCCTGTGATATCTACCATAGATCACTATACCTGTCACAAGCCTGGTACCCTGTGATATCTCCCATAGATCACTATACCTGTCACAGGCCTGGTACCCTGTGATATCTACCATAGATCACTATACCTGTCACAAGCCTGGTACCCTGTGATATCTCCCATAGATCACTATACCTGTCACAAGCCTGGTACCCTGTGATATCTACCATAGATCACTATACCTGTCACAAGCCTGGTACCCTGTGATATCTACCATAGATCACTATACCTGTCACAAGCCTGGTACCCTGTGATATCTACCATAGATCACTATACCTGTCACAAGCCTGGTACCCTGTGATATCTCCTATAGATCACTATACCTGTCACAGGCCTGGTACCCTGTGATATCTACCATAGATCACTATACCTGTCACAAGCCTGGTACCCTGTGATATCTCCCATAGATCACTATACCTGTCAGAAGCCTGGTACCCTGTGATATCTACCATAGATCACTATAGCTGTCACAAGCCTGGTACCCTGTGATATCTACCATAGATCACTATAGCTGTCACAAGCCTGGTACACTGTGATGTCTCCCATAGATCACTATAGCTGTCACAAGCCTGGTACACTGTGATGTCTCCCATAGATCACTATAGCTGTCACAAGCCTGGTACCCTGTGATATCTCCCATAGATCACTATAGCTGTCACAAGCCTGGTATCCTGTGACAACTACCATAGATTATTATTATGATATTTATAGAGCGCCGTCAAATTCCGCAGCGCTTTACAATGGGTGGACGAACAGACATGTAGTTGTAACCAGACAAGTTGGACACACAGGAACAGAGGGGTTGAGGGCCCTGCTCAATGAGCTTACATGCTAGAGGGAGTGGGGTAAAATGACACAAAAAAGGTAAGGATAGTATTAGACTAGTGACAGTTGCAGAAGAGGAATCAGTCAGGAGGTATTAACAGTTTAATTGATACGCTTTTATGAAGAAGTGGGTTTTTAACGATTTTTTGAAGGAGTGGAGACTGGGTGAGCATCTAACGGAGGAGGGAAGCGTGTTCCACAGGAACGGTGCAGCCCTCGAGAAATCTTGAAGGCGAGCATCAGAGGTGGGAGTACGGACAGAAGATAGACGTAAGTCTTCAGCAGATCGTAAGGACCTAGACTGGACATACTTGTGTATAAGGGAGGGTAGATAGGTGGGAGCAGCATTATGTAGAGATTTGAAAGCAAGAACCAGATTTTTAAATTGAGCTCTATATTTTATAGGAAGCCAATTTAGGGACTGACAGAAGGGTGACGCATGGGAGGTGCAGGCGGACAGGAAGATGAGCCTCGCCGCCGCATTCATTATGGACTGTAACGGCGTAAGTTGGGAGCACGTAAGACCACTGAGAAGCGGATTACAGTAGTCAAGGCGAGAAAGGACAGTGGAATGGACCAACACCTTAGTCGCATCTGGCGTTATAGATCACTATACCTGTCACAAGCCTGGTACCCTGTGATATCCCTCATAGATCACTATAACTGTCAGAAGTCTGGTACCTATTGCAGTGATAGCTTAACACTGGCACCTCACCTGTACTTAAGATTTCTATATTCATATTTTTCTGACGCACATAATTTCATACCCTACAGCGGACCATCTCTCTTTTATGTCCTAATGTCACTCTTTGCTAGTGTGTCTAAACTTATTCCAGACATCCACAGCAATAATTCTAAAAGTAATATGTCCTAATAAATTATATCTCTCATAGCAGGCTGTAGTGGTAATGCTGATTATTACCTTAATCATGTTGATTGGCAGCAAATGAAAAATGTTGCCCTGCACTATATATAATTGATATGTTTCTGGATTCCTGATTAATTAATAATCTGCATAATTTGAATTCTACACATTGCAGGGCTGCACCATTTGCTGTGTATCAATTTGTATAAATGATATGAGCCATTGAAACCATGGGGGAAATGCCATCCTAATCTGCACTCCATTGGGCTGTTGGGTAATCTAGTCCGTAATATTCCTTTAGCTTTTACAGTCATGTACAATTTCCATATTGTATGGCTCTTTAATTTTAACCCTGAAATGTAGAAACATCTTCCTGACAACCACTAGTGGTATGAATACCATATTGTTTCGAGGACTGAGCAGCCGTAATACACTGAGATAGCTATTTCTCGAAATGTCAGTTCACCGCTCTTTGATATGCGGTAATGAAAGGCTGACATCCATGGTATACCGAGTAAGCTACGAGAGCCCCTGACGCATGTGTTTTGCCAGAGTGCGTCAGGGGCTCTGGTAGCTTACACGGTATACCACGGATGTGGTTTCCCCCCATTTTTCAGTAACCTTAAGTGTTTTTTTTTTCTTGTCTAAATATTGGCTCGATTTTTCTTTTTTGATTTATCTTATGAAAGTAATATTTATCTAAGATAGAATAGACCCCAAACTGGAAAGAAATAATCCTGATTGGTTTATCTTTTCTCAGCAAGGCAGGGGTCTGCTTGTCATTGTACGCTGACACGGTAAGCAGATCTTTAAACGGACACTCCAGGCACCCAGACCACTTCTGTCCATTGGAGTGGTCTGGGTGCCAACTCCCACAACCATTAACCCTGCAGGTGTAATTATTGCAGTTTTTATAAACTGCAATAATTACATTGCAGGGTTAACTCCTCCTTTAGTGGCTGTCTACTAGACAGCCACTAGAGGGCACTTCCGGGATTATATCACAGATTTTCTGTGCTATATTGTCGCTGGACGTCCTCACGCTATGTGAGGACGTCCAGCGTCGCTAAAATCCCCATAGGAAAGCATTGAAAAGCATTTTCAATGCTTTCCTATGGGGAGGTCTAATGCGCGTGTGCAGCATTGCCGCGCATGCGCATTAGGTCTCCCCTGCCGGCAGGCATGATCAGTCTGTCGTGATGAAGAAGAGGAGGAGCGTGGGCGGAGGAAGAAGCAGTGACGAGGGACATCGTCGCTGCCTCTGGTAAGTCACTGAAGGGAGGTGGGAGGTAGAGGGGACCACCAGTGCCAGGAAAACAGACTGTTTTCCTGGCACTGGAGACTCCCTTTAAATGTAAGGATTTTTTTTTTTTTTGCATTAGTTTTAATCCATTTAATTTATAGGTCATTAACATTGAATAAGGATTCTTTTCCCCCCTGCATTTTCCCTTTAATTCTTTACAATTCTGGTTCAGTGAATAGGGCCGACCTGAGTTGGGAAACGGCAAACAAATAATGTTATTCATATAAACAGCATAATTTTGTGGAGTGTGTTGGCTAATCTGAAAGCTGCACACCCTAAACATATACAGACATCTCATATTTTCTGAGATATTGTTGATTGGGAGTCAGACAACACCTCCATAACCTCCAAAACAGGTTGAAAGTTTATATGTATGCTCTCTAACTGTATGCTTGGTCTGTTTCTAGCTGTGGAGAAGTTGGGATTTGTCATGGTGAGACTGCTGAGATTGTGCTCCATAGTATCCCTGCCACATCGAATTAACTGTAAATTTCACCATCATGACGTGGCCAAAGGAAAACGCTTGCTGCTTTCTCGGTTATATCAACCCAGAAATCTTTGGGAAGAAAGTCCTTCTAGCCTGGAATCAAAATCCGGTGAACGTACCAGTAGGAGCCACAAGTTGATGATCAAAGCGGGTCTTATCCAGCCATCCAGCCCTGGCTGTTTTCACTTCCTTCCATTCACTGTACGCTCCATGGAGAAGCTTTTTCGATTGATAGATAAAGAGATGCATGGCATTGGCGGACAGAAGATTGACTTGACCAATCTGAGCCCAGCAGCTCTTTGGAAACAGAGTGGGCGCTGGGAACTAATGGGAAAAGAACTGTTTCGTTTGGCAGACAGACACAACCAGGATTACTGCTTAGGACCCACTCATGAAGAAGCTGTAACTCACCTTGTCTCCACTGAGGGAGGCATTACTTACAAGCAACTTCCTTTGCTATTGTATCAAATAACAAAAAAGTTTAGAGATGAACCCAGGCCCTGCTTTGGTTTGCTGCGTGGTCGAGAATTCTATATGAAGGACATGTATACATTTGATGCTTCTGAGGAAGGGGCTTACCAAACCTACAACGAGGTATGCAATGCTTACTCCAACATCTTCAATGCCTTAGGTCTGAAATTTGTGAAGGTACAAGCTGATACAGGAAATATTGGTGGAAAGATGTCACATGAGTTTCAACTGCCAGCAAACATTGGCCAGGATAGACTTCTGGTCTGTGGTGGCTGTGGATTTGCAGCTAACATAGAGACCCTCAATGCGGACGACAGAGACTGTCCATCGTGCGGTGGAGAACTAACAGAAACCAAAGGCATTGAAATAGGTCACACATTTTATCTGGGAACTAAGTACTCCAATACCTTTAATACTACTTGTGATTCTCAACCAAAACCTCTTTTAGCAGAGATGGGGTGCTATGGGATTGGTGTTACAAGACTTCTAGCTGCTTCTATTGAGGTTCTATCTACTGAGGATGAGATCCACTGGCCTGGTCTAATTGCACCCTATCAGGTGTGCCTGATTCCTCCCAAAAAGGGAAGCAAGGAAGCAGATGCTGTAACAGTGGCTGAGACCCTTTATGATGATATACATTCGCTTTATCATCTCCGAGATGAGATTGTTTTAGATGATCGGACCCAAATGACCATTGGAAAAAGGGTAAAAGAGGCAGAAATGATGGGCTATCCATTTGTTATTGTGGTTGGCAAGAAAGCTTTAGGCAGCCAACCACTCTTTGAAGTCAGGAGACAAAACACAGGTGAAGTGCAGTATCTCTCTAGAGAAGGTGTAATGGATTGTTTGAAGAATGTGCAGGTAATATAGAATGTGGACATTGGCGATGGCTAACTGTTGGCACTTAAGATGGTCGTGAGCTACCTTTCACACAATGCTGGCCTGGCCTTTGGGAAATTGTACTTCACAAACATCTTCAGTTGCAAAATTAGCTATTAATTGGGATTTATATAAATATCTGTAAATACCAAATATTTTTTATGTGTTAAAATTAAATCACAGCAAACCAGTCTTATGTATCAAACTCACATTTTAATAAAATTCTTCACAAACAAGTTTCCGTAAGGTTTTGCCACATCCATTTATCACAGGGTTCCATCGGATTTACTTTTTTATAGTTTTTAGTAAAATTCATATGATGATGATTTGTAGATATAAAATAACAGAAAAAGTTCACAATTTTTATAACGCATTTATTGACATTCTGCTTGTGCAAGTGCAACTCCGTGGTATTAATGTGCACGATATAAACTTAGTGATAGTCAACACTTATTTCACACAAAATATAGAAATATAAAGATTTGGATAGAGCCTATATATAAAAAAAAAACAAAAAAAAAAAAACATTCGTCTCAATGTGAGAATTTTTTCAATAATCACTGGATTATAAAACTGAGAGTAACTTTTTTTACTCGTTCCATATCTTCAGATGTCGATCATTATTTGAGCATTTTATCTAAGACAGATTTGTGCCTTACGTGGCAAATACTAAATGCTATTCTCTCGTATGTCATAACCTCATCTTCCTTTAGTAGTCCAAAACATGTGGAGGTTGTCTATCCCTGTTCTAGTACACACCTACCTCCCCTCAAAGCTTGAGCTAAGTATGAGACATTATACATGCCTGAGCAGTGTGAAAGTGTTTATAATTTGTGCATATAAACTCCCCATTTTACCATCCGACATCTGAAGAGGCAGGCAAAGGGTTTTGACAGCATCAATGCACCTATTGTTGATCATGCGGTCAGCTTTGAAATTTTGCTATGACATTGTAAGAGAAGATCAAGTTAGGATTCTGTCAATTCCATATAGGAAACCTTGAGTGACTAGGGCATTTTGTAAACTTCACAATGAGGCACGGTGGCTCCCTCTTCAGGATACAATGATGGGTTAATACAAGCACCATGAGCCTTTACATATACATTTCATGCTACCATGAGTCATTTTACAGTCTCCTGCTAAAGAAAGGAGTGAAATATCCTTGCACATAACCCAGACAGTACTCTTTACCGATATGCTTGTTTTTAACTAATTGTAAGAATAATGCAGCTCAGGTTTGAACTCATCGTCAATTTATTTTTTGTCAGTTATCTCTTTCCTGGCGTTAATGGGATGGAGTAATAAGAGACTATATAGTCCAGGAATGAGCATTGCGGTCATTGAATATATATATATGTTCTGTAATGATATCGACATTACTATTCATCCCCTCACCTGCGTTGTTGGATCTTGCTTTGGTCTGAGCGATCAACTAATGGTTAGTTGGTAACGGATTTTCTCATAAAGCCAGGCTTCGAAGATCACCAACATTCTGTGTTTTACTGATATTGCCAGGGTTACTTGGAATCAGGTTCTCCCTACATATTGGCCCTTAGGTTGGCCTGAGGACTTGTTTCAGAATCAGTAGGTTACTTTATTAGATGGAAGAAGAGCGGTGGCTTATTGATAGCTTTCTGGGGTTCACCTTCATTGACTGAAACAAGAGCTTCACCAGTTCCATTTTACCAGTTCCTATCATTAACTTGGAGAGTTCGACAACGTCTGCTGTGTTATTCCGACACACAATCTGCAGCTCCTGACTAACGCTCTCTGAGGTGTATTTTCCTTGGGCCTCTTTTACCGATACTTCCACTTCCTGTATCAGAGACTTGGCATTCATTTTGTTCTGGCTGTAAAGGCTTAGAAGAGTTTCTATGAGGCACCTGAAGCTCTCCGTACCCTGGGTTCCTTTGCAATCCAATTGGATGGCTCGTTTAAAACATTCTAACGCATTGAGTTCTTCACCTTTAACTTTCAGGCACTTTCCCTTGAGCAGCTGGAGTTCGGGTAGGGTGTCTCCAAGGTCGAATTCTGTGGCTTTGGCAATGCAAACCAAGGCATTGTTAATGGCATTTTCATCAGTTTGGAATGTTTCCTGCACAGCATCCACCCCCATGTAATAGCACACCTTGAAAAAAGTTAAATGACATTATCAGTCACCTGTATTCAATTAAGGATATATAGAATCCCTGACCTTTTAAAATTTTTCTACAGATTGCTTTCTGAATTGTTGCCTTAAAGGACCACTCTAGGCACTCAGACCACTTCAGCTTAATGTCATCAGAGAAGGTAGATTCAATGTGGCGAAAGCATAGCTTCCAACTGTCCTAGGGTCTGCGGGACTTCCCGAATTGGGTTTCTCTCTTGCCATCCCAAGTTTGTTCCACAGCAGGACTGAACTAAAGTTACTATGAATGTCTTGAATCAGTGTAGTGCAAGCGTTTCTGTAGATGCACTTATATTGGACAGAGTAAATTCAGGACATTCAGCCAATACTGCACTCTGAGCATGGGGCTATCCTAATTGGAGACAGATGTATAGACTTTCACTCAGGGACCAGTCTCTCATCTCTGCCCAGATCCCATACCTCCTATACATTGCCTGGTGCCATATGTATATGAAGTGCTTGCACTTTTTGGGTCCAGACCAAGGGGTTAAAGGAACACTATAGTATTAGGAGAACAAACGTATTTCTAACACTATAGTGCTGGAGTAGCAGTTTGATTCCTGGTCCTCCTCAGTAAGTAGTTAAGAGGTGTTTAAACTACAAAAGTAATTATTACATGAATCGCTAATACATAGTTGCTACTCTCCTCCCTTCTCTTTTGTACCACCTCCTTAAAGGACCACTATAGGCACCCAGACCACTTCAGCTCAATGAAGTGGTCTGGGTGCCAGGTCCATCTAGGGTTAACCCTGCAGCTGTAAACATTGCAGTTTCAGAGAAACTGCTATGTTTACAAATGGGTTAATCCAGCTTCTAATGGCTGTCTCATTGACAGCCGCTAGATGCCAGTGAGAAGATGCTGACGTCCATAGGAAAGTATTGAGAAATGCTTTCCTATGGACGGATTGAATGCATTCAGCGCTGATGTCGGAAGGGGGAGGAGAGTTCCCCAGCGCTGACAGAGCCCGGCGCTGGAGAAAGGTAAGTGTTTAACCCATTCAGCCCCCTTCAGTCCGGTGGGAGGGGGGCCATGAGGGTGGGGAGGGGACCTAAAGACCCTATAGTGTCAGGAAAACGAGAATGTGTTAATTACATTTCTTATAAGTGTTCCTACCACCAGGGCCGTCTTTAATTTAGATTGGACCCTGGGCGAGCATTTACTTGGGCCCCCTGACTACGTCTAGATACACACAAATACACTACCTGACACACATGCAGATACACACAGACTACATATAGATACACTGACACACACAGACACACACACAGATACAAACACTGACATACATGCAGATACAAAGGTACACACACTGACTACTTATAGATACACCGACACACACACTGACAGACAGACACACAGATACACAACCTGACACACATGCAGATATACAGATACAAACACTGACACATACAGATACACACACAAATACAAATGGACAACATACAGATACAGAGACACATTCTGACAGACGTACTGACACAGACTCACACACAGACAACCATACTGAAACACACATACACAAAGACATACTGAACCACACAGACACTGATGGACTCTCACGCACACAGACATACAGATACACTGACAGACATACTGGCACATATACACACAGACAGACGGACATACTGAAACACACATACACACAGACATTGACAGACATATTGACAAACACAGACATACAGAACCACAGTGACAGACTCACACATTGACATACACACATTCTGGCACACACAGACAGACTGAAACACACATAGACACAGACACTGACAGATATACACACATACAGACATTTTGAAACTCACAGACAGCCATACTGAAACACACAGACACTGACAGACTCACAGACACAGACATACTGGCACACAGACAGACATTCTGGCACACAGACAGACAGACATGCTGAAACACACATACACACATACAGACAGACATGCTGAAACACACATACACACATACAGACAGACATGCTGAAACACACATACACACAGACAGACAGACATGCTGAAACACACATACACACAGACACTGACAGACAAACACACATCCAGACATTTTGACATACACAGACAGCCATACTGAAACACACATACACACTGAACCACACAGACACTGACAGACTCACACACAGACATACTGACACACTGACAGACATACACCCATACAGACATACTGAACCACACAGACACTGACAGACTCTCACACACACAGACATACAGATACACTGACAGACTTGCACTCATGCAAAATTTGATAACCACCCTCCAGTTTCTTACCTTTTCCTGGAGGGTGGCTTCCCTGGGGTCCAGTGGGGTGGCTGGGAGTTAAGCTCCCGGCCTGGCCCCCTCCAGAACAGCTGGTCCGCCTTCCTCCCGCGCGGCTCCTGTTTCTGTGGGAGGAAGTGACGCACGGCTGTCGCTTCCTCCCAGTGCTGCCGAAAAGCAAGAGCCCGGTCGCGCTGTTAAAGCGCCACAGCGCCCGACCGGGCCCCTGCTGACAAAGGCCCACCGTGTGGCCCTAAGTGCATGGGCCACCCGATGGGCCCCCATAGTTTGCGGGCAGAGGGCAAACAGGATAGTTACCTCGGGCCCCCCAGCAGGGACAGGGCCCGGGGCAGCTGCCCCGTTTGCCCCGCGTTAAAGACGGCCCTGCCTACCACGCCGTGTATTGCACATTTAATCAATAAGATTGTCATTCTGTGGTTATATATGTAAAATTGTATTGCTATACTGTATACTTACCTCGTGTTAATATTCTTGATCAAAATGATAATAAAAAAATTTAAAAAAGGTGTACAAACTTACCTTTTCACCGTCGCTGCATCAGTCTCGCTGCGGCTGGCCCAGCCTCCATGGCTGAAATCATTAATCTTGCTACTCTAAGCCACTCCAACGCTTTCCCATAGGAAAACACAGAGGCTATTGCTATGGGTGGCAAAATGCTGCACCAATCAGCAAAACTTAAGAGTTGCATTGAATCAATGCATTTCTATGGGGAGTGGTTAGCAACTCCATTCAGAGCGTGGAGACACTGAATGTAAGTGCTGCACACCGCACTAACCCAGGAAGCACCTCGATTGGAAGTTTGAATGTCAGTCACTAGAGGTGTTACTAGGCAGCAATGTAAACACAGCATTTTCTCTGAAAAGGCAGTTTGTACATAAAAATGCAGGCAGGGAATAGGCTATAGACACCAGAACCACTACATTAAGCTGTAGCTGTTCTGGTGACTACAGTTTCCCTTTGACGTGTTCTTTAGCAGATTGTATATTGACCTGTCCCTTAGACTGTAAATCTGTTTTGTATTTCCTATCCCATATCTGTTGTGACCACGTGTTTTAGATTTAAACAGGTCCTGTGTTGTAGTGATACCAATACTTACATCTACTGGGCTTTATATACCGGTACCTTCACAAAGGCTCACGGTATCTTAATCCATACATTTATCATGTTAAACATTTCTCTACGCATGTTATATCTGTAACATTTTACAATTTTCGAAGTCAGCATATGGCCACAGGGGGAAAACGACACTTCATCTCTAACCTGGCTCGATCCTTTCTGTGCTCTGTCTATACAAGCCTCTGTAGTGAGATTTTATATCTCAGGATTATTCCATTTATTTTGGGGTTCTTGTGAGATCTTTTTTGCTGTAACATTTAAAAAGCCATAGACCGGTCTTGCTCTTGGCACTATACATTTTCAAAGATTGATTTGGTTATATGTCTATGTCCTGAGCTATAGAATTCTATTTCTTATGTGCAAATATATGCTTATGAACCTTGAATGGCAGCAGATTCATTGTCAATTCTAAATAGAAGATGAGTGTCCTGGAAACCAAATAATAGATTTGTTGTTTATAATAACAGATCTCTTTTCTTACTGTTGCTATTAACAGATTAGCTCTGTTTGATGTTTTAATGCAGACATAATTTAACTTCAGGGAAAATGTTAAAATACTTAAAGGGAAACTCTAGGGCAAAAATAATCCATTGTATAGATAAATGAAAAATACTAGAAATTTAATAGCCTCTCCCTAAGCATGAATAGACTCTTATCCCATAAATCTCTGCTGGGGGTTTATGTAGTAAGATGCTTAACCCAAGACCAGTTAATTTCATCAACTCTATAATCTGATAGCAGCCATAGCAGTATAAACACAGCCCGGTTCACTGTTTAATGAAATAAGCTATGTCCCGCTATCGTAACTCTGCTGTCTGTCTGAGGAGACATCATATCAGCCCAAGTTGTGTATTTGGCATGCAGACACTGCTTTCCCAACGTTGCAGTAGGTAACTATAATTCAGAATTAAAAAACTGAAAATTCAGATTGGCTACTTCAATTTCTAAGTAACTGTCAGGGAATAGCGTTCATTTTATTTTGTTTGCTCTTCGTTTAAATCCGTGCATGCCTGTATAGCTCGTATTATACTTACTTGCCCCATGTCTAGGTACGTCTTCAGACAAGGATACACATTTAGGATGCTGTCCAGGTCAGATTTAGCGTCATTTAGCAACTTTCTGTCTGGTAAGCCTCCTAATCCAATCTTTGCACGCTCTAAGTCTCGTATGTACATCCTGATGAATATCTTAAACAAAAGATCACATATTTGTATGTTTTAGAATGCATTCTACAAATGAAACGGCACATGTTCGTGATATTTAAAGATTAACTTTCTAGATCTAACTCAATACGGCAGTTTATTTAGTTATAGACCGGAGAAGATGTTGAGAATGATCCTGGTATGATTGGTTAAATGCAAAGGGCTTTAAAAAACTGAAGAAATAAAGTGTTTTTTGTTCTTTGTGTCTTTAAGAATAACTGTTGTTTGTATTTTGTGAATACCTGCGGTAGCCAATAATAACTTGAAATAAAACCCTGACGGGTGAACTTGGCCGTTTGCGTTTGCGGTGGGTTTTTTCTGTGCTGAATGTGAACATAGCATCCAAAGCAATCCATGTGTGTAAAATAATGTGGAAAGGATATATATTAATATGCTGGTGCATGTTAGCAGAGTGGCATTGTTTTACCTGTGCCCGTGTGCCATAGGCCTGCCAGTTCAGTTTCGGGTCTTGAAGAACATCAAGTGCCATATTGCATAACCCAGTGGCCATCTCTTGCTTCCCCAGGAAATGAAAGATCTTTGCTAACCGGTTCAGTATAAGAGGATCATTTTTTGCAATCTCTATTGCCTGTGTAAAACAACAAATATACATTATTTATAGCTTATGATTTGCACAAAAAACAAATGGTTTTTATTTTCCTTTTTGCAGTATAAATAAACTAAAGCTTTAGCAACCATTGACCGTTTATATCTCTGTACCACTGGACACCAATATTGTTTTCAGAGACCAATCCTGCTAGTTGTGGGTGCAACCCATTCACTGCTTTACCCAGGAAGAAGAGGTAAGATTGAAACGTATTCTATAAATGTGCTAATGATGTGCTTAGCATAACATATGGATTACATTTATTTGCTTACTTGTAGGAGACCTTGTCAACTACATAAAATTGGCTGACTTATCCACTTAGAGGACCACTATAGTGCCAGGAAAACATACTTGTTTTCCTAGCACTATAGTGCCCTGAGGGTGCCCCCACCCTCAGGGACCCCCTCCCGCCCGGCTCTGGAAGGGGAAAAGGGGTAAAAACTTACCTTTTTCCAGCGCTGGGCGGAGAGCTCTCCTCCTCCTCTCCGCCTCCGATCCTCCCCGCCGGCTGAATGCGCACGCGCGGCAAGAGCTGCGCGCGCATTCAGCCCGTCGCATAGGAAAGCATTTACAATGCTTTCCTATGGACGCTTGCGTGCTCTCACCGTGAAAATCACAGTGAGAAGCACGCAAGCGCCTCTAGTGGCTGTCAATGAGACAGCCACTAGAGGAAATAGGGGAAGGTTTAACCCATTCACAAACATAGCAGTTTCTCTGAAACTGCTATGTTTATGAAAAAATGGGTTAACCCTAGCTGGACCTGGCACCCAGACCACTTCATTAAGCTGAAGTGGTCTGGGTGCCTAGAGTGGTCCTTTAAAGGGGTATGATGAAGGTGATTATATAACCAGCATTCTGCACTCACGCTAAGTCCTTAAATAGTCTTAGAATTGCAGCTCTAAGTCTGCCCCTCAGTGTACACATTGTGCATGCAATTCAATATGTGCAATTGACTGTGTTGTTGACTGACCTGTAATAGGACTTCACATATTGCAGCAGGGGCAGACCATTAAAAGGGAAAGTAAGGGGTGAAATTAACTCCTATTTTTGAATGCATAATATGGACAATGTTTTAAAAATAATGTAGGGGAGAGTAACAGGCTCCCTTTAATGAAGCACTGTTCTTTTATCCAATTGCCCAAAGTGTACAAAAAAAACAAAAACGCGTTTTGATCACTACTACGGTCTTTGTCAAGTTTGACAAAAACTGTAATAGTGGTCAAAACGTTGCTTTGTACACTTTGGGCAATTGGATAAAAGTACAGTTCTTCATTAAAAGTTGTGCTGAAACTATTCCTCTGATGGGCTGACTAAAAGCTGCAGGGTTAAACTTTTGCAAACAGGAAGCAATGCCCAAGGTTTTATATATATTATGCATTTACATTAATACAAAATTTGAAAACCGAACACAACCTTTCAGGACATTGGTATATTTAGAATAAAATATGGCAGATCCCCTTTGTGACCATTTGAAACATTTCTACTATTTCTTAAATAAGTAAAAGTTAAATCAGATCATGGTGACTGTTAATGACAAAGTGTTCTTTTGGATTAACAATGTTTATAGTACCTTGCCAAAACAGTCCAAGGGGTCTGTTCCAGTATATCCGCAGTCATGAATTCCCATAGGTGTAGTAGGAAAGCTGTGCTGTTTTTCGAGCATCATACCAACATAGCACCAGGCTAAAGCTACAACAGAAGAAAAACTGGTTTGTTCATTGATGCCTTCATAAACAAATGCATGTGTATATTAGTTACCTGGCATTGATCAACGTATACCACCAATGAAAAATCTTTGGTACTTCAGCCGATGTGGAATGCATCTTTCACACTGTTTAGACAGCTATTTGGCTACTCCGAAACAGAAACCATGGCAAGGTGGGGGGAAATAAACAGTATTGCGTGGTTATAATGAAAATACAGGGCATGAAAAATAATGGCAAGGGGGCAAAAATAAAGATTACGGTAATCTAGATTGAAGGATTGGAATTAAAATAAAACTAAAAGGAAGTTGAGAATGTATAGAATGAATTTCAAAAAGTCTGTGTATATCAGGAGAGTTCTAGTGAACATCAGGTGTGGCTGAGCGGTCATGTGATCTGTGTTTCTGTGCATGGTGAGTACTGTGTCTATAAAGTGCGTGTGAACGTATCTTATACACACAGAGCTGTTATCCAAATTAATAGCAATACATAAATGGGACATTCATCTCATTCTTTATATTTGTCCAATAAAGTGTGTACCTTGCCAGTGTCCACATTTGCGTAGAGCAGTGCATTTAGTCCATTGTATTAATCTGTGGATATCTAGTCACTCTCTACATCTGCACAGAGCAATGTACGTAGTCCGCATTTATACATCTCAACGTTTAAAATAGACAAAGAGGGACACTTTCATTTTAGAGGTAAGTCGTGGCCATGGGCAGGGCTATTCTGAGAAATATTAGGCGACTTACTAATAATTTACTAAATGAAAATGTAATTTAGAAAAAGAACACTATCTTATTTGCACAGAGCGATTTTTAAATACATTTATTGTAGTTTAAAGACACGTTACTTTTGAGGTTTTTTTTGGTTTTTTTTTTTAACATGAAGCTCCTATAAAAGAGGGACATAAGGATAGCAAAGTGTATCTTAAAAAGATATTGCGGCAGTTTGGTTACAATTCAGATGCAGTGCTACGATGGCATTAACAAGTCTGCTTAGATTATTCTATACACAGATCAAATCAAAAAGTGCAAATAGTAATAACTCCGTTGTGACACCAAACGTAGACATCAATATTTGAAATGTCTATTTATAATTTTATCTAGTATTGACACAACAGATATATTTGCTTACATTTTTTACCTATAAGAAAACGTAAATGAAAATTTTGATACAGCAGTCAAGCTGTCAACCAATTTTCTGGCTGACTTATAACAGAATTGTATCAATTAGTTGACAATTCAGTCTTCACCGTTGCTGAAGTCAGACTTTCCAAGTGTTAACCCGTAGATCCTTCATTGTACCTTATGACGACCACCATATTAACTATGCCCTGAAAATGTGGAATGTAGTCTGCCCTAGTAGCCTATAGCCTTTTGTCAGTAATAGCTGGGGTGCAGTTATGCATTAAGTGCTACTGGGGAAAGTAAATACAGAGAACCGGTTTGACCCGTTTTCTGCAATTCTTCGAACCGTGCATTACACTGAGAAGTCTTTATGATGATAAATACACATTATCTCCATTATTCCTTTTGCTGACTCTTAACATTCTGATAAAAATTTAAATCTTGAAAAATATGAAAGTCATTTACAGTATTTTGCAGGCTCGCCCTCTCCAGCTAAACAGAGAAAAGGTTGAATGACTGGATTTCAAAAGTACATGAATTTCTGACAAGATTTTGAAATGCCCCAAGGCCTTCCCCTTACCTCTTGTACTGGTTATGAAGAAGTAATCTCTTGGTGAGATTTTATTTTGGCTATTGCTAATGTTGTGACTACTATAAAGAAGAAACACATTAGACATTTTTATTTTTTTTATTTTAGCAATACCTCATAAGAATATATGTGCCCCAAAATCCATGTTGCCTTTGCATTGCCTAGAGGTCTCGGATATTGTACTTCTATGTGATGGGGTAGACTGAATGTAGGGGATCGCATTGCTAAGACTTGTGACATATGTATTCTCTGAGCTGCTATACTTTGAAATACAGTTGCTATTGCAAATAAATGGATTGTTTTTTACTTTAGAAATGTGTCCCTGATGGCTTTCGTTTTTCTTTTAGAAATAGATTTTGTGTTTGTGTGTGTGTATGAGCATCTGTGTGTCAATGTGTGCATGTACCAGTGTGTGTATTTGAGTATGTGGGTAAACCTTTGTGCCTGTGTGTGTGTGTATATATATATATATATAAATATATATATATATCTTTGTGCCAGTGTGTGTGTATCTGTGTGTACATGTGTCAGTGTGTATCTGTTTGTCAGTGCATCTGTCAGTGTGTATCAGAGTGTGTGTGTGTCAGTGTTTATCTGCCAGTATGTGTATATGTGTGAGTGTATATGACAGTGTGTGTTTTATGGGTGTATGTGCCAGTGTGTGTATTTAAGGCTGTGTATATAAATCTATGCCAGTGTGTGTATCTGTGTATATCAGTGTGTGCATGTGCCAGTGTATCTGAGTGTATTTATATTTGTGCCAATATGTGTATCTGTGTGTCAGAGTATGTCAGCGTGTGTATGTGCCACTTTGTGTATCTGTGTGTGAGTGTGCTTGTTAATATGTATGTATATCTGTGGATGTGCAGACATTCCAGCAAACTCCAACACAACATGCAGATACACCTTTGTAAACACAAACATGATATGCAAAGACACCCCTGAACTCCAACTCTGAAATTATATACAAACACACCCTTCCCTCAAACACCAATACTACACATAAATGTACATCCGCATTTAAAATCAAACACTCCACTGCACGTAAATGCAATCCTAACATACAAACACACCCCTGTGTTACAAAGCTAAAATTATATACAAACGCCAACTCTACACACAGAATCACACCTGCTACTAAGTACTACAATCTGTTTACTATCTGTAGAAATTTTCCAAAAAAGAAAATATTACACTTTCTTAACTAAAAGATTTGTGCTATGGCGTAAAATGTTTGGGAGGGTTCCACGATGTTGGTACACTATGTCAAAGGGTTCCACTGGAAAAATTAATTGGGAACCCTTGAACTAGACCAGGGGTAAGCAACCTATGGCACGTGTGCCATGCACGGCACTCAAGGCTGCTAGAGCCAAACAGGCTCTTTCCTATCAGTGAAACTTCAGATAACTGCTAATAGGAAAAGGTGGTGAAGGACAATCCTCAATTTATGCATTGCAGCATGTAGAGGAAGTGATCTCAGATCACATCCTCCCAGCACTTGTGAATGGGAATCCACACTATAGTAGAGCAGCACGCAGCTGCTGTTACAGCTCCTGTCCTAGACCTGTACCTGGCCAGGCTGGTCCCCACTAGAACCCAGGGAAACCACCCACACTGCTAGATATACACAGAAATTCAGAATAACCCTCCCCTACGAACAGCCCACACACAAACATACACACAATCCGCATGCATGCACACAACCAAACATTCAGTGTCTCACATGCAATACCCCACACATACACACACAATATTTGACATATCTACCCACACACACAATTCCACAAACAGCCCCCATACACAGCCCACATTCATAGGTATCATACACAATACCACAAACTACTCACGAACATATACAATATAATAGCTCATAAACGCACAAATACAACGATACAAAGCAACTACAGTGTAAATAACACAAGCAGAATACAGCAACATGCACAACTCCATTTAAAAAAAATAAGACGGGCACACTATGGGATATCACAATCTTATTTCGGCACAGTGCTGCTAAAATGTTGCCTACCCCTGAACTAGACTGTTATCAATCAGTGTTTGTTAAAATCTTCCTTCTTCATTGATATTCATGTTTATATGGGTTCCCTTGAAAGCAGTACACGTATAGTTAATTTGCCATTATCAAGACATTGTTGTAACAGGAAGGTTAGGGCGTACACCTTAATCCTAGCATCAGTGTTATGAGATTAAACACATTGACTAGAGGGTAGATCTCTACATATGATGGTATGGACATCCTTCTCTTGGCTAATAATTATGAGATTTACAGTTCAGAATATTATCAGTGTTTGCATTAAGATTAGTATAGTATCAATGGTATTCACATCAATGGGTATTTTTCAGCACATAGCATGCAGCCTGTCTACTGTTGCCAAGAGGATGTGGAAGCAAGTCTATTTTAAAAAAATGGATGGCAGTGATAGGAGCCGATTGGGAGCCACGTAGCCCAGCAGTCGCAACCTGATTGGTGGAATTCAAATTTGGATGGAAAATACTGGTGTACCATCCTCAGTCAGTTGGTGTCAGCGATGGGGTACTGATGTTGGCCAGTAGAGAGATTTTGTTTGATGTTTTACTGTAACATTGTTATATGTGTATAATTTGCACCATCTACTTAATCTGTTTTGTGTGCCTATAATCCTTTGCATTACACATGTATTTTATAACTCAGCTTCTCGAGTATATAAATACACCCACTTTTAATCCTATGTGCTAGTTCTTTCAGGAGTAATTTCCAAATGGTTAAAATGTCTCAAAGAAAATGTGACTTTTAAAAAAAATATTTACTAAATACCTATTTAGTAATTAGTTTTTTTATTAAACAGGGGGATAAGTAGCAGTGACTGGGGGAAAAAATAAGTAGTAAAAATTTGGAGAATTATTTTCCAATGTGCTGATTGGCAAGTGTTATATTTATTTTATTTATTTAAAAAAAATTGGGAGCAAATATAAGTGTGACTAATGCATTTGTTAGAGTTTACACGTGGTGCATTCTTGCATCCACACACAATGCAATTATTTTAAGAAAACAATTTTATTTTTTTAAATACAGTTTTACTTTGAATTTTCTTTACCCCCTCCCCCCCTTTGGGCACAGCCCAATATCTAGACTGAAACCGTATTAAAGCTTTGTAGACAAAGCAGAAATTATCTACAGAATCATTTTCAGAGTTCCCTAGAGGTCACCTTATTGTAAAATCGATCATTGCCAACTACAAGGTTCTTTGTCCTTCAAACCTGTTTTTATCAGTGCAAACACCTTGCCTACCAGGTAAAGAGTGGAATATACATTACCTCTGTACTGACAATTTGTGGACTTAACAGATTCTCTTAGCAACATCAGGGTCTTGTTAAAAAACAGGAGCCTATTATTTTCTTCTTCGTTTTTGTTTAGTAATAATCCATCAATCCTGAAAGAAGTATAAACAGTTTGTATTATTTTATGTAATAGCCGTTATCTTTGCAACAGGAAGGTTGAATGTGTGTATCGTGTCAAAAATCAGAAGTTTGTATTATGATATTGTTTGAAAATAGACGGAAATAACACAAAAAGTCTTCCTCAATTTGGTCTCAGGAACCACCAACCGTCCATGGCTTATCAACAACCCATCAGAAAACCAACAAAATGGATGGAAAGCCAGCTCTTCAACACCAGGAAGTCCCCACCACAGACTAATTCAGTGGAAGGTAACCTTCGGCACTCCAGATGTCGTGGACTACATCCTCCATAATGCTCTTACGCCCTTAATGCTGGCAAAGCATCATAGAATGTGACGGCAGATAAGAACCATTCGGCCCATCCAGTCTGCCCAATTTTCTAAATACTTTCATTAGTCCCTGGCCTTATCTTATAGTTAGGATAGCCTTGTGCCTATCCCACGCATGCTTAAACTCCTTTACTGCGTTAACCTCTACCACTTCAGCTGAAAGGCTATTCCATGCATCCAATACCCTCTCTGTAAAGTAATACTTCCTGATATTATTTTTAAACCTTTGCCCCTCTAATTTAAGACTATGTCCTCTTGTTGTGGTAGTTTTTCTTCTTAGTCTCCTCCTTTACTGTTCATGGGAGGTGAAGTCCAAAACAACGGGAGTACCGAAGGTTACCTGTGCCTGGTCTAGTTAAGTATATCTTAATTTGTCAACTGCCTATAATTCCATGCTTGATTAAAACACCCTGTATTCAGTCTGGATGAGAGATGAGCGGTCTCGGATTGGTCAATGTAGACTGAATATATTAAACTGGGAAATGTATATACCTTATATAGATAGACGCCATAGTAAAGAACCAACTTCTCTTTTCTTCCACCGGAATCTGAAACATAAGATGCTTGTTAATAAACACATACTTCTGGTAACGTATGAGAAACAGTATTTAAAAAAAAACAAAAAAACATGCCAATAGAGACGTCAACTTTTTGTGTGTGTGTGTGTGTGTGTGTGTGCATATGTATATATTTGTAGTTCATTGGCAATGTGTAAGTACAAGAAGTACTGTTGTTAATAAAGAAGTTATTTATGGAGAATATTAAAAACTTCTGCAAAAACATCCACAATCAGATTAGAGATTTTTTTTTCTCTCTAAATCTTTAGATTTCCTGTTTGCCCTGTTATGGGAGACAAATTTAAATCTTATACGTGTGTATCCTTAACTGTTGCAGATAACAAATCCAGGATGTAATTGATGTTTGCTGTGGAACACACCTTTATTTAAACATCTACACACAAGTCTCAGGATACTTCCATCTGTGTATGGAAACCTATTGCAAATTATGATGCAGGGATTCAGCTTTTTATAACATACACAGGCCTCTCCGTGTCGTCAACCATAATTTCTGTTCCTGCTGCGCTCCATAAGTATCCAAGTAGAATACATGATTTATGATTTTAAGTCAATGCTGTCATTTTCATCATCTACTGTAGCCCCTGTCGTCACTCCCACATTGGATCTCTCCCCTTTGTTGCTTACAGAATTATCGATCTGGTAAATTTTAGTTTATTTATTTATTTATTTTTTTTTTTTTTTAAGGATGGCCCTATTTACACTTTACAATGTTGAATTGTTAAGGGATTTTTTTAATTTTACATTTTTGGGCAGCATTTTAGGAATTTTTCCAACTCTGTTATTTTGACCTATAATTTGGGATTTTAATGTCATTTCCCCACAGTTCAATTTTTTGTGAGTAAAGCCAACATAAAATTTGCCAAATTGTTTTAATTTCTTCTATTTATATGCCTTAAATTCACAATATCCACTTGTCACAAACAGTTTTTGTTACAAATAAATAGCAGAGAACTTTGTATGCTGTACAGATACTTAGCAATCACTATTGGAATTCTGTTCACCTGTTTTTTGGAGTAGACGAGTGTGTGTGCATCCATTATCAACCCTTCCCCTGCTGCTTATGTTGTGTTGCCGTATACCTCCCAGCATTCCCAGATAGTGCAGTCCTGAATTTGAACTCCTCTCCACCTGTCCTTGTTCTGATCAAGTTTCATGGTATGGTGTTCTATCAATATTCGAGTGCCCCAGAAGCACTCTGCCCATGGGTAGTTGACACACTCATTTTTCAATATTGGAATGCTTTCTTGTGATATGGCCAGGATTTAAAAATCCTTTGTTACACAGTCTGTTTAATTTAGAATTTCTTATCTCTTGCTTTGTACATAGACTGCTTCAATTAAGTTCAGTTAACAGATCAGGACATAAACGCACTGTCACATCGGATTGAAAATGAAACCACCAGGGGAGATGTGACTAGGGCTGCATAAACAGAAACAAAAGTAGTTTAACTGATTTGGATGGGTTCTAATTCTGAGTACGTTTAAGTCATTTTAATAAACAGGGCCTCTGAATTGCCCTGAGATTTCATTTTTTTGTAATTTAGTTTTTTGCTGCATTTGCATTGGAATAACCCTGTTTTGGGAATAACCCTGAATGTGTAAGAATGTAATAAATAGTACTTCACACAAAAATGTTTTGCAATAGTCCATTAGAAACAATGTAGTTTGTTAATGTTTCAATATGTTTTTACATAAACTGAGCGTGAGCTACACACCCTCATTACATGGGCTTGATTATGCCATAAACTCTTATCTTGTTTATAACGTTTACTCTTCCTCCTCCCTCAGCGACTTTGAAAATGTGCTCTTATGGGCTTACAGTTTGACATGAGTTATACAATTCTCAACCTTTTTTTTTTTTTATGTTTTATTTACATTGATCCATTTCACCCCCAAACGCAGAAGAACTCATAAAGACTTTATGGACACAACGTTAAAATCCTTATAGAACGCATTGCATAAACCATCACTGGTGGGTATGACATGTGGTATAGTTGGTTTATAGTATATTATGGCATTGCTGGGCGTGACACGTGGTATAGCTGGTTTATAGTATATTGTGGCATTGCTGGGCGTGACGTGGTATAGCTGGTTTATAGTATATTGTGGCATTGCTGGGCGTGACACGTGGTATAGCTGGTTTATAGTATATTGTGGCATTGCTGGGCGTGACGTGGTATAGCTGGTTTATAGTATATTGTTGCATTGCTGGGGGCGTGACACGTGGTATAGCTGGTTTATAGTATATTGTGGCATTGCTGGGCGTGACACGTGGTATAGCTGGTTTATAGTATATTATGGCATTGCTGGGCGTGACACGTGGTATAGCTGGTTTATAGTATATTATGGCATTGCTGGGCGTGACACGTGGTATAGCTGGTTTATAGTATATTATGGCATTGCTGGGCGTGACACGTGGTATAGCTGGTTTATAGTATATTATGGCATTGCTGGGCGTGACACGTGGTATAGCTGGTTTATAGTATATTGTGGCATTGCTGGGCGTGACATGTGGTATAGCATATTATGGCATTGCTGGGCGTGACATGTGGTATAGCTGGTTTATAGTATATTGTGGCATTGCTGGGCGTGACATGTGGTATAGCTGGTTTATAGTATATTGTGGCATTGCTGGGCGTGACACGTGGTATAGCTGGTTTATAGTATATTGTGGCATTGCTGGGCGTGACATGTGGTATAGTATTATAGTATTGCTGGGCGTGACATTGTGGCTGGTTTATAGTGCATTGCTGGCATGTGGTACATAGCTGGTTTATAGTATATTGTGGCATTGCTGGGCGTGACACGTGGTATATTTATAGTATATTGTGGTATAGCTGGTTTATAGTATATTGCATTGCTGGGCGTGACATGTGGTATAGCTGGTTTATAGTATATTGTGGCATTGCTGGGCGTGACATGTGGTATAGCATATTGTGGCATTGCTGGGCGTGACACGTGGTATAGCTGGTTTATAGTATATTGTGGCATTGCTGGGCGTGACACGTGGTATAGCTGGTTTATAGTATATTGTGGCATTGCTGGGCGTGACACGTGGTATAGCTGGTTTATAGTATATTGTGGCATTGCTGGGCGTGACGTGGTATAGCTGGTTTATGGTATAGCTGGTTTATAGTATATTGTGGCATTGCTGGGCGTGACACGTGGTATAGCTGGTTTATAGTATATTGTGGCATTGCTGGGCGTGACGTGGTATAGCTGGTTTATAGTATATTGTTGCATTGCTGGGGGCGTGACACGTGGTATAGCTGGTTTATAGTATATTGTGGCATTGCTGGGCGTGACACGTGGTATAGCTGGTTTATAGTATATTATGGCATTGCTGGGCGTGACACGTGGTATAGCTGGTTTATAGTATATTATGGCATTGCTGGGCGTGACACGTGGTATAGCTGGTTTATAGTATATTATGGCATTGCTGGGCGTGACACGTGGTATAGCTGGTTTATAGTATATTATGGCATTGCTGGGCGTGACACGTGGTATAGCTGGTTTATAGTATATTGTGGCATTGCTGGGCGTGACATGTGGTATAGCATATTATGGCATTGCTGGGCGTGACATGTGGTATAGCTGGTTTATAGTATATTGTGGCATTGCTGGGCGTGACATGTGGTATAGCTGGTTTATAGTATATTGTGGCATTGCTGGGCGTGACACGTGGTATAGCTGGTTTATAGTATATTGTGGCATTGCTGGGCGTGACATGTGGTATAGCATATTATGGCATTGCTGGGCGTGACATGTGGTATAGCTGGTTTATAGTATATTGTGGCATTGCTGGGCGTGACATGTGGTATAGCTGGTTTATAGTATATTGTGGCATTGCTGGGCGTGACACGTGGTATAGCTGGTTTATAGTATATTGTGGTATAGCTGGTTTATAGTATATTGTGGCATTGCTGGGCGTGACATGTGGTATAGCTGGTTTATAGTATATTGTGGCATTGCTGGGCGTGACATGTGGTATAGCATATTGTGGCATTGCTGGGCGTGACACGTGGTATAGCTGGTTTATAGTATATTGTGGCATTGCTGGGCGTGACACGTGGTATAGCTGGTTTATAGTATATTGTGGCATTGCTGGGCGTGACACGTGGTATAGCTGGTTTATAGTATATTGTGGCATTGCTGGGCGTGACACGTGGTATAGCTGGTTTATAGTATATTGTGGCATTGCTGGGCGTGACACGTGGTATAGCTGGTTTATAGTATATTGTGGCATTGCTGGGCGTGACACATGGTATAGCTGGTTTATAGTATATTGTGGCATTGCTGGGCGTGACACGTGGTATAGCTGGTTTATAGTATATTGTGGCATTGCTAGGCGTGACACGTGGTATAGCTGGTTTATAGTATATTGTGGCATTGCTGGGCGTGACACATGGTATAGCTGGTTTATAGTATATTGTGGCATTGCTGGGAGTGACACGTGGTATAGCTGGTTTATAGTATATTGTGGCATTGCTAGGCGTGACACGTGTAGCTGATGTCCAGCACACAGTTGGGTTTCTGGGTATGACATGTGCTGTATCTAGTGTACAGTACAACAAACATGCATGCTACGCACATACTGTTCCAGTAAAATAAACATTGTGATATTATTCTGCCTTGTAGGTAAACTGTCCATAAAGCAAACTAGCTTTAATAAATGTGGTATATATCCTATTGTAAATAAGGTGGCATTTAGCATTTTAAGCCAACTATTTGGTGTACTAAGTCTAGCATTATCCATCTGTGACCACTGTAATCCACCGACCATGGGATTTCGCAACATCGTCCGCCACGTTTGAGCGATCTATAAAGTGAACGTTTACCTATTTGCACAATAGACACAGTTGGCACCAGTGCAAGTACTGTATTGATTATTTACAAACAATGGAGGAGATTTATCAAGGCAAGACCAATGCTATTCTGTAGCAAACTTCTAAATAAAGCATAATCACCAAGCGCCCCTTTAACCCCTTAAGGACACATGACGTGTGACATGTCATGATTCCCTTTTATTCCAGAAGCTTGGTCCTTAAGGGGTTAAGGTTTTTAAAATATTCTTACAGTAAATGCACAAGGTATACTATATATTGCAGTGATTTGACCCCAGTCCCTAGGCTGTGGGCCTTATATAAAATATAGCAGGTATATAGTGCAGATAACTTTTTCCTTATTCCTGTGCAGTAAGTGAATGAAGGTTCTGGGATTAAGATGGCTCAGCCTGGTGGTCTCACTAATAAAACAGACCAATTATTTTTTTCCACCCATTGGCACAGTGTACATTATATTCAGCATGCCAAGTGCTCACACGTGATGAGGTGCAGTGATAATTAGCTACAGGAGCGTTAGATGAGGGAGTGGGACTGATTTGTTTGTAAGAACAGACTAAGTGCCAACACCAACTGGGATTATCATTAAAGTGTCAATACAAAGTGAGTTTAGCTCAAAATAGAATAGCTGTACTTAAGAGTTTTTTTTCCAATAAAAATGTTGTAGCCTAAAAATGTCAGTTCATTTTCAATTCACTTTGAATTCCTGACAATTTCCACATTTGTGAATAGCCCTGTATATACAATTGTAATCAATGCAATGTCACACGTCCCTGAATACAGCAAGTTCTATTTTATTTATAAAATATTTTACCAGGAAAGATACATTGAGATTTCTCTCATTTTCAAGTATGTCCTGGGTTCTGATTGTAGACATCGCCTGTCGCATATCAACTGTGCCACATGTGCCCGGTTTGTATAATTACCACTGTACCATTGCTTAAACTGTAAAGCTGTTTGGGCAAGAGTGCCTTATAAGAACTGTTAAATAACAAAATTAATTTGACAGAAGACTAAGAAGTTCAGTGGTATAGGAAAGAAGCGATTAACCATTTAAATGACAGTGGGTACACCTTTCCATTTATGACGTGACATGCTTAGCATGTCTCAAATCCTTATGGGTTTAAATCCATTGATATAACATTACCTTGCTATTACTGCTCCCAGGCACATATCCTAGTATTCTGGAATTTCAGAACTACATTTGCTTCTGCTGGGAAGCTATTCCTTGTATCTACTACCCTTTCCATAATTATGTATTATTGACACTTTTACTTTTGTTTCTGTCTTCATAATTAACGATACGTGTTCAAGCCACTGTCAGACATGTAACTCAGGCCTGGCTTGCGCCAATGTGTTTTTTTAACCCTTTGAATGCCAGAGCATTGAGCACTGAGCTGGTACTAGTACTACATTGTGCTACTACCTTGATTTACTGCATTATATAGTCTTATCAGGGAGTATTACTTTACTGAGAGAGTAGTGGATGCATGGAATAGCCTTCCAGCTGAAGTGGTAGAGGTTAACAAAGTAAAGGAGTTTAAGCATTCTTGGGATAGGCATAAGGCTATCCTAGTTATAAGATAAGGCCAGGGACTAATGAAAGTATTTCGAAAATTGGGCAGACTAGATGGGTCGAATGGTTCTTATCTGCCGTCACATTCTATTTCTATACATGGTTTCATTTCATCAAATTTCTAACTGATGTGCCTGCAGCGTGTATGGTTACATAGCTGTACATCAAACATGTGGCTCCATTTAGTCGTATAATTGTGGTTGTATCAGCATGTCACACTTACAGATTCTTGTATATATTTATTTTTATAATTTTTCTGGACTCACCTCTTGTTTGCCATAGGCCAGGGCCTTTTCAAACAAACTGATGCCAGCAATCAGTTTCTCCATGTTGTCATCATCGTTCAGCAACCCAACATCGAAGGCATGAGCGTAGCCTTGCTCTGCCAAGCAGCGAGCTGCCCTCAGCCGGTGGCCCTTACTGTTCCCATCCTCTTCCTCCAGGCCCATGAGATGGGACACTTTATCGGTGCATTCCGAAGCTTGATCCTCCATATTTAGCCTGTCGTACACATATGCCAAGTTAGCCCAGGCATTTAAATTGTTGGGTTCCTCCTGGGTGACGCTGACAAATATTTCCTTTGCGCTGTCCACCTCGTCCAAGTAGAACGAGAAGACCCCAAGCAGGTTCCGGACTGCAAGCTGCAGGAAACTGGAGTTGGACTCCAGCTGAAATTGCAATGCATCTCTCTTCAGTTTAATGTCTCTTCTTCTAAACTGAACTGGGGTGCAGGATTCAAAGTTGAGGTTCATTTCCAAGTGAAAGTGGCCAGGGATATATTCAAACTCATCTATGAGGGTCTCAATATCAATATCCACCCCAAGTGTCTCCTCCATGGTCGGCACAGAGATTCCTTCCATTGTGTTTCCTGCTCTGGGTGTACATCTACCTGTAATTCTAGTTTGAGTCATTGTGTTTTGGGAGGAGCCTGGGTTGGGAGAGGTGACTGTTTAGAATCCTCTCACCCAGGTAATTGTGTTGCAAAACTTTGCACCTCAACGTAGGATGTTCTTGCTTCATACTATCTCGTGAACCTATTTCTATTTATTCCTAGAATCTTTTCGAATCCGCTTAGCCGAGCACCCATAAACACCTCAATTCTAGCTATAGGCAACGTGTTCATTATAAGGAGAACCTTAAAGCTCAGATGTGCTGTTAGAACTAGACCTGACATTTCAACTAAATTTAATAGCCTGGAAAGTTGGGTTAATCAGCAAGTATCACTCCATGATGATCAGCAAAGTTTCTAAAAGGAAAGTCTGCCTGTGGTTAACATTGCAGTTTGCACAAGATGAGAGCTGCATTTTATCTACCTCTTTTATAGAATATTTAACGGAATTTATGTATAAAAGGGATTCGATGAGAAAAGTGACATTGCTTTATAACACATTATAAAAATCTTCTGGCACTCGAAGGGTTAAGGGAGGGGAGGGCTGCATATCCTGCTGATATGGATTAATTATCTGAGGTTACAGGTGTATGAGATGTTGACTGTGCTGGGGAGGGTTTACCCAAACAAAGTGGTTTCATTTGACTGGTCAGGCACAGCAAAATTCTTCTAGTTAAGCTGGGATCTGTATAATATTATTGGCATTTGTATAACACCAACATACTTCTCAGTGCTGCACAATCATAGTGTAGGTATATATTAGCAAATTAAGCAAACTAAACTAATGCAAATGTTAGGAGGAATGAGAGGATAATGAGGCCCAGTTTAAATGAGCTTAAAATCTAGAGGAGGCGAGATATAGAGAAAGAGCACATATGGACCTCAAAGGAACGGAAAAGAGGGTCTATTTACTCTTAAGGAGCACATTGACACGGAGTTACTTGTAGTGTTGGTTCTGCTCACAGTATCTTGTGCTATGTAAACATGGCAGCTATAGTTCTCCAGCATACAGGTAAGAAGTCAAAATGCTCAAAAATGGGTTGTCTCTTTATAATGGTTTGGTCCAGGGCACTTCTAGTGATCAGCGAGCTGTATTGGTTATGGCATTTAAATGCTGAGATTTATGGACATATACAAATACACTGTCACACATACAGATACACATACATACATACAGACACACACACACTGAGATACATACAGATACACACATATGCTGCCAGACAAAGATACACATACATACTAACAAAGTTACACATACTGACATTCATACACAATGTCACACACATATACAAGCACACCTATAAAGAATCAAACATATACAGACACCCTCCCTGCAGCTCTCTGTAAGCTTCTGTGGCGATCACCAATCCACTGATCAGAGATGCCCATTGAGTGTCCCTAATTGTAAAGTTAGCCCCCTTACCACGCAGCCACACCAGCGGCACCACCGATAATTCCCCCAGTGTGAATGGATGCATTTAAAGAGAAACCCTTAAATTAAAGTGGAACATGCATAAATTCTAGGTGTTGTTTTGGTTCATTAGGCAATGAATAAAGATTGCTCAGAAAACGATTCAAGAGATTGTTCCTAATTTCATTGAATTGTTCTGTTCCAGGCACTCCCCCAGGTTGGGTCATGGGTTGGACTGCCAGAAATTCAAACCAAGCACAAATAATTTGGAAGGAGGGAAGATGGGATTAATCATAATGTTGTAAACGGGGAGAGGCAAAAGTGACATGTCAAACGGTTATCAAGCTTTTTTTTTCTTCTTTACTTAACTGTGAAAGAAAATATGCATCAAAGACTAAGCCATGAGGGCCGGAGCCGGGCATACCTCCCAACATTCCAAGAAAGATTCGATTTAATGCACATAGTGCCATTAGTACATTCTTCTCATTCTCGTGTTTGTTTCTTTCCTCTATTGCTGTAGAATTGAGAGTAAAGCAGGGTGCTATTTTCCCCCCCATATGTATATTGGATATTCTAAGAAAATGAATTTATTAAAGGGACAATATAGACACCATAACCACTTTGGGCGGTGGGTCCTGCATTACTCTTAAATGGTTTACTCACCGTTTAGCAGAGATACTGGGTCCCGAGCCACTTGCATTCTCACCCCCAATAACTATATGACAAAGTCAATGTTATGGTCTACCTTGTGCCATACAAATATTTCAGCATTATTATTTTATTATTTCTATAGTGGCAGCAAATTCTGTAGCGCTGTACAATGGGTTAAATCTAATGCTTTGTTACAGATGGCCCTCCTAAGTTTATTGGAGGCATAAATACCCATAACTGTTCCCTGAATAAGGTTATGTGATTTTATTTCAAAAGAAATATTTTGAGATTATTTTTTATGGTTGAAAAACAGTGGGTGTGACTTGTAAGCGTGCTTTCCATCTATTATACAATGTTGAAGATGGTATAGATGTTTAGCTATGCTCAATATAAAAATAATGACATGTTGGGTTACAAGTGTCCATTGCACCCTTGGAGTTCCAGCTGTTGTGAGACTACAATTCCCATCATTCCAACCCTATTATGTGGGGTATAGGCATTGGCATGTGCAAAACGTTTGCCAGGTATACGGACACACACCCTGATATAGGACCAAATTGTCTTGTGTCTGTTTGTTCTTTATCTGTATATTCTAATCAATCTATTAAGGGATAGGGGCTCATTCACGATATGTGAATACAATTTTGCATATAGTAGTATAGCAGAAGTAGGATTTACATTTCAAATTCACTTTGAATTCTCACTTTAGTGCAAAACAAATTTATTTTATTTACACAAACTTTTCTAAACACATTTTTATAGTTTAAATACATTACTGAGCATTGTTATGGAGTGCAAAACCTCTCAAATGCCCCTATTTTGGAATGAACTCCCTTTGTCCCTCTTTTTCATCCTAATGTCCCTCTTTTCTAGGATCTCCATATTGTTAATGTGTCTGAGTGAATAACAGAGCTCAGCAATAATACTCACAGACAGTAATGTGTATTTAACCCCTTAAGGACACATGACATGTGTGACGTCATGATTCCCTTTTATTCCACAAGTTTGGTCCTTAAGGGGTTAAACTACAATAGATGTGTACAGAAATCAGGCTGTGAAAATAAGTTATATTTGTCCTGTTCTAAATTACATTTTAGATGCATAAAGTATTAATAAATCTCCCCCAAAAATTCCATAACAGCCCTGTCCACTGTCCACACCCTTGCTCACACCCCTAAATTTGAAATGCCCCTCTTTGTCCATTTAAAATGTTTGGTGGTATTATTATAAGTGTTGCACTGCATTTCCCATTATCCCCAAGGATGGAGCTCCCAGAAAGAAGGAACATTAGGGTACATAAGTGAGATATATGCCAAAAATAGGGACTGTCCCTCCTAAATAGGGACACTTGGGAGCTATGAAATATATTTCTTTCTAACTACAGTTCCCTTCATGGTAGCTGAGCCTGATGGGAATGGTAGTGAGATATGTTGATCGTTGAATAAGGCACAACACTTGAAAAAAACCACAGTCCCCATAGTGCTTTGGCAACTCTAGACTGGCCAAGCATCCTGGGAGTTGTAGGTGAGCAGCAGACCTGCTCTACCTGTTGGCCACGCCCCCTCGCAGAGAGGGTTATATGTGATTGGCTGGCTGTTGGTTGTCAGTCAACCTTGCCTGAATGAGGTAAATAATCTGTGATAACAGAGCTGCCGGCGTCCTGGTTACCATAGTAACCGCGCGCCATGGCGGACAAGAGGTTCAGCGGAGCGCCCTTCGGCAGCCAGAGTGCCAGGTACATCATGGGGGACGGGGACGGGGTGGGGTGTCAGACAGTGCGGCCTGCGACCCCCCGGGAATTATCCTCCAGGACTGGACTAGTCTACTGCACTACAACACCCAGCATCCTGGGGGATAATGGGACATGCAGTGCAACACTTAATATAATAATAATAATAATATTATATATGGTACAAATATTATTATTATTATTATTATTATTATTAATGCTGGCAGTTTATAATTATTACTATTCATCTTACAATCTGCACGGTGGACAGTTTAACATTATAAATGGGGGAATGGGGACATTTAAAATATGCAAGCAGACTGAATATACCTGGCTGTCCACCTACCTACCTACCCACCTACCCATTCTCTCCCTCATTTTAACTAAATACCTGTCTGTCCACCTACCTACCTACCCATTCTCTCTCTCACTTTAACTACCGGTATATACCTGTCTGTCCACCTACCTACCATTCTCCATTTCACTTTAACTATATACCTGTCTGTCCACCTACCTACCTACCTACCCATTCTCTCCCTCACTTTAACTATATACCAGTCTGTCCACCTACCTACCCATTCTCTCCCTCATTTTTAACTAAATACCTGTCTGTCCACCTACCTACCTACCTACCATTCTCCATTTCACTTTAACTATATACCTGTCTGTCCACCTACCTACCTACCCATTCTCTCCCTCACTTCAACTATATACCTGTCTGTCCACCTACCTACCTACCCATTCTCTCTCCCTCACTTTAACTATATACTTGTCTGTCCACCTACCTACCCATTCTCTCTCTCACTTTAACTATAAACCTGTCTGTCCACCTACCCATTCTCTCCCTCACTTTAACTATATACCTGTCTGTCCACCTACCTACCTACCTACCCATTCTCTCCCTCACTTTAACTATATACCCGTCTGTCCACCTACCTACCCATTCTCTCCCTCATTTTTAACTAAATACCTGTCTGTCCACCTACCTACCTACCATTCTCCATTTCACTTTAACTATATACCTGTCTGTCCACCTACCTACCTACCCATTCTCTCCCTCACTTCAACTATATACCTGTCTGTCCACCTACCTACCTACTTACCATTCTCCATTTCACTTTAACTATATACCTGTCTGTCCGTCTACCTACCCACCTACCCATTCTCTCCCTCACTTTAACTATATACTTGGCTGCCCACCTACCTACCATTCTCTCTCTTACTTTAACTATATACCTGTCTGTCCACCTACCTACCCATTCTCTATCTAA